CCCCTACATGTTCGTTTCTTGATCCACTGTCATTTGCCTCTGAAGAAGGCCCTGCTATAAAGGCTCAAGTATCAGGCAATTTTTACATTGTTGATTCGATATATTTCACGTCATTCCATTCAGTGAGCAGTTTGCAGCAGTTTAATTCTTTAAAAAAAAAAAGTAACATTTTTGGACTGAGCCTACTTCATACATGCGCCTATCAAATATGAGGACAATCATTGAATTAGAAAAACTGGATGACCCATTTTTTACAAAATATTTATTGAAATTAGCTCGATTTCTACAGTAATGAATAGCAGGTTCCTGTATGGCCTTTCGTCTGAGATACTGTATGTGCTAACTTACAAGATGTCTTCTAGACTTTGTTTCATTACAGCTGGCCGCAATCTTTGGCTGTCTAGCAACAAAAGTGTGATATTATCTGCCTTGATTATGACTCTGTGGAAAGATTTTGCGATATTTATTACATTATAGTCTGGCAGATTGCTGCACAATATGATGGAATTGTTCATTTGATGATAAAAGCATGACATTTGGCAGACAGTCAGAGTATGTCATGATCAAGATTTTTTGCTATAGGGCGATCACTAGATATGTCCTTTGAAAAAAAAAAATTATAAAATAACATGCAATGGCCTCCATTTTGAAAATTTTGAAAATTTCTTGTTATCCTATGATATATTTTCAAAGGACAAATCTGCGATGGCCCAATAGCCAAATATCTTTCCCATGACATTCTCTGACCGTTTGCCAAATGTTATGCCTTTATCATCAAACTGGACAATCTTATAACCAGTCTGCTGTACTGTTAGGGCCAGTTGCTGTCCATTGAGTTACATTTACAAGCTTGCTGATGCATTTACATCCTATATCAACCTTTTTATTTCAATTTTAATATTTGATCCTCGGTGTGTCATTTTAATGACAAAAAACATTGGCCTACATCTTTTCTACATATTAGAAGATAGAGTATATTCCATTTTCAAAAGCTGAACAAAGGAGCACAAGTTTATGAATTTCTTTTTGTATCTAATTTTCCATTTTTGTCTCTGAAAAAAAGTGCTCACCCACCACGATAATCGTCTTAATAAACCTTACTGACTTCGTTACCCAGGATAATTGATTGGTACTCTTCACTAGCCGGCTGACTTTACAAACAAACTTGTTCATTAATCTGAACAAATGGGAATTACTCTGCTCAATAAGTCGATCAGCAATAGGGCATGAAGGATCTTGAGTAGTATGCAAACAGCCTGCTGTCAGTCCCAGATTGATGCCTCTACTTACGTAGTTGTAGCACGGTCCACTCGTAGTGGTAGCAGGGTCCATTCGATAGTACGAAGGTTTATTACGCTGAAGGTTCAATGATCCGAAAACACACATTTCCTATTCCCGGGGGTTCTTTAGCTAACCCTAACTCCCTAGCGGCTTTTACTAGGAACTGGACCGATTCCATCAAAATCCATCTATCACTGTGCAACTGATGCAAAACTGTACACGACATAATCGAATCTACCACTGACGCACTGGTTGACATTCATGGACTTGCTACACATGGCTTTTATCACAATAGCAGTACAGGAATCTAGGCAAAATCAATCGGATACCCCTAGCACTGCTTCAGGCCATTAGGCCCAAGTCCATCATACTCCATCAATATTTAGGCATGCCAGGCCTTCTGGACCAAGTCCCACAAAATCCAACAAAATGGGGGGATCGATTGTGATGGCTAACTAAGTCCGTTAAAGGATATGAGGTACATTAATCTGAACGTTTGATAAACCAAAGGTTCATTTGAATCAACAATGACCTGGTTAAAGGTAAGATTTGAATAGTGAGCTATCTTATTGTTTCAATGCTTACTGCAGCAGCAACCCTTCTCGTGCGATGACAAAAGGGGAACACGTGATAGCGCACGCCTCGCTGAAATTCTTTGTACTTGAATGCGTAGACGAACGGATTGACCACCGAGTTGACAGAGGCTACAGTCGGCTGCAACGCAATCAAAATGTTGAATGCCATGGAAGGCAGGTTATGGTGAAAGAGCACAACCAAGAAGAAAATGTGAACGGGTACCCAGACGACAAGGTAGAGCAACGCGACGATCAAGAGGACTTTGATGACTCTTCGACGTGCCGTCAATAGCTCGTTGGCGGGTGCATGATTGTTGTCTCGTTGCTGATTTTCGGCTGATTTCTGCAGATTGATCAACATCTTTCCATAGCACCAAAGAAGAATTGCAGCTGGCACATAAAACTCAAGCAAAGCCACGAAATAGAACAGTATTGTCTCAGATAGGCCGAACATTAAACACCGATTCATGTCGCTGTTGAAAGCCTGCGCTGCCAGTTGAGGTATGTTGGCCATTATTGCGATACTCCAGACCACCGCAATCGTGATTCCAACCCTTGTCTTCGTGACAAGGCGGGGGTATTTTAACGGATGGACTATACCCAAGTAGCGCTCCACTGTCAGGCAGACCATACTCAACAAAGAAAGGTCACATGATAGCCACATGATCCTTTTTCCGAGGAAAAATTTGCAAAACATCTCCTGTTTTGCACTGTCATCATGAATATTATCTTGGACGTATCTATTTTGAAAACTGACCAGGGACGCACAGACGAGGATGTCTGCCACTGCCATATGCGCGATTAGAAAATTTGTGACATTGTGCATAAACTTTGCCTTTGCTATGGTAACACAGACAAGGGCATTCCCCAAAATTCCCGTCACGCCAAGAATCACTTGCACACAGAATGTTGCATTTTCAAGGTCGTGCACGAAGCCATGAAATTGCTGGTCCGTAGAGTTATTGTAGAATCCCATTGCAGTAATCAGCTTTGTAGCTCCTTGTGTTCTGAGGTTGTAAACTGTAAAATAAACCCAAGAGAAATCAACTTCGTTACGTCATTTCCAAATTGAGGAGTTGTTATGTTTGACCAAATATAACTTTTTTTGGAGGGGGGTGTTGGAGTGAAAACCGTCAAAAATAGAAAACGTATGACTTCATTAAACTTGAAATAAAAGTTATTATATATAAAATACCCACCCTGTGCGTGCTGATTTAGGTAAAATTTCACTTTCTCGGTAAATATCCGTGGAGAATCTCGAACGTCTGTTGAGCTCAACTCCCTCGTTCGCTGTTGTTCGCTCTTTAGTTCATGAGTGTGTGGTTTTGTCTTGAGCCTGCTTTAAATTAACGTCGACACGAGTTTTCACTTATTAAAATATACTTGGAGTTATTCATTAAGAATAGAGGCGTTCTTAGTCTACATCTCTTAGATCTTGTGACCCATTGTGCGTACTCAATCATGTGGGGCCTACCCCTGACAACGGGTAGTCTGAGTATCTCTCGTTGTCCAGCAATTAAAGCCCTCTCCGTAACTAACATCTGGTGTTTCTCCTTCCAACCCTACACCCCTGAGTGGCCCCTACATGTTTGTTTCTTGATCCACTGTCATTTGCCTCTGAAGAAGGCCCTGCTATAAAGGCTCAAGTATCAGGCAATTTTTACATTTTTGATTCGAATATATTTCACGTCTGTCCATTCAGTGAGCAGTTTGCAGCAGTTTAATTCTTTTAAAAAAAAAAGAGTAACATTTTTGGACTGAGCCTACTTCATATACATATGCGCCTATCAAGTATGAGGACAATCATTGAATTAGAAAAACTGGATGACCCATTTTAAAAAAATATTTATTGAAATTAGCTCGATTTCTACAGTAATACATAACAGGTTCCTGTATGGCCTTTCGTCTGAGATACTGTATGTGCTAACTTACAAGACATCTTCTAGACTTTGTTTCATTAGAGCTGGCCGCAATCTTTGGCTGTCTAGCAACAAAGGTGTGATGTTATCTGCCTTGATAAATGACTCTATGGAAAGATTTTGCAATTGCTATTACATTATAGTCTGGCAGATTGCTGCACAATATGATGGAATTGTTCATTTGATGATAAAAGCATGACATTTGGCACACAGTCAGAGTATGTTATGGGAAAGATATTTTGCTATAGGGCGATCACTAGATATGTCCTTTGAAAATAAAAATTTATAAAATAACATGCAATGGCCTCCATTTTGAAAATTTTGAAAATTTCTTGTTATCCTATGATATATTTTCAAAGGACAAATCTGCGATGGCCCAATAGCCAAATATCTTTCCCATGACATTCTCTGACCGTTTGCCAAATGTTATGCCTTTATCATCAAACTGGACAATCTTATAACCAGTCTCCTGTACTGTTAGGGCCAGTTTCTGTCCATTGAGTTACATTTACAAGCTTGCTGATGCATTTACATCCTATATCAACCTTTTTATTTCAATTTTAATATTTGATCCTCGGTGTGTCATTTTAATGACAAAAAAACATAGGCCTACAACTTTTCTACATATTAGAAGATAGAGTACATGTATATTCCATTATCAAAAGCTGAACAAAGGAGCACAAGTTTATGAATTTCTTTTTGTATCTAATTTTCCATTTTTGTCTCTGAAAAAAAGTGCTCACCCATCACGATAATCGTCTTAATAATAAACCTAACTGGTTTCGTTACCCAGGATAATTGATTGGTACTCTTGACTAGCCGGCTGACTTTACAAACAAACTTGTTCATTAATCTGAACAAATGAGAATTACTCTGCTCAATAAGTCGATCAGCAATAGGGCATGAAGGATCTTGAGTAGTATGCAAACAGCCTGCTGTCAGTCTCAGATTGATGCCTCTACTTACGTAGTTGTAGCAAGGTTCGCTGTGCGTCTCATGCAAAACTGTACATGACATAATGGAATCCACCACTGATGCACTGGTTGACATTCAAAATGGCTTTTATCAAAATAGCAGTACAGGAAGCTAGGCAAAATCAATCGGATACCCCTAGCACTGCTTCAGGCCATTAGGCCCAAGTCCATCATGCTCCATCAATATTTAGCCATGCCAGGTCTTCTGGACCAAGTCCCACAAAATCCACCAAAATGGGGGGATTGTTTTTATGGCTAAATAAGTCCGTAAAAGGATATGAGGTATATTCATCTGAACATTTGATAAACCAAAGGTTCATTTGAACCAACAATGACCTGGTTAAAGTTAAGATTTGAATAGTGAGCTATCTTATTGTTTCAATGCTTACTGCAGCAGCAACTCTTCTCCTACGACGACAAAATGGGAACACGTGAAAGCGCAAGCCGCGCTGAAATTCTTTGTACTTGAATGCGTAGATGAATGGATTGACCACCGAGTTGACCGAGGCTATAGTCGGCTGCAACGCAATCAAAATATTGTGGGCCACTAAAGACAGGTTAGGTTTAAAGAGTCCAACCATGAAGAACAGATAAACAGGTACCCAGATGACAAAGTAGAGCAAGATGACAGTCAAGAGAACTTTGATGACTCTTCGACAGGCCGTCAATAGCTCGTTGGCGGGTGCATGATTGTTCTCACGTTGCTGGTTTTCAGCCGATTTCCGCAGACTGATCAAAATCTTTCTGTAACACCAAAGAATAATTGCAGCTGGCACGTAAAACTCAAGCAAACTTACAACACTGACCAGCGCGATACTTGTGTCAGATATGCCGGACGTAAAACACTGTTTTGTGTCGCTGTTGAACGCCTGCGAAGTTAGATGAGGGATCTTGGCTATTATTGCGATACACCAGACCACTGCAATCATAATTCCAACTCGTGTCTTCGTGACGAGGCGGGGGTATTTTAACGGATGGACGATACCTAAGTAGCGCTCCACTGTCACGCAGACCATACTCAGTAAAGAAAGGTCACATGATAGCCACATCAGTCTTTTACCATGAAAGAATTTGCAAAACATCTCCTGTTTTGCATCATCATTGCTGGCATCCTCCACATATCGTTCTTGGAAAATGACCAGAGACACGCAGACGAGGATGTCTGCCACCGCCATGTGCGCGATCAGAAAATTTGTGACATTGTGCATAAACTTTGCCTTTGCTATGGTAACACAAACAAGGGCGTTCCCCAAAATGCCTGTCACGCCAAGAATCACTTGCACGCAGAAAACTGCGTACTTGACTTCAGTCATGCACAGTTGCTGGTTCGTAGAACTATTGTTGAACTCCATCCTGGCACTCAGGTTTTTTATTGTTCTCCTGTCGTGGATATTCTGAGCTGTAGAATAAAACACAATAAACCTCAGTGCATCAGTCAGGTCGGCGTAGCGGTTCTTTCCTCGCTTTCCACTGCTGTGACCCGGGTTCGAATCCCGCCTGGGCCAACATGTGGATTGGGATTTCAGTCCCTGCCTGATTCCGTGGATTTTCCCAGAATATATTCTTTAGGGCTTTTCCTTCCAACTCTAAAACTGTAACTTCTTCTCATTGTCTTCTCTCCACAGGTTTCTTCAGGCTTGTGAGCTACAGTGCCTAGGGCGCTTTTGAGGAATCCTTGGTTTCATTACCAGAAATAATTCATAATAAGAAGAAGTTTTTGCACATATGTATTCATGTACATGTGCATGTACATGTAAAGTTGCACTGAAACTTTTGCAGACCATGTATATTTTGAAGACCATTTTGCAAACTTTTGCAGACCATGTCCAAAAAAGGGATTGAGTTATACATGCACTCTCCTCACTCCCACAATAGCCTTTAAAACATTCAATTGGTTGGAGTATGAAAAAGTAGGAAAAGGTTATCTTAAAAATATAATGACAACATTTGAAAGAATACCCACCTTGTGTGTGATGATTTAGGTAAAATTTCACTTTCTCAGTAAATATCCGAACGCCTGGTAAGCTTGTCTGACGCGGTCGATGTCATACGCTCTTTTGTCTGTGAGTTTGTGTTTTCAGCTTGGTTCTCCTTGAAATTTACGTCGGCAGTGGTTTTGACTTACTGAGTACACTTTGGGTTAGTTATTAAAGGCGTATGCGAGCTTTTTTGAATGCGGGCTTTTGTGAATGCGTGTTCTAAATCTAAACCAAGATTAGATCTTGTGACACATTCTGTGCTCTCGGTCTATCGGACCCTGCTCCAGACAAAGGGAATTAATTAGGGAGTAACATGTGAGGACCTGGTCTTCACTGCGTGATAATGACCGGGTTGGAGGGATGGCCGCTGTTAAAGATATAGTCCATCATTTGTAATTTGTGCATTTTGTTTGTTTGAAGCAACAAAAGTGGTCAAAATCTAATGAAGGATACTGAACAACTAACCTGATGAAGTTTCAGCTCAGCTTCAGCTGTATATTCTGAGAAAAACAGCATTCTAGGATCTCAATTTCAAATCAAAAGTTGCTGAATCATGTTTTGAATTGTTTTGAATTGCAGCTATACGCGATGTCGCGCACTGATCCGATGAATTATAGCAACCGCGCGCACCTGTGCGTCGTGCCAATGCTTGCGCACGCTGCGCCGAATAACAGAACGAACTACTAATTTAAATTTTTCTACGGTGCGTTGGAAAGGCCTTCTTTCGTTGATTACTTCAAAATGACAGCTTGCCAGAAAGATTAATTTCACAGGGAGTTTAGTCCACTTACTCTCTTTCAACCAAGTATGTTTTTCATCAATAATACGCCAGTTACTTTTTCGGATGGCTGCAAATGATGGACTATAGCTTTAATGGACAGTTTGTAGTAGAGTACACTTTTTTTCCGAGTACAGAGTACTGCTGAGTATACCGAGTACTTGTACTTCCGAGTACAAGTACAGGTCTCCAAGTACAAGTACTCGTACTTCTGAGTACGAGTACTTTTACTTCCGAGTACGAGTACGATCCAGTATCGACCAATTAATACAATTTTATTAATACAATTTAATCAATCATAATGGTGAAAGTAATATTACAATGTTGGCACAGGAGTATGCAAAAAGACCCATTGCACGGCATTAAGTAACATTTAGGACCAACACTAGTTCAAAGCTCATCAAATATAAGAAACATGTATGAATTAGAAAGGCACGATGCCCAATTTGTTTTTATAAAATAAATTGCAATAAGCCCAATTTCTACAGGGATAGATAACAGGTACTGGTACCGCTTCTTGTCTAAAATAAAATTCTGTGCGTGACATATTAAAAGATGTCTTCCAGACTTTAATTAATTAAAGTCGGCCGCAATCCTTGGCTGTCTAGCAACAAAAATATGATATCATCTGCCTTGACGAATGTTTCTTTGGAAAGATTTTGGCATTTGCAATTACTTTACATGTATGCCAGTTGCTGTCATTGGCATTTTCGCCATTAGCCAAAAAAAATTCTAATTTTTGTCGATATTTTTAGGAATGTTAGGTATTGTGAATTCTGTGATTTCAACAATTGTCTTTTTACAAGTCTACTCTTCACAATTACATGTACATGTACATACAAGTAGACAACTTGCATGAAGTTAAAATGTCCTTAAATACATGTGCATTTGAATGTAAAATCGAAATTAATAAAGATGTCCAAACTCCAAATATAACACATAGGCCTAAAAGCTGAAACTACAGGTGCTTATATCTTCCAAGCACTATTTCTCAACGGTTGTGAATTCCTGTTTGTATCTGATTTTCCAGTTTTGTGTTTGACAAAAAGGCTCAACCAGCGTGATACACGACTTAATAAATCTTACTGCCTGCATTAGTCCAGGATAATTGATTGTTACTCTTAACTAGCCAGGCTGACTTTACAAACAAGCTTAGGTCATTAATCTGAACAAATGGGAAATAAAGTCAGCAGTAGGGCATTGAAGGTACAGTCCATCATTTGTAATTTGTGCTTTTGTTATTTTGAAGCAACAAACGTGCTCAATTTCCAACGGTGCGTCTTTAGACACACCGTTGGAAAGGCCTTCTTTCGTTGATTTCTTCAAAATGACAGCATGCCAGAAAGAATAGTTTCATAGGGAGTTTAGTGCCCTTACCACCTTTCAACTAAGTATGTTTTTCAACAATAATTACGTCAGTTACTTTTTGGATAGCTGCAAATGATGGACTGTAGCTTTAAGTCCAATTTCAATCCAAAAGGTGAACAAAGGAATGGTTGTGAATTCATGTTTGTATCTGATTTTCCAGTTTTGTATCTGAAAAAAGGCTCACCCAGCATGATACACAACTTAATGAATCTTACTGCCTGCATTAGTCCAGGATAATTGATTGTTACTCTTCACTAGGCTGGCTGACTTTACAAACAAGCTTAGGTCATTAATCTGAACAAATAGGAACTAAAGTCAGCAGTAGGGCATGAAGGATCTTTTGCAAAAAGCTTGCCGTCAGTCCCAGATTGATGCTTGTACTTACATGTGATTGATACTTTTATACTTACGTACTTATTACGTTAAGAAAGATAGATATCGTAACTGCCTAGGAGCAGGCAATTATTGACAGATGAGGACATTGTTGGGGTGGGGGTGGGGGTGGCGTATGGTGGGGGGCCTATAACTTGAAATTACAATTATTTGGTTCAAAATTTGTCAAACAAAAGTCAAACATAGGCAGCCGTGCAGCAAACATAGATATATATATGATATAAGTTTAGAGATAAGAATGCTTTGGTTAATTTTCTTGCTACACTAAACTGGTCTACAAACATACATGGGTATCAGATGATACATTTTGCCATAGCCAGCGTAGCCACTCTGGGATTTTTCCCGAAGATCTTGGGAATTTAGGCCCGGACTTGGGAATTTTTCTTTGAGCCTTGGGATTTGTTTCGTTTTGGACACACATGAAATTACGGAGTGCGCATTTGCAAAACGTTAATTGAAGCACTTTCTGAGCTCCATTCACACAGAAATAGCATCCGTGCTGCTATTTTGATACACAATCCCGAGATCTAGGGAAATCTTTGGAATTTTTCAGAGGTCATTTTGGGATTTTCAAATTGATGAGTGGCCACACTGGCTTTAGCTGTGCGATTGGGGGCGCTGTAACGATGCTTTTTTTGACGTACAAACAGACTTGAATACCACGTATGTATTTTAAATAAAACAAAAATTAAATTTTTACAATCCTTAATTTCAGATTGAAACAAAGTTCCTAAATTGCTTTTTAAAAATCCAGGCTAAGTTATAACTGTCACCATATCATTGACTCTTGGAAGGGCATCAGCCACTCTTTGTCGGCGGAACCAGAAGGCAAACACGTAATTGCGAACTCCATTCTGAAACTCCTTGTACTTGAAGGCGTAGACGAACGGATTCACTACGGAGTTTGTCACAGCCACGGTCGGCTCCACCAGAAGCAAAACCAACATCACTTCGCGAGAGATGCCCTTGTGGAAAGTCACCAAGCTCAAGAGGACGTGAACGGGCAACCAGATGATCAGATAGAGCACGGAGACGATCAGAAGGACCTTGATGACTCTTCGACGGGCCATCAGAAGCTCCTTGGCAGGCGCTGGGTTGTTCTCTCGCCGCTGATGCTGCGCGCTATTCTGCAAGCTGACCAAAATTTTCCCATAGCACCAGAACAATGCCACGACAGGACCAAGAAAGCTAACTATACCCACAACAAAGAAAGACACGGTACTTTTGTGGGATACAGCATCCGCATGACATTGTTTTGGGGCCTCAGTAGACGATTTGGACGTCATGATAGGAATCTGAGCCAGGACAGATAAGCACCAGACAGCAACCACCATGAGGCCAAGTCTAGTCTTAGTGAAGAGTCGCGGATGTTTCAAGGGATGGACGATAGCCACGTACCTCTCCACGGTCACACAGAGCATGCTTAGAATGGACAGGTCACAGGTCAACCAGAACATAATTTTGGCCCAAAACAACTTGCAGACTATCTCCCTGCCAGCGGTGCTTTTGGTCGCCAAATGCCGGACGTACCTCTCTTGAAAAATGACCAGCGACACGCAGACGAGGATATCAGCCACGGCCATGTGCGCGATGATAAAATTGGTGACATTGTGCATGAATTTCGCTCGCGCTATCGTGACGCATACCAGAGAATTCCCCACAATTCCAGTGACACTGAGCATCAGTTGCACAATAAATATGGCAAGATCTAGTCTTTCATACACGTCAGAAAGCTCCAATTCTCCAGTTGCAGAGTTATTCTCATTTGCTTCAACAAAGGAACTCATCTTAACAAATCACTCTTGCAGACACAGACTTCAGACACAAATTTCAAACCTGAAATTACAATCACATCAAACAATTCTTATTAGCAGTTGTGTATTTTGGAAAACCTAGCAAAGCTGATCCAGTTAATTCAGGTCATGATTGTTCACAGGAAGTGTTTTCGTGCATCTGGTCTACACTATGGGCCAGATTTAGTGCATTCGCTGGCGTTACGGAGTAATCCTATATGATAGCACTGCCCAGCTCACAAGTGACAGTCTGTCAGTCAGTCAGTGACACTAGGCTGGCCCTCTGGGACCAGCACAAACTTCATCTTGCCCAATAGCCGAACCAACTTCAAGTTGTCAAACATCAACACAAATATAATTATACAATGTCTAACTTCAATTTCACGATGATACACGTATCTCATCTAATAATAATAAGAAGAATACTGGAGTCTATCTACCAATGACCAACATGACCAACAATTAGGTACTCAAGGCGCTCATGAATTTATTTTAAAGACAAGTAAATGAAGTAATTGAAATATGAGACCTGTTCTATGTAGCACCTTATGAGGGTATACAAGGTGCTGCGGCGCATTAAGCAGCCACTGCCAGAAACACCGGGGCAAACCCCTTCTCTTAACGATAAGTGTTACTAGGTTCTTTTACGTGCATTACACAACACACAGGACTCAGCTTTACCGTTTACATCAAATCCTAAGGAAAAAACAATAATAATAATGGTGAAGTGCCATGCTTAAGGACACAAGTGTCAAGACCAGGACTCGAACCCATACTCTGCTGATCAGAAACACCACCCAGCTCGAGTCCGGTGCGCTAACAGCTGGGCCATGACGCTCCAGCTAAGAGCCTAATAGACTGAAAATGTCTTCAAAATCTCTTAAATTTGTTGACCTTTGAAAGAACCATTTGGTTTCTCTAATGCCCTGAACTGTATGTTTCAAATTAAGATGCATTGCCTGAAACCAAACTATCTATCCTTTACCTGTAGAAAACGAAGCAAATAACTGTCTCTTTTCGTAGTCGTGACCAGCTCCTTCCCCAGAACAAACTGTAACTGTTTTAAGACGTACTAAATCAAGGTTGACATTCCTCAGACCCATGCAGCATCGTCATTCACTCGCATCACCCGTTTTCTGTGGAAGCAGCGATTAAGTGCGCATCAAGTGGCTGTAGTAATTATTAGCCCAGGTCTAATGAAATGGGTGATTGATTTTTCTCGTGTGCTGAGTTTTTGGCAGTAGCACCACGCATTAATTACTGACTACTTTGATATTGGCTGGTCGTTGATTGAGACGTTCACTTACATGCAGCTGCTCTAGAGCAACAGTTTCACACGCATGTATTAGATACAACATTTGCAAGCCTGCCAGACTAATTCTCTGACCTTATAATTCCCCAAAGTCTATAAATTGCTCTGTTTCATCTTAAGTGGGGTCGGGGAACCAGACTACAAGAATATGATTGGTTGTTTTTGGTTTTTCCAGCATCTACATGCCCAAGAAGTGAAAGTCAGTTTAACAATATTTTCTGTAACATACTAATCCTCCAAATCCATTTATTTCTTGAAATTGCAGCAAAAGCAAATGCTGTACATTCCCTTTAAAACTAAAAGCATTTTTTGATAGCCTTGTTACAGCAGGAGAACCTGTGTCTACAATAGTTGAGATGGACAATCATCTTGGGATTAATAATTTATAGACAAACTCCAATGCCTTAAAAGCATTCTGTCATAAAGTCTGGGAATCAGACAATCTCATGTGCAGAGCCACGGTCAAATGTCTGATGTTTGAGACCTGCGCACCAGCCAATTGGAGTTGACTTCAGAAACTCTGACATAATTTCAAGGCCAAAAAAAATATGTCTCCGGTTTCTGGTATGGAGCTTGCCCCAAAAGCGGTGCGGCGACATGGTTTTTTTTTTCCCCCCCTACTTTTTTTTCTTCAAATGTCGGCTGATGTTTTAGATGATGCTTCAATCCCTTAAAACTCTAAAAAAAAAATATCCTTCAGAGTGGAGCTTGAGGTGACCTCAGTGAAGCCATAAGGCTGAGAATTCTGCATAATTAATTAATTCTGCTCACATACATCAACATATCATAGACCCTTCCTGTATAAGGGGATATTCCATAGACATGCTACTGATCGAACAATAAATCTCAGAAATGAAAAGAAAGCTTTTGCTTTTTTCTTTTTTTTTAAGTGAATTTTTAAAAGTGAAAAATGTCTTTTCAAACTCATTTTGTTTGATCTGATTAAAATTTTACAAAATTCTGATGAAAATTTAACAAGATTTGCCCTTTGCCCTGCAAGCATAGTGGGAACCACGAAGTTGGGAAAATAATGGATAAGCTGTCAGAATGAAATGTGCCGATACAGTGAACGCACTGTTAAGCATTATCCAGAAATAAATTTCTAATAATGAATTGCTTGGCACCACCTGTGTAAATTTGTAGAAATTCTGAAAGCTTCATGCAAACATTTTTTCACCAGTTTCTGTGTTCTTAACTTGATTTTGATCCACTTTCAGTTTGTACAGGCCCAGCCTGACTCAGTAAAATGTTTACATATAAACATTTTTTTAGGTGGTCCATAGTGTTCAAGGTCCAGTGATAGCTTCATGTCTCAACTCTTTCAATTTTAGCTTTTGCCGCTAGTTTCACTGTCTGACTTACTGACTGACTGTCACTTGTGAGCCGGGCAGTGCTATCATATAGGATCACTCGGTAACACCAGCAAATCCGGCCCACTGTGTAGACCACATCCATAAAAAGACTTCCAGTGAATAGTCATTCTAAAGTGACTGAATAGTAGGCCTGGGCGAGTAGTAGATTTTATACTCGAGTACTTTCAAAGAAATTACTCATGAGTAGTCGAGTACTCGCGAGTCGTTAACGGAATTCCCATAAAAGCAGTACAATTACATATACGTTAGTGTGACGGGAAGTAACTACAAGCAAATAGCATGCAAGTCACACCACACTCTTCAGCACTGAGATATCCTTACTGTGCGACATTTTGAGTCATTTACTTGAATTTTTGAGGTTTTTTTGACAAATGGAATATCCTAGGCATGCTAGGGAGAGAGAGGGGGAGGGAGTGATTCCCTGTTTGCAGGAGACGTATAAGCCGTGAACCCTAACCCATAAATTGCTACTGGTGAGTACCTTCTACTCGCGCCAGGACGAGTACTCGAGTAGATGAAAAACCACGAGTGGAACAACGAGTAGCATAAACTACTCACGAGTACTCGAGCAATCGAGTTACTCGCCCAGTGAATATTCGGTGTATTTGGGACCAGCTTTACTACAGGGTTTGTCTTGTCTTGGCATGATTCAACTTTTTCCTTTTTTGTTCATTTTTGTTCTTTTGTTTTCGATTTCTCTTCAGGGCCTTCAGGAGCGTGTGCTAAAGAGACAGACCATTCTCTCATACTTGGGCGACCTCGTCGAGCTCAGCCAACCCATGTTGCGCAACATGAGGTCAGCCAGTGACCTCTTATGGATCTACAAGGTCATAGGTCACGTAGTCAAGTACTGTTCCAGCATTCTTTACGTGAAGGTAAAACAATTGCTTTTTTTTTTTTTTTATTTGTCATGAATGTTCTTTTCCTGGTATGAGATTTGAGAACTCATTGATATGGTGTCTTTTCTCGTATACATGGCGTCTTTGTTGAAGACATAGTGTCCGTGCTCGTAACAAAAATGTTTCACTTTTTCTCCTGAAAGTGGCAAAGTTTCAACTAAAATTTCAACTTTTCCAAAAATACTTTTTCTATTTTGGACACCGCAAGTTAACCCTGCCGAGTGGTTCCCAGACCCTACATTATTGATTTTGATAGTGGGGCTGGAACCAGTCTATCCTGCGCAAATTCAATTGGTAAAGTAGATATTCCATAACTACACATGGGCCAATTGTTTTCGTTCAGTGTCTCAATAAAGAGTGAATTAATTGTAAAGCTAGAAAAAATAACAGTTAAGAAGATAAGTCTGTATTCAGGGCACAACTGAATTTCTTTAATGCTCATCCCCAGTTTTGAGTGCATTAAAAGCTCATGCCTGAAAAATAAACATAACTGCAACGAAGTCATTTTTGTTTTTAAATTTAAACATGCATTCCCTGTGCTATTTTCGAGTTTTTCTTCTTAACCAGTTCACGCCCGGATAATTTTGACAAGAATGGGAACAAAAAAACAAATTTGTTGAAGAGCATTGCGAACGCAAATCGATTTTGTTCCGTTTTCTTCATTATCCAGGGCAAGTCTCAAGCTCAGCTGCCAGGAATTCTGACTGAACTGATCCTGCCGCCGGCCTTGTTCAATCCCAAGAAGGGCCTGCCATCACAAATGCTGTCCGCCATCCGTGAAACTTTGCATCTGGTAAACAAATACTCTTTAATCAATATCTGCTCATTATGCGATCTTTGTGAACCCTCTGAAACTTTAATCTCCAATCCCTACATTATGGGCCTGCGCGCCAACAAAAGAGGGCGTGTTTTTACCACTTTTGAGAAACCCTGACGGGGCATACAGCGTGCGCGTACTGTTCTGTACAGGTTTGCATGCGAAGTAAGCGCGACTTACTGAATGTGCCAAGATATTAGCAACAGCGTCTTCGCGTGAGCGTCAGGCATGGTGAGCGCGCGAATACGTTCAAATTTAACTTGCGATGGTCTCCCAGACTAATCCCGGCCGCCAATAACCTTTGATCATTCGAAATATGCAGTGGATGGACCGGGAACCAGTCTAGGTCTCCCCCAACTCTCCTTTTCTGGCCGTTGAAGGAGTACCTCTACACGGAGCCCTTGATAAGGAGGTGGGAACCAGACTACCCTGCAAGAACTGAATTCAATATTGCATTTTTGCCCTTCACCGACGTATTTGTATTAAAAAATTTATAAATCATTGTTGTCTCGAGCGATTGTGAGAAAAAAAATCACAAACCGCTTAATTATAGTGAGGGCACGAATAATTCAAAATTGGAACGTGATTATTCCATAACTCAGCTGATAGGGGTTTTTTTCCATTCAAAATCGAATCCAAAACTTGAATTTCTAGGAAAACATGTAGAAATACTTAAAAGACAAAATGTTTTTTGTTCTACATGTAGTTGAAACTCAAAAGATACCATAGACGGTCATGTTTAATGGCAGAATAGTTTCCTAAATACAAATATTTTTGGTCTGTTTGTTTCAGTTTCTAGAGGGTCTGGCCAGCCTGGACCTGCAGCGAGATGAATTCATCCAGCGCAAAGTTCAAGAAATCGTTCAGCAGTACTTCCTCCGGTTTCAAGTTGTAAGTTCAAACGTCCCTCGCAATAATTTGATTCATTAAACCCTGTACCGCCCCAAACTGCCTTGCCTATTACTCCCTGAACTGCCCCAAACCACTGTGCCTGATACTCCCTGTTCTGCCCCAAACAGCCCTGCCTGTTACTCCCTGTACTGCCCTAAACTGCCATGCGTGTTACTCCCTGTACGGCCCCAACTGCCCTGCCAGTTACTCTCTGTACTGCCCCAAACTGCCCTGCCCGTTACTCTCTGTACCGCCCCAAACCATCCTGCCTGTTACTCCCTGTACCGCCCCAAACCACCCTGCCTGTTACTCCCTGTACCGCCCCAAACCGCCCTGCCTGTTACTCCCTGTACCGCCCCAAACCACCCTGCCTGTTACTCCCTGTACCGCCCCAAACCACCCTGCCTGTTACTCCCTGTACCGCCCCAAACCACCCTGTCTGTTACTTCCTGTACCACCCCAAACCACCCTGCCTGTTACTCCCTGTACCGCCCCAAACCACCCTGCCTGTTACTCTCTGTACCGCCCCAAACCACCCTGCCTGATACTCCCTATACTGCCCCAAACCACCCTGCCTGTTACTCCCTGTACCGCCCCAAAGATAGATGATGATGATGATGAAATTTTTACTCGCATTTATTTTTCTCTCCCGTTTTAATTCGCTCATCTCAGAAAAGTTCAACCTTGGCTACGACGTCTTCAGGCAGCTCATCTGCAAACCATCCTTTCATGGTAAGATGAAAAATTAAATTCATTTTTTTGTCTTTGGAAAATGAAAAAAATGGCGACCAAAATTGAGATAAGAATTAAAAATGCATTTCGAATTTTTTTTAACAGGTTGCATTACATAAATCCTGTGCACGACAGCCAAACCCACAGATCAGGTTTGTAAATCTTTTGTGAAAATAATAAAAATACTAGATCGTTGAAATACTAGTAGTGCTATGAACCCTAATGGGGGAACATGGTGATTGTGTCCTTGGGCAAGACACTTTACTACAATTGCCTCTCTGCATTCAGAGATATAAATGGGTACCTATGAGGGTACGGACCAGATCTCGTGCTTATCTCAAGCTCCTGCAGAAAACTGGTCTCGAGGCCTGATGAACGGGGGTAATAATTGTGACATGACTTTGTATAAAACGCTATATAAGCACCACATCATTATTACCATGCTTCTTTGTTTTTAGTGCCCTGAGAGAGCTAATCCTTAAGGCTATTCGTCAACAGTACCTAATATACCACGGCCAGCAACCGCCTAGCCACTTACCATACACGCTGGCCTTCCTGCAAGAATTACTGCATAGAACTTACAATCCACAGCAGATTGCGAGGTAAGGATTATTGCTCAGTGCTAGATCTTGACTTTGGACGTGATCCCTGGCTGCATGGCATATACAGTTTTACGGCTTCTGACCAGCGCCCCTTGAACAAAGACAGTGACGAAATGGGGAACAGCCAACATAGGGCTGGATAGCTCAGTTGGTGGAGTACCGGAACGGCAAACCGGAGGTTGCAGGTTCAAACCCCACTCCACTCAATTTCGTTTATCAACTTTAAAAAAGAGAAAGTTCATTCATTTGATTGTCAACCAATGAATATCATTTCAGAGACACAGTGGTGTTACTTGGGGTAGTGTTGGACTACCTTCTTCTGTGTGATGTGAGTTCAGTGAAGAAATCCATGACGTTGCTACTGACCGCCATGATGGATGCGTGCAAGAAAGACACACCACTCAACCTCCAGTAAGTGGCTGTATTTAAGTCTGTCCCAGAAGGCCAGCCTGGGCCAAGTTCGGGCAAGGACCATTAGTCGACTAGTGGTTGATTTGTGACGCACCTTACGCCTGCGCACTGATAGCAACGTGCGAACGTCTCTAGTCAAACGCTGGTCAAAATGTCATCGCAAACTTCTGGATCCTGGCTCTCTGCTAGCGTTATGAATGCGCGCGGCTATTGGTTACCAGCGAAGCAACCAACCCCAGTAGGCTGGTTCCAAATAGTCGACTAGCGTAGTCAACCACCGTCGAGTAGACAGAGTTCGGGCAAACGTTAGTTAACCATTGGTCAACTGTAGTCCTTACGCGAACTTGGCCCCAGTGTCCTCTTTGTGACCATCCGACCGACTCCCCTTCCTTCCGACTCCTGGGGTTTCCTTCCCACCTCTAAGAACTGTAATTTCTTCTCATTGTCTCTTCTGTACAGCTTTCTTCAGGCTTGCGGTCTATAGTGCCTTGGGCACTTTTTATGAATCTTTTGTTTCATTACCAGAAATAATTAATAATAATAATAATTATGAGTTTCTAAGGCCAAAAAAAAAAGTCTCTGGTTTCTGGTATGGAGCTTGCCCAAAAAGTGGTGCGGCGACGCGGCTTTTTTTTTTTTTTTTTTTTTTTACCTGATTTTTTTGCTTCAAATGTCGGCTGATGACTGCAAATGATGCCCGACTAAACTTAGTGCAAATATATGGGAGTCCAGAGAGGCCACATAAAGCTTATTCTCAACCATAACCCAATCTAAAAACACGTTAAAATTGTGCAGCAGCAGGATTCCAGTCAAACCAGTGAGTTTGGCGGTTTTGAGACATCATCTTTTATTGAAAAAAAACTTTTTCATTTTGCCGACGCGCATGGCTACGGCGACGCGCGCGCATACCAGAAACCGGAGACTTTTTTTTTTTGGCCTAATGGATTAATTTGACAATATTTCAGAAAATCAAGTAATTTTCCATCATTGCTTTTTCAGGACCCAATTGCTGAGTGTCCTTCGAGGCTTTCTCTCCAAACATTTGAGAGTGCATCAAGCGGCCGCCCTACGTAGCCTGGAGACAGTGGCTGTGCAGCATCCTGCACTCATAACAGCTCTGATAAGTGACTGTTCCAGGCTAGTTTCGGCATGTGAACACAAGCGAGGGGTCGGGGCTGATAGCACACTAAGGTAAGATTTTGGTGAGTCAGTAAAGTCTGGCAAAAGCATATATGGCTCATGTTTCCTTGGCATGAAATGACTGAGAATATTTCTACTCCCCCTGGATGGGATGCCAGTCCATCGCAGGTTACTCCCCAGCTAATGCCGGTACCCATTTATACTCCTGGGTGGAGAGAGGCAAGTGGGGATGAAGTGGCTTGCCCAAGGACATAACATATTACCAGCAGCTGGATTCAAACCCCTGACCCTCCGATAGTGAGTCAGCTGATGCTGGTAACCACTTACAGATATTCGGAGATGATGAGAGGCAAGTGGGGGTAAAGTGGCTTGCCCAAGGACACAACATATGCCCAGCAGCTGGATTTGAACCCCTGACCCTCTGATCACGAGTCACGAATGCTAACCACTTAGCCACACTCCCCTTTAATTGTTTTGGAATGACCCCCAAACAAGTTTAATTGATTAAACAGGTTACTCACCAGCTATCAAAATTGAAGCATTCATATTATTATCTAAATAATTGATTTTCTTTCTTCTATTTTAGGCAAGCCTACTGCAATGTTCTGAGTCATCTCGGAGAGGCTGGGGAAGCAGTCATCACAAGGATAAAAAACGGAGAGAAACTTCTACAAAATTGAAAACATCGTCTTGTGCATGCAGCTAAGGGTATGGATTTTTTAGGGGTTAACCAGTCTGCGCCAGGGTTATTTTGACATTGACCGGACCAAGGCGCGAGATAGTTTTCACGAACCTCGATGCCAGACGGGTTCAGGCCGTCATCTGTGGGTAGCACACCCTGATATTTCCAGCCTCGCTTGTTGCGTGTTTATTCGTCATCCGTTCTGAACACCGCAAAATCTTTGCGTGTATACACGTCATCCGATGTGAACTGGTTGTCATATCCAGCATCTTGCTAAAGCGCTTGTTGGGATTCCATGCAGTCCCAAAAAATTAGAATGTGCTGGTTTCAATGGTTCGGTTTTGTGTACCAAGAGGTAGAACGATAAAGCGCTGAGCTACGAAAACACCACACAATAAATCTTTCATATATTTGTATACATTTATATGATTCTGCATGATTTTCTGCTCATTCGGTTTACTATCCGCTCTGTTCACAAGTACCCCCTCACTGGCAAAGAAAGTACAGTTGGGGGTGACCAACCGACGCCATCTTGCCTGACTGCAATTTTGCCGCGACGCGTGGCCAGCACTAGCACTGCGTTTACATAGTACAACTTTGAATCCATGTGTGTCACACACAAGGAACGGTACGCGTCAACCAGCAAAATGTCCCGCCCATGGGACGTCGTTGCTAGGTAAAAGGGCGCCCTCTTTCGTTGGCGCACGGAGCCCATACCAGGCAGTCAACCACTTTTACCATAATTTGCACGTAATCTTACCCAAAGGCCATTTGAAGTCCAGTGTTTTTGAATGGTCATTTGTACATGTATTAAGTGAAGATGTATGTTACTTGAACAAGCATTTTTGCTTTCTTCGGTACAATAATAATTGCCAGCTGTATAACTATTTATACAATACAAAGGAGGCATGGACAACTTTGTGCTTCCAGCAATTTTCAGTTACGCCTTTCTTACACTTTCCTAATCAGACGATCTTTAATTAACGACACTGGTATATGGCCGGTTCTACAAATTAAATACCATTCTTTCAGAATTTTACATTTTGAAATAATACATAAACCTAAGTTTCTTTTTTGTGTTGATAAAAAACCTCTTCCATAATTTCACAAGTACCAGAACTCTTAGTTGATTGCTGGTGGAACACGAAGGTGTATTAAAGGGAAGGATGTCACAAAGAGAGCGCATAATTATAAGCATCGCTCACACTTTATGAAATGACCTCCAAATGAACTTTTTGTCTCGGATAAAAATCTTCATTAATTGTTCAGACCATTGGGGTCTGTAACCAAAGGTTAAAAAAATATGCCATACAAATTGATACTGTTCAAAGTATACTACACATCATGCAGACAAAATTGTTTATAACAAAAATATAACTTTGATGAGTTTGGTTCAATAAAACAGTCACAGCAGATTCTGATGTGTGACCAGAAAAAATCACTGCAGTGTTAAGCCATGCTGTTGGTATTGAAACTCTTAAAGGGAATGTACATCATTGGCTTTTGCTGTAATTTTCAGAAATGAACTATTTGAGGGGTAAGTATAATAGATCAAATATTGTTACACTGACATTGAAATTTTGTGTTCGAAAATGCTGGAAAAACCAAGAAAAACAAAAATGTTCAAGTAGTCTGGTTCCCTGACTCCACTTATGATAAATGGATCAATTTATAGATGCCGAAAAATTGTAAGGTAAGGGAACCAGTTTAGCTGGCCTGCACCCGTTCATTAACATGTAACGAATAGCAAGGTAAATTTGGAGCAGTAGTTGAAAAATAGTTAGGTTTTTCCAACGGTGGTCGGCCGACCACCGTTGGAAATGTATACAAAAATACCATTTTCTTGAAAATGACTTCACACCAGGTGCCGTAATTTTACAGGATGCTTTAAAGCTGTAATTTACTAACATCCTAGTAAGGTATTTTGTAAAAACTTGGTAGTTTTATTTGTCGATGTTTACAAATGTTGTATATTCCCTTTAACAATCTCTCGAGCTTTGTTGTTCCTGTATGCTGAGCATCCATCACTGGTACTCGTCAGATAAACAAGGCTTTCCTATGGACTCGGCGCAGGGACTGTAGTTGGTGCCCTGCGGTCTATTCATAAGAACCACAGTGCACATGTAAACTGAACGGAAAACACTCATGTTTAGCTAAGAGCCTACAATCGTTTACAGTTATTTAGCATTAACTATTCCAAGTGGGTGACAATCTGCATTGAAATCGGAGGGGCCATTCCTGAGATCCTTAAGGGGATGGATTGCGCCATCAGTTGTCAGAGGCCCCCAAAATTGATGTTTTTGGGATAACACTTCCGACGAAGATTGTGCTTAAACGTGCCACCTGATAGCTTGGCAACAGAAAGAATGGAATTCAGCACCCTCGAATTGACAAAGAACAAGCATTTTTAAATTGCCACCAGAAATCTTGAACGGACTTCATTTTCTAGGTGAGATAGGATTTCTGGCCCACAGTCTATGTGCTCAGTTTCCACTGAATAAATGTTTTTCATTCTCGGCCTAATGATGCTGTGTTCACACTCCGTTGTCCTATGGTCCGATGGTAAATGTGTTCGACCCGTGCGCCATGGTACGTGGGTGTGAACTCTGATGGGAACATGGTGGTTGTGTCCTTGGGCAAGGCATTTTATTACAATCGCCTCTCTTCAACCAGGAGTATAAATGGTACCTGCAAGGGTAGACACCAGATTTTGTTGATGTCGACTGCAGAAACGTGGTCTCGTGGCCTGATGATGTGAACAGGGGTAATAATTGTGAAGCGCTTTAAGATATACCCGTGGTGGAAAGCGCTTTATAAGCACAGTATTGTTATTATTTCTACTCAGTCAACGACAGCTGGAGGGCGTCGTGAAGTGGAGCCACTTTTTTAGAGAAAGTTCAAACTGACAGAGTCTTCATCAGTCCCACAAAATTTATCATTGGGGTTTGTCTTTCGTCACGTCGGCCATCTTCAGTATATTCCTGGCTTGAAGAACGAGGGGCATGTCGATCATGCTGTCCCGAAAAGTGAAGGCTCCCTTTAAAGATAAAAAAGGAAAATAACAAAAATAGGCATAAGGTTTTGAATACAAAAAGAAAATTTGGTTTGTCTACATTTCTCACAGTGCTTGTGACCAACTTGACCATGGTCACCTGACCAAACGTCATGACCTCATTGGTCACTTTATATTTGATTGACAAGCAGGAAGAGTCCATCGCCATGGGCCATAAGCCCCGCCCACCTTTAGGTTGTGTACACTTCTCACAGTGCTTGTGACCAACTTGACCATGCTACACTGGTCACCTGACCAAAGTTGATTGGTCAGTGCGCACTGCTTGATTGACATGCAGGGCCGAAATGTAAAATCAGTAAAACAATTTGTAGCAATGACACGTCAATTTAGGGGTGTGATACCTCAGCTTTAAAGCTGATTTCAGCTTTTTTTTTGTTTTAGATTTCAGCTTTTTTTCCTCACTTGTTGTGTACAATAGTATAGGAAATTTCCAAGTTCAGCTTTTTTACTCCTTTTTCAGCTATTTTTGTCAGTGGTCACTCACACCCCTGCAATTACAAATGTATGCACACCCCTTTTTGCCAAGTAGTTTTGCCCTTACCTTCCCCGAGTGCTGGTGCTCTTCAAAGGCTTCAATGAGGGCTTTGGCCCATTCCATTCTCTCAGGGGAGGGACTGAACGCTTTCTGTACAATTGGGATTTGATTCGGGTGGATCACTTGCTTGCCTGTTGATGTGACAAAAAACAAAACAAAAATTTGAAATAACCCAAGCAGACCTCAACTTCAGAACAAAAGCATATATCTTATCACTATATTAACTTTTCAGCAATCCATGTGATTTGAAATTTGACTACTTTTTTTCCCACAACATAAAATGGTGAAATGTTTCAAAAACATGTCTTCAAAAGATCACAAAACTTTGTATTCATTATTTACAGTGCTCTCAATATTAACTGCCGTTTTCAGCACAAAAAAAATGTTGAAGCTTGCTATCAGAACTGACTTATTCTGTTGGTCGCTATTTTGACATGTTTTTATTTCATTCTGACCTGTGAATCCCATGCGAGCTCCTTCCAATGACTGCTTTTCTAAGGAATCCAAATCTGCGGCAAAACAACGCAAAATGTATTAATGAAATACACTACATTTTGTACATAGCCTGCTTAATTTCATGAGATTTAGATAAAGGGACATTACTAATAATAATCGGCATTTAAGAACGCTCTTATTAGTAAACTAAATCACAGCGCTTACAGTATTATTATTACCCCTGATCATTGGGCCAATTAAACATTCCAAATACCATCTCAGCTCCCTGGGGAGTATACAGCTCGATGCTGCCTGTTAGGCGCAAGCAAGCTTATTCAATCACAATAACCATCTCTGCCCTCACAGGTACCCATTTACTCCTGGGTGGAGAGAAGCAATGAGTGACAAAGTGCCTTGCTCAAGGGCACACGCACCATGACCCCAGCTGGACATTGTAGATATACACTGAACTTTGTTATTAGTAAGCATATAGACGTGTTACTTTTATCAGAAGACAAGGCAGAACTGGCCAAGTTTGTCTTAGGGCGCAAAATTCTATTCCATTGATTTACAATGGCTATTTGCTGGAAGTTTTTTCATGCCGGCTTGTGGTCTACACAATAGGCTTGATTTATCCTATTCATTGGTTTTACTGAGTAATCCTATACAATAGCACTGCCCGACTCTCTTTACCAGTCTACAGGCAATCTAAGAGTCATTCATGCCCCATGTCCATACTCTCACAATTGTGATCACGATCCGTACCTTTGTAGTCTATATGGACCAGATCAATAGCTTGCAGTCTGTATGCTTTGGCAATGGTGACGACCTTCTGTCTAGCGTACAACAGCTCGGTTGCTTCTGGTGTTCTGGTAGCTCCTAGAGGAGTGTTGTAAAAAAAAAAGAAGAGAAATTAGCTTCCTTGTTTAAACAAGACAGACAAGCCTCGTAAGGCTAGCACCAGAGTGCACAAAATGCTGTTAATTAATCATTAAGAATGGTTATTCACTGAAAGTCTTTTTATGCATTTTGAGGGATATCCTGTGCATAATTTGTTACTGCGTGGAGTAGACCTACCTATGTCAGCGCAAAAGTCATCCGATCCAAAAACCACCCCTTCTAGTGTGAAGAATGGAGTTGTCCGTGATAACCTTTGACCTTCCTCACATATGTTGGCCAGTCTCAGCAGACCGAGGGCGCTCTCCACAAAGATGACCAGCTTGAAGGGGGATGAGGGCGGGTTGGGGCCGAAGTGGGCGCTGAGCTTGTCCGCAAGCTAAAATGTACAAATATTGAAATGCCAAATCTAACTATTGTGTATCTTAAATCCCATTTGATCAGTGGTAAACAGATAGGAGCATGCAGAGGCAGGCCCCCCCCCCCATGTCGAGGCCTGTTGCCCCTCCCCCTCCCATGTACCCCTGCTCAGAGCTTTGGAAAGACAAAATTAAGCTTTTGCTGGCCCCAGAGGGCAAGCGTACACTCTTTTTGTAACCTATCTCACTAACTGACCGACTTTTACTTGTGAATTAGACTTGGTTAAGGCGCACAGCACACCACACCACGACAAACAACCACAAGTGCATGTGCGTCGTGTCAACGCCTTCGTGCACTCATTAACAGCTTCGCCGAATTAAAAGGGAACCACTAACAGAAATTTCCAAAACGTTGGAAGCATTTTTTTTCAAAATGACAGCATGCCAGAAAGAATAATTTCACAGGGATTTAGTACCATTATCAATTCTAAACCAAGTATGCTTTTCAACAATAATTTCGTCAGTTACTTTTTTGATAGCTGCAAATGATGGACTCTACCATTAACTATCAAGACTAGGCAGACCCACTAAAGCTGTCTAAGAAGTCTAGGTAGTCATCTGAGTCAAAGATGTGGGGCTAGGTAAGACTTAACCTAAGTCTAATTCACAAGTAACAGTCCGTCAGTGAGATAGGTATAGACAAGACTGTAAGCTGCCCTCTGGGGCCAGCAATAATCGTCTTGACCTACCCACTGTAAGTGGCTCACTGACTCCACCTTGGGTATCATGAGGGTATCGGGCAGCCTCTCCGCCTGCAACACCTCCTTCAAGTCGTCCTCAGCCAGCCCGCTGTCGACAGCGTTGATGCGGACGGCCAAATCCCCAACAGTCGGCAGGTGTAGCGAACCGAGGGTCTTTCTGATCGTTTCTCTTGCAACGTCCTGCCAAGTGTCCAAGGAATATTTCAATTGCATTTGGACTAAATTACAAGCACTTTAGAACACTATCACGTAATTAAGGGTTGAGATTGATAATTTTGAAAACAAAAACAGGAACAGTTTTCTTATCCCCCTACACCCCCCCCCCCCCCCCAGATAAACCAATAGATTGTGTGAAATTAAATAAAACGGAGCCCATTAGCAAACAAGAGGATTCAATTTAAGCAAACTTATGGCCCCCCCCCCCTTGATTCTAGGGAAGTCAATCAACCTAATTCCTTTCAACTTGTAATTGATTTTTCATCTACGACTTCACCATAACATTTCACAGTGGGCCTACTTTGTGTACCCTAAAATTGAGGTTAAATTCACTCCCAGATTCTTTCCTAGTCCGAGTAACTTTGACCGTAAGTAACCTTCAGTACAACCATCTTAATCATCAATGTCTACTTGTGCCTCATCAGGTGGCGTATCTAGTAATTTGGAGGCCGTTTCGAGGGTGAAATCTGATGTTTTTGTTGGGCAATGTTGGGTTTTTGGGTCAATGACAGAATTGTGTTCTCGACATATATGGATTAGCTTGGATCCTGTATCGCCAGACCATGTCCGAATGTTAAAAAGGCGATAAGTTGGGTCCAAGTTACTCGGACTTATTCTTTCCATACTTTCCTATTGGCTGCCACACCGTCCTCGCAATCCATGACAGCACAGTCCACCGTCAAACCAGAGAGTTTGGCAAGTTTGCGTTCATCGCTTCCGGGAACGTACAAAACTGCTCTCCTCGGAGTAACACCCTGACCCTCCTGAGGTCTCATAGATGGGCCGGCCATCAGGCCTCTCGTCTGGGTAGAGGCAGTGGCCAGTCGGCTAAGTTGGTGATGGTATGCCTGCCGGCAACAGACTCTTCTGATGATGTTCAGCATTGAGGTTACCATGGTTACCAGGCTCCAAACTGTGAGGTCGACCAGTACCACTGCATGTGAAGTTTCACAACTAAAATAAATTGAGTGTTAACAAAAAAATGTTGAAATCTTGTTGTAGGGTAGGCCTAACTAAAGTTCACAAAGTAACTTTTTTTGAAAATGAAACAATTTTCTAAAAAGTGACAAAACACAAGTTCACACTCAACCATGTCAACTAAAATGATTGGAAAACAAGTAAAGAAGGTTTTCTGAGCATTTGCAACTGAATAATATATCTTCTAAATAGAATGATTCAGTGACTTTTGTCGACATGTCAATGATGGTAATTGGTAGAATTAATTGAGTTTGTTGTTGGTAGGTTTTCCTGAAAATGAACTTAAAAGAACTTACGGTAACAATGTGGTACAAGTAATACATTAGTATGCTGTGATGCTTTTACTGTAACATTTTTTTTAATAAGAAATATCAAAATTTTCACGAAATAGCGTCAACGGCAAAAACGACGTCAAAGAAAAACATTAGCCTAGTCGCCATTAATACAACAAAAAAAGTCCCTACAACAGAACGAAAGTGCATGGATCATCGTACTGAAGTATAAAGTAAATAGATTTCCATGAACACTGATAAAAATTCAGTTTAAATAGAGAATTCTACTTACTTGCGAGTCACCGTCTGACCTACTCCTAGAACTATGAGGCTCCACGTAGTGGAGCCTCATAGGTTCAGAAGCCCGCAAAATTGTTGTCAGCACAAAACACTAATTAAGTACAAAAACGTCCATCCCAAGCAGGCCGTTTTCCACAGAACCGCTGCACAGTTTGCCCCTAAACTCCATACAATACCTCATGACATACTCACGTTATGTGCACCCAACAAACATCGGTGGATTCTGTCTGTTTTTCGGCAAAAATGATGAAAAATATGCCCTTTCTGCACTGAGCCAACCTAACACTTGAAACGAGCACGCGTGCAGAATGATCGCAGTTATTTTCGGTTCGATCGCTCGGAGCGCGCCGCGGGGGGTATGGTGTAGGAGCGGAACGATAGTATGCACATGCGTACAAGTGCAAGTACGTACCCCCCGCGGCGCGCTCCGAGCGATCGAACCGAAAATAACTGCGATCATTCTGCACGCGTGCTCGTTTCAAGTGTTAGGTTGGCTCAGTGCGGAAAGGGCATATTTTTCATCATTTTTGCCGAAAAACAGACAGAATCCACCGATGTTTGTTGGGTGCACATAACGTGAGTATGTCATGAGGTATTGTATGGAGTTTAGGGGCAAACTGTGCAGCGGTTCTGTGGAAAACGGCCTGCTTGGGATGGACGTTTTTGTACTTAATTAGTGTTTTGTGCTGACAACAATTTTGCGGGCTTCTGAACCTATGAGGCTCCACTACGTGGAGCCTCATAGTTCTAGGAGTACGTCTGACCTAGGCCTAGGCGCACTAGCAGACGACACCGCGCACGGAGGCGTGTAACAACGCTGGTGGCGCTCTTCACAAATAACGGTGTCAAGTATATCCTCGTTCTTTTTGTATCTTGCAGTACGCGCTCACAAGTATATACTATGGGGAAACAAATTCAAAATAAAGTTCGCCCTGGGAACAGGTTGTGCCGATTTCTAAATCTCCCATCATGCACTGCGAAATCCCAAATCCCATTTTTGTTTTTGTTGGGAAGTGGGAATCATTATTCGTTTTCCTATTTCCTGTCGAATAAGGATATGAGAATCGATATTTGGTTTTCCGTTTTCCTGTCGACTGGGGAAATGGGAATCGTTATTCGGTTTTCCGATTTCCTGTCGATTGGGGAAATGAGAATTGTTATTCGTTGTCCGTTTTGCTGTCGAGAATGGAAATGGGAATTGTTTTCCGTGGTTTTTGTTGCCAAAAAAAACGAAAGTAATTTCTATTTCTTTTTTAGTTTTTGTTGTCCAATGACGAAAATGACTTTTGTGTCTCTTTTAGCTTTTAGCTGTCCAAAAAAGGAAAGGTATTGTGTTGTTTTTACAGGTTTTTGTCATGATAAAAAGTCTTCACGGTGATGTCTGTGGTCCGGTCGTGACCGCTTTTTGTGTAGAGCGCCCTCTTTTGACACAAATTTAATAGGGGTTGTATTTTCGAATTTAAAGGGAATATACAACATTTGCAAACATCGAAAAAAAAAACTACCAAGTTTTTTCGAAATACCTTAATAGGATGTTGGTAAATGACAGCCTGAAGCATCCTGTAAAATTATGGCACCTGGTATACTGTCATTTTCAAGAAAAGTGGTATTTTTGTATCAATTTCCAACGCTGATCGGCCGATCAGCGTTGGAAACAACTGGCTTTTTTTTTCAAATACTGGCCCCAATTGACCATTGCACTTGTTTGCAATCGAGTACAAACCTATGAACGGGTACGAGCCAGCTAGACTGGTTCCCTGACCTTACAATTCCCCAATGTATGTAAACTGCTCTGTTTCTTCTTATATGGAGTCAGGGAACCAGACTACAGGAAAATGATCGTTTTTCTTGGTTTTTATAGCATTTTCGAACCCAAAACCTCCAAAAAGTCAGTGCAACTATATTTGCTTTATATTTCCAACCCCCCAATTCCATCCATTTCTGAAAATTACAGCAAAAGCAAATGATGTATATTCCCTTTAACGTGCACAACATTATTTGGATTATATTATTTTTATTGTTTGACGATTTCTCTTTATATTCAGCAGATTGGTGTTATTTATCACGACCAATTAACAGACGACTTAACCGGTTTGTCTTGAGTTATCGTCCGGAAAAGGAGCGGGATGTTTTTGTGCCATGATTTATTTTTTTCACAAAAAAGGCCCTCTTTTTTATGTTGGCAAATGTTTATTTATTTTTAATGACCATTATTTGTGAAGAGCGCCCTCTTTTTGCACTTGAACTGTTTTTCTTTCGATTATCACTGAACTGCCTCTTTGAACGAACAACAGAGGTCAGTATAACAACTGGGGACATTTCCTAAGTTATTGGCCGCCCAAGTGTGCATATTATTCTCTCATGGATGAAATTTGACTTTTCTTGGATTTGCATAATTAGTTTTTCTCGAGTTAACGTCGAGATAAATGCAAATAGTTTTGCTCCGCCGTTACTATACTTATTGCGGTAGCGCAGCGCCCTCAATCGACAAAAAATCGACAATCTACTTTGGACCAATGGGAATCTTTCCTTTTCTGGCCTAGAGTAAATCATCCAATCACAATCAGCTCAAGAATAATCCGAGCTGATTGATGCTGTCCCTGTTCTGCTAAAAATGGGAAACACTCAAATTCCTACACATGCACGTTATTTTAGCGAGATAATTTTTATTCAGTGCCTTCTTGAGACTTTTCTTAAAACGTGGAATGTATTTTTCATCAGGCCCATTTTAACTTACAGGAATTATTTTCCCCCACCCAAAAGCAGAAAATATTATGCATATAGGTATTTTGTGAGTTTATGGGCTGAGACTTACTTTTTTAAGGTTTGTTCCAGCTAGGGTTTGAAAGATCTTTTAATTAACCCTCCGCTGAATTGCTGAGAGATGCGAATTATGTACCAAATTACATAATTGGCATTTTTCTCAGCAACCCAATGTGCTGTTTTCATCAATTATTGAAAGAAAAACTCTCAGCTTTAATCTGTTATCTCTAAAACGTAAAAATTCACAGATTACGTTTTTGAAAAAAGGCAAATGTTTCACGGTTGCATTTGGGGGGGGGGGGGGGGCGGTGTCACCCCCATACGCATAGAGTGTTTATGAAATAAATCGAATAAAAACATTGGCAAAGGTACTGATTCGGAGAAACAGATGGAGGCAGGTCGTGATATTTTTAGGAGCTGGGTCATTAGAATGGCGACAACAGAAACCCTTCCGATCCAGGGCAACGGCAGGTTTCATTAATTAAGCAAAACTATAATGGGTATTGATTTCGACAAATGCAGTAGGAATGCCTGGAGCTATATAGCAATACCTGCGCGAACATAATAATAGTACGGATAATCAGCAATACGGGGTCATGAATTTCGTTTTTGCTGCGCTGGCAGAGATAATTCCTTGCAGAAATTAGTAAGTGTATTTTTATGCGAGCCAAGAGTTCCAGAACGCCGTACCAAGTTCGCGTGTGATGCTATCTTATTGATATCATTATCTTCATAATATTGTTGGCGAATTCCTGCATGTTTGTGATACTGTTGTACAACTGACTGCACGCTATGGCGAAAGCTGCCGGAGCACACGCTGTGCAGTACACACTTGAAGCAGTGCAGTATTTGGTGAACGGTAACGCCAGATCGCCTGTCAGGTAGTTATGATTTGTGTAGGTGTCTTAACTAGTGATGCTATGAATAATATAGTACTATTCGATTGTGGTTGCAGGATATATATATATACCGGTGATGTGATGATAAAAAAACATAATAATATTCGTAATACTGCAAAAACTATGTGTATACTAGTCATGATGTGAATAATATAGTACTATTCGATGGTGGTTGCAGGATTAAGGGCATGTAGCCTAGACGTATTGGTATGGTGATGTGATGGTAAAAAAAATATATAATAATAATCGTAATACTGTAAAACTACCTTGCAAATTTAACACCCAGGGTATCTATATGATTATGTGTATACTAGTGATGATATGAATAATATAGTACTATTCGATGTTGGTTGCAGGATTATAAGGGCATGATGTAGGGTTTAAGAGGGTCGAGTATTTTGTTTTTCAAAAAGGGAAGGGGATTAAGTATCTAGTGATTAAGTATCTAGTGTTCCATGTAGTCCTAAAAGATTGTGTACTGCAGGTCTGAAACTATCTAGGTCAGTAGATATCTTATAGGACATTATTATAGGTACCTGTAGGAGATGACGAAAAACCTATAACGATCCTATAGGATTCCTCATCACCGGTTATATACGAGTGGCGGCTTTGGCTATGATGGTGCAATGATGATGGTGATTCGAAGATGGTGGTGATTATGAATGATGGTGATGCGTGATTGTGATGACAGATTTGTGGTGATAATTAATCATAATAATGGTGGTGACGATTATTTTGAAAAATGACGACAGACGGAAAACAAAGATGCATCCAATGCTTGGGGGCTGAAAAAGAATGCGCAACCTTTTGATCACGAAACACCATTTCGTCTGTAGCATTCTTTATTAAAAAAAAAATTGATATTTAATCAAAGTAAGCTTTTTGATTAATAATAATGTTATACTTTTTGAAATCAATCCCGCCTTTAGAAAATAAGTCGACAACGAGAGCACGACATTAATTAATTATTACAACCTATTTATGAGATTCATATGCACACGTCTGCCCATGTATGCATACTGCATTACTAGAGATTCGTGGAAACTCGTGCCCGAAATTATCCCACGGGATATCATTTACTTGCGTCACGAAGTAATATTGATTCAGGTATAGGGTCGATATTGAAGTCTCCCATTCAGATGCAAATCGTGTGTATTCATTTATCGGAGGTCGGATGAAAATTACTCTGGGATCTTAAGCTGGTAAAATTAATCATTGTGAATTTCCCGAGTGAACAATAAATTTGATTTATTAAAGGTAAATTTGCTAGATATCCTGATGGTTTTGTGTTTTATTATTCCTATTAAGTAAGCTAGGGCGAATACAGATTTAGCTCAAGGGGGGCGGGGATAGCTGTCATGGGGGAGGGGTGTTGGAAGATACACGCTATTTATTCTCTTATTTTCCTTTTTTGTGCGGACCAAGGGCTCAACAAATTTGTATCATGCAATATTTGCATCATGAATTTGACTTGTGTGGGTTCTTCCATATGAACAAAATTATTCGAGTTGAAGAAATAGCGCCCTCAAGAAGAATTGGCATAGAGCAGAAAAGATCATCGGCGAATGGTGGCTTCAAAATTGATAAAAACGAGGCCGTCGGGTTTTAAAAAAATATATATTTCCCCCTTTTTCCTTTTATTTTATTACAGTGCAATAAAATGTGGGTGGGGCCGGGGGATGGCCAATTCTCCATAACACCGACCACATTTTCTCTATTTCTTTTCTTCAGTAAAATTACTATTTGTTTTGTTTTTTTGGATTTTGTTTTACTTCTGGCCATGCTATAGACAACAAACAATTAATAGACACTATTCCTGCATTTTAATTAAGGGGGAGGGGCGATATTTGGTCAACTGAGGTGACACCCCTTTGAACTTTAGAAGCAGACGAGACAAAAAAAAATCTCAGTCACGTGATCCGCCAACATCGCCCTAGAGGCAGCCATCTTGGATCGATCCTGTCGAGTTGGCTGACGATCTATCGGAATTTTTGGGATACAATTTAGCGGTTGTCAGCCTAATTTGGGGGTTTTGACGGGCAGTTTTTCCGTGACTTTTCTTTCAGCATGTCGGGCCAGAGTGTTCTGGACCGGGTGACGGCGGCCAAGCACACAATCACCGGCTCGGACTTGGCCAAGTCGGTGTGCAAGGCGACAACCGCCGAAGTCATGGGGCCCAAGAAAAAGCATTTGGATTGTAAGTAACGCACAACTACATGAACTAACAACATGACTTTTGTAATAACATGTCATCATGTAAATGAAGTAAACTCACGATGATTTACAGAAACATTGTTGGTTAAAGTTCCTAAAATTGCATGTAGCCTACACTGTTATTTTAGCCAAGAAATACGCCCATTTTTGCTTTGTAAATTGTATTCTCGATCTCCCCAGCCATGTCGGCAAAAAAATTTGATGACGGAGGGTTTTTTTAGACATTGTTGAGAAGTTAAAATTCATGCAAAAACAAGCATGACAAGTGTCATGAATGGGATCAAAAACTTGGCGATCATGTAGTGTAGGGCCCCTTTTGTGTTTCGATCAAATTAGAATAAAGAATTTTTATTATTTCTAAAAAATGACATTGACATTGTCAACGTAAAGCAGACTTCTCTCAATGTTTTGACTTCTTTTTGGTAATGTTTGAACAGTTTCTTGGGGTAGAAATCACGATTTTCCTACGCGCTTTACAGGCTGGTTGGATCTGTGCAGCACGACTTGCGTGCTCACAGTACACACGGTTCATCGCGCGGTGATTGCCATCTTTATTTTCGTGTTGCGTTTTGTCGTTGTCATTATCATTTTATGACGGTCCTGTAGTGTAGGGCCCGGTTCCTATAAGGGAACAAAATCCACTTTAAAATAATTGGACCTACCATTTTTGGCGACATTCTCAATAAACAGGTATGTCATTGATAGAGGGCAGGGTTTTGATTTTTTGAGGGAAATTTGGGGCTAAAATGACGATGATTGTGAGCACACACGGCGCGCTGAATCGCAAGGCACAAACCGTGCAGGAAAATTGTGATTTCCACCCCAAGAATCTGTTCAAAACTGCAAAACGGGTGTCATTAGAATTGAGAAAAGCCTGCTTTTGATTGTAAAGGTGATTTTTGAGCAATAAAAACCATTTTTGACTCTTATTTGATCAAAACAAAACAGGAGCCTTAACGATCGCCCATTTTACCCCCATATTTCCCTCAAAAATTAATAACCCTGCCCTTTAACTACGACATACCTATAATTATGTTCTTAAAAGGAACCGGGCCCTACACATGAGTCAGCCCTACACACACTGTCATGACTGTTGTGAGTCATGACAGTAGTTTGTACTTTTCTCATATTTAAATTTTCGTAGTTGCTATCGTAATTTTTATCATTACGACAGCCTTAACGCAATTTTCATATAGGCCCTACATATAGTTGACTATCGTTTAATATAAAAATCGTTTAAAACACAATGTGAACGTTTATCAGATTAACTGCCCATCCAACCAGAGCGCTTCGGTAGCTTGATCGGTACGGAGTACATGAGCTCAATGAACTGGGGACTCCGGTTCGAACCCCTGCCGCGCTTTTTTTCTTAGGCCTATTGGTTTTTTGTTTAATTGATTTCTTAAGTTTCATGTTTTTAATCAAATTGTTGGTTTTATTGAAGTAGATTTCATTTTCTTCTTTGAAATCAGTGGTTTTGGGAGATATTTTAAAAAGGGAAATAAAGTCCGAGAACCATTTGGTTAATGGTTGATAGTCTTGTTCCAATACAACAGCCGAAGAGTGTGACGTTGAATATTAGGCCTATTAGTTTAGGTCAGGGAACCAGACCGTAATGACTGCAGATGAAATTCGCTTTATGGCTATTGTAACGATTGCCACAGTGTTAAAATATCCGCTCCGTTCACAAGTACCCCCTCACCGGCAAAGGAAGTACAGTTGGGGGTGTGCGGCCACTGCGTGTACATTGAACAAATCCCCTGGTGTACGCGCGTCACACACAAGGAATGGTGCGCGTCAACCAGCAAAATGTACCGCCCATGGGATGTCGTTGCTAGGTAAAAGGGCGCCCTCTTTTGGTAGCGCACAGAGCTCATAATGACAAGGACACTCATTTTTTTTGGGGGGGGGGGCTAGATTGTGCAGCGCCCTCTTTGATGCGAGTAGGCCTACATGTTAAAATGTATTAAATTACCACCGTTGTTTGTGAAGCACCTGTGGCCGAGTGAATAACTCATGTATCTCATGAGAGAGATCCCTATAAAAAAAACGCCAAGCCAGATCCGGCTAAATATCCATTGCCTACAAATTTGATTTACTTCGGGCCCATTCTCGCATGGTGGTCGGCTGGTTCATACAAGTGTGCACAACACATGTGGTATTCGATACTGGACCCCCAAAGAGGGAATTAGGGTTAACATAGGCCAATTAATAAACCCTTTCTTTACGACACTCTCCAAATACACTTCAATACTTAACAAATTTGTCTTTGTATAAAAAAGTCAATGGTCTGTATACAGAGAACAAGGGTTTTTAATATTGCACCAATAAACACTGCAGTTTGTACACAAATATATTTTACCCAATTTCAATTTGCAAGTTCACTTGACCTTAAACTTGGGTTTTGTGTGGACTGTTTATTTATGTAAATGACTCAGACCACAAACATGTTTATCAGTGGGAGTTGATTTGTTTAGGGCAGTGGGTGTGCTGTTGTGTGTACACTGATGCACTTCAGGACCTTTGGAACTCCTACATTGTGCAGTAATTGTGGTTTATGACACGTAAACCCTCAAGACTTTGCACTAGACAAGTTTAGTAACTCCATCAGTAGGCCTAGATATGAATTGACTGATAGTAAACATATTATTATCCCACACCTTTCAGTAGTGACTCATGGTGCCTCACACTTGTTACATCAATGTACTGTACATGTACATGTACACTCATAGCTCCATGGTACACTACATGTATACATGTACATGTACCTAGGTACATGCACATGTAGATAATAATAAGAGCACCGGAGTGTCAATCCAGAGGTCGCAGGTTCAAACCCCGCTCCAGTCAATTTCTTTGTTCAACTTTTTCAGAAAGATTTTTATAATGCACCTAGTCAGTTTGTGGTTTATTTAAAAACAGATTTATAATTAAATAAAGTGCAAAGCACTCGGGACCAGTTTAAAACAATTCAAGCTGTTGTTTTTTTTGTCTAAAATTGAAAATTTCAAAAATGAATATCGACATAAACATCTGTATAGTAAACATCTGTAATAATATCGACATAAACATCTGTATGTTTTTAGCCTTATTTTTTTTTGTATTTAAAAAGAGCTGGTCACACGCAGGCATGTATGTATGCATGTTACTATGTAGACATAAACACAGCATGCCTGTTCTTAATTATTGTGCACTTCTCATAAACATATTTGATATGGTGTGTATGTGGCCATGTAGTGTAATTTAATTATGCATAAGAGGTAGGGCCTACACGTGTACAAATCTGATTGTGCATAGTACCTGGTATGCACAAATGTATACGGTACATGCGGTACATACGTACATGTACATGAACATACGGTGCATTTGTGCCACATACGAGTACATGAAACACACATGTATGAAAATGACCAGCTTTGGTGTAAAATGTAAAACGTACTGTATTCAATCACAATACTCTCTAAATTCACATTTTCTTTTAATTTAATAATAGGCCTGTATGTACAATCAGACCCTTAGTACAAGGCATTGTGCACTAAAAATGAAGCATCGATCACTATCAATTGAAATTCAAGCATTAAAATGACCAGCTTTGGTGTAAAATGTAAAGCATACAGTTACAATTCAGTCTCCATTTTCACATTTTCTTTTAATTTAACAATAGGCCTGTACAATTTACAAACAGACCCTACAAGGCATTGCGCACTGAAAATGAAACAGCGATCACTATCAATTGAAATTCACGCATTAAATTCCTTTCTTGATCCTTTCCCTTTGAACAATTTCCCCTCTGTTGTATTTAAATTCGGAGAATGTGTTTACGTAGCTTTGCGATTCACAGATGCCAATTTATTCAGGAAATGCGTATTCCCAAGCGTTGTCTCGTAGCGCCGATTACGGATGAGTGGAAGTGCCTACGGTGTCGGGAGCCATCGGTCTATTCCCTGGCTCTGTGTATAGATGGCTCTATCCCTGGCTCCGTGTATGGGTCACTGTCTGGCTCAGCGTCTGTCTCTGTATCGGTCGTTTGCTGCGCCTGCCATGCGTGCTGACATTATTTAATCAGCACTGATTGGATTGGCATGATTGGTTTTTAAAGGGCTACTTTGGATGGCTATAACAGTCTCTATTCCTGAAACCATGTAGCAAGGAAATGATGCATGGTGCTGTACAAAATCTTATGTGAATCACATACATTATGTTCATAAAGGAAATACACTGCATTCGTATTTCTTCATATGGGTACATGTACATACATCTTTTTCCATGTACACTTGTAAATTGTTCAGATATTGATGAGTACAGGTCTAATTGTCCAGAAAATGGTCTCTGATGTTTAAACCATCGCATCAGATTGGTTTTCTGTGATATTTTCCTTTTTAAGAATACTGTAAACTGACCTCTTCTTTAAATTACTTAATTTAACCCTAACCTTCCCAAATCCATCAAAATCCACCTTCCTGTATAGTATACAGTGTGAGTAAAAAAATCTAGTCTTGCTTCTTCAGGCTCAAGGGTCCTAGGTGCTTCTTGCCTTGTCTCGGCATTACATGTATCTACTAGAGATTTGTTTGGGGGGGGGGGGGGGGAAAACCACATGGTAGTGTGAATAGACTCAAGTAGACTTTCAGAATAACACTTATCTTTTACATTATGGGTAGAAAGTTGGAGGGCGTTTTCAAATTTTCTCTGGATTTCTGTTGCTCCTGCACTTCACGTTCAATAGGGTCACACAGCCGACAAGTGGTTGTCATTGTGGAGTTCTAGACAGCTGACACACTTGACCCCGGTTGACCTCCAGTGACTGTTGCTATAGTGATAGCCTCAGGAGCAACTTGTGAGCTTTGTTGCACTCAAGATGGACTAATGGCTCAACTTTCTGCTAGGAAACTTTGTCAAAACTTTTTCACTGTGCTAGTGGTATGCATTTACAGGTAGTTTAGTATGGAAATGGGTCCTCTATTGAAACACAGGTACCCATAAAAGAAACCCAGCCCCAAAATTTGTACCAGAAGTTTTGGTTTTCTTATACCGTACATGTACATTATGTGTACATGTACATGTATGTAGGTAGCCTGGTTTTCATTTGGAAAATTCCGCACCAGTGGTATTGAATACCTTTCATTGTCCTTGTCTGAGAAGTTACTAAGTAATTTGTTTAATTGCAAGTACCCGATCTCATAATCTGGAACCGGTTCCTGACATCAGTGGACGGGTACTCGGGTACCAGTTCCCGATGCACACCGCTACATAAAGTACATGTGCACTGTAACATCTCCATCAATCCATCCCTCCATTTTCATTGGTGGATTTTGGGGGACTTGGTCCTGCAGGCCTGGGGCCAATTTCACGGCGCTACTAAGCACAAAAATTTGCTTAGCACCAAAAACGTCTGGCTTATAAAAGCAGGTTACCAGCCAAAACTCCATGTGATGTACATGTATATTGCTCGTGATTAGTATTAAGCTGTAGTTTGCTTAGCATGAAAATCACTTGGAGTTTTGGCTGGTAACCTGCTTTTATAAGCCAGACTTTTTTTGTGCTAAGCAAAGTTTTGTACTTAGCAGCGCCGTGAAATTGGGCCCGGGTTTGACTAAATATTGGCGGAGTACGATGGACTTGGGCCTGGAGGCCTAAAGCAAAGCATGCATTGCAAGCAGTGTGATTGATGGATTTTGGCGGACTTGGTCTGGAAGTACTTACTTTGTACATAGTAAAAGACAGTAGGGAGTTACAGGGTTAATACCGTATGCACAATATAAAGGGAAGGGCTCTTTGACTCTGCTACTAATAACAGTAACAAGCACATGCATACATAATGATGCATTGTTTAATCCAGTGTAAACTATCAGTACCTGTACAGAGGAAGGAAGGAAGGAAAGAAGGCCTTCAATTGATACTAACGGAAGATGATCAGTTCAACATTGTAATGACATTGAGTTGCTTGTGTGAGGCTATTCCCCAGATCCTGTGTGCCAGGATTTTTGTGTGAGAATATAGATGTCTTCATATGTACATGTATGTACATGTACATGTAGTTCCCCAAACGTGTACTTGTAAGACGTGTCCAACCCCAAGACAACTTGAAATAGTTTATTGTCCGCGTGATTTAATTATAAGTTTAACTATCCTGCTTATTGATTTGTTTTTGGCAGATTCGGACAACTTGTCTCTGTAACCCTAGCCCTAACAAGTAACATTCACAGATGCTTCAAAAATCCACTAGAAGCTTTTTGGGGGATTAACAGTACTACATGTACATGTGTACTACCCTAATTACCAGCTGTAATTTCACGGCGCTGCTAAGCACAAAAAATTGCTTAGCAAAAAAAACACTGGCTTATAAAAGCAGGTTACCAGCCAAAACTCCACGTAATGTATACTGCTCGTGATTAGCATTCAGCTGTTGTTTGCTTAGCATGAAAATCACATGGAGTTTTGTCTGGTAACCTGCTTTTATAAGCCAGTCTTTTTTTGTGCTAAGCAAATTTTTGTGCTTAGCAGCGCCGTGAAATTGGCCCCATTTCATGTACATCATACATGGGGATTGATGCACCTTGAAAGTTTACCATGCTTACAATTTGTACATTATTTTTTAGAAAATATGTACACGCATGCAGTTGAGTTCATGCACAGTTTTATGGAAGATCTTGCCAACATGTACTTTTCCTATCAGACAAACCCTGCACAGAGTATGCACATGTACATGTACATGTGTTATATGCCCCATTTCCAGACACTGAACTTCCTATTGTAAAGGTCAACCTATTGTTAGAGCACAGGAACATATACATGTAGTTGCCATAAAGGCCGATTGTTGAATAGAGAATTTTACCATTTTTGGTAAGCATTGGGAAAAACCACTGAGTTTGCGTCACTTTTGCGTCATTGTCACGAACAGTACATGTCCACATGTACATGTACTATTCAATGTACCATACCAACATGTGCTATACAATGTACATGATGTACATGTGTATGATGTACATGCCTCTGTACACATGTGTACATGTACGGTACATGTGCACATGTAGTTGCACATGTACTGTACATTACATACATGTACATGTCCAGTACATGTACATGTCCTACATGTGCACACATATGAATTGTACATAGCATGTACATGTAATTGTACACTTATTCTTAATGCATGAGTTGACAGATCTACCAGCTGGTTTACCACATGCAGAGCTGAACTTGGAGGTCACCTGATTTACACTACATCAGGGTTGAAAATCACACGCAAAAATGCAATCTAAAATGAAAGCGCATACTTGTACATGTATGTATTTGGAGAGTATGCATGCACTTCAATAGCTTTTCAAGATCAAAAATCTTTCTAATCCGGTAAATGTTTATTGTGTTATGGCCAACTGAATACATATATTTGGGATGTAATTTTTAAAAGCTGTGAAAAAGAGGGGGCTGTGAGGGTTCCTTTTTTTTGGGGGGGGGTACCCTGTACCATGTGTTTGTGAGATTTCCCATTAAGCAGGCTCTCAGTGAAAATAGTGTACGGTATGTAAACATATGTGTATACATGTACAGTAATGACTCAGATACTTTGTGTACCATGTAGACGCGAAAGGAAAAGTACAAAGCAATGGCCGTTGTGCAACTCAGGGCTTATTTAAAATGCGGCCAGCAATGTTTACCATGTACATGTAATGATAAACATGTACATGAACATGTACATTGTACATACATGTACATGTACCTTACAGCCTACAGGACATCTACAGTGTAATGTACAGGACAACCATTAGTACAGCCCTTTTTCTATTTACTGTACGCACACTGGCTGAATGCACATGATCAATAACTGTGACCTACATGTATGTTAATGCACACCGTATAAATATGCACGCCTACATGTACTATTATGTACACGTATGTCTGCTGTGATGCACTTGTGTAGTGAATTTAAATGCATGTTAATTTGTATGCATGCACATGTACACATCAGATGGTAAAGAAAATAAAAGAAAGATCAGTTTCATAATTTATTTTGAGAGAGCAGTAATATTACTAATAAACACAGTGTCATACTCATAGTTGTACATGTAGGCAAGGTTTAATTTGTGCTAAATACCGGTACCTGGAATAACAGGTGAATGGGAAGAATACTGAAGAAAAAAAAACAATAATTAAAGAAAAAACACATGCCTCTCAGAAGAATAAGGGTATTTCATTATACATGCACATATATGTACATCTCCATTTGTACACGTGTACGAACAAAATTAGAAGCCAATTTTGCAGTGGTGCCCCTTGCGCATGCAGCACGCATTCTGAAAGACAAGGCATGCGGGCATTTTGGTAACCATTGGTCGAAGGAGCCCAGAGTGTGTGCATATTACATGAACGTGACTTGCTCGAGCCTGGTGCCACCTCAGAAAATGACTGTTGCCGGGGGGGCGTATCATAAGTCCGACACCTCATAGGTCCGACACCTCATAAGTCCCAAATTTCAGACCGATGAGGCGTCGGACTTATGAGGCATAAAATGTATTTATTCCGCCTCATAGGTCCGACGCCTCATAAGTCAGACGGCTCATAAGTCCGACGTTGGAAAAACAAGGCGTTAAATTTTTCGGACTTACGAGGGGTCGGAGCTACATGTATGAGGCGTCGGACCTATGAGGCGTCGGACCTATGAGGCGTCGGACTTATGAGGCGTCGGACCTATGAGGCGTCGGACTTATGGGCCTTTATTTTGTTAGGGGATGCGATTTTGTCAGACTTATGAGGCATCAGACCTACGGTATGAGGCGTCGGACTTATGAGCGCACCCCGTTGCCGGATTAGTCTAAATGTATGTTTGAATAAAGGTCTGCTGTGCGTAAAGTTTGAATTTTCATGTACCAGTACTAGCCTTGCATGCAAAACTGGAAATTAGCCAATTTTTGGGGGTTAAACACAAAAACGATTTCCGTGCACTCAATTGGTAACTTCTTCTTTTTTGCAGACTTACTCCAGTGCACAATGACAGAGCACATCAACATTCCCGAGCTGGCAGATCTCATTATAGAACGTGCCACACACGCCAACTGGGTCGTGGTCTACAAAGCACTCAGCACTTGCCATCAACTCATGATTTACGGCCACGAAGTAAGTCCACAAATGTTGTCGAAATGACTGATATTCAGACTGGATTTGTATTCCCCCCCCCCTCTAACGCAGACAGTCTTTGGCAAGTGTGTCGAGCTGTTGGGAGGGGGGTAGAGGGAGCTTTGGACAAGATGACTCAAATCGAGTCTGGGGAACTTTGGCAACAGGAACCATGATGGCGCTATCAACAGAAGGAATCAAATCTACATGTAGTCTTGGGAATATTGGCACCCCTACCCAAGGTGGCACTATCAACAAGATGGATCAACTACAGTCTGTGGAACTTTGGCACCAGCTCCCCAGAAAGAATGCTGGAAATGGTGCTGGATAGCGCTGCCAACATTCCTAAGACTGGATTTGATTCATCTTGTTAATAGCAACCTCTGTCTATCAGGGACCAGCGACACTAGGGAAATAGAAATCCAAGTAGCGTGCAGCATATGTCCTTTACTTTTTCTCGCAGTCACATAACAAATGGACTCCCATCCAAAATGATGCAAAACAAATGTATCAAGTTACAGTTTATTCATTGCTGTGAACTCTCCAACTCTTCAGTGTCTTTCAAAGTCATATCGGGTATGACACTTGATTAGACGTGAATCCTCAGGAGGCATGTCATTCAATTTCACTGGAATTGTCCAGATTGAAGTCGTATAAATATTTAAAAAAAAAAAAACCAAATACTGAATATTATTTTTTTTTTTTAATAATGATAATTAGATACATGTTCGTGTAAATATTGAGATTCTTAATTATCTGTGTACGTGTTTGTTTACTCGGCAGAAATTTATACAGTATTTGGCAACAAGGACAGTAGTTTTCAACCTGGAAGAGTTTATGGACAAAACAAATGTTCAAGGTGAGTCCTCAATTTACAAAGGGGATGAATAAATTAGTTATTTAAGAGTAATTATACAATATTTTTTAACAACTCTGGGCACACTTAAGATGAAACGGAGCAAAATATAGACTTTGGGGAATTGTAAGGTCAGAGAATCAGTCTAGCAGGCTTGTACCCCTTCACAGGTGTGTAATCAATTGCAAAGAAAATGCAGAATAACTAAATATGGAAAACTAGGAGCATATTTTGAAAAAAGCCAGTTTCCCCCGACGCTGGTCAGCCGACCAATGTTGGAAAAATACAAGTTTTCTTGAAAATGTCAGCACACCAGGAGCCACGATTTTACAGGATGCTTTAGACTGTCATTCCCTAACAATCCAGTGAGATATTTTGTGATAATTTGATCATTTCTTTTTTTGATGTTTGCAAATGTTGTATCTTCCCTTTAAGCACTTTCATATTATTAAATCTAAAAATTGAATTTGTAAATTTATACTTAACAGCTGTAGCAGGTATGTTAACTTCGTCAAAGCATACCAAAATTGTTATCCAAAAATGTGTGAAAATGATACAGCAGTCAGTCATGGTACGTGTAGCACATGTCAGGGGTGCAGTGATCATGTGTACATTGCACAAACGTACTTTATACAAGTACAATGTACATGTACGAGAACGATAGTAAACCTTCAAACCTACAATGTGTATGCCACAGGTGTTTTAACAAAGGAAGAATAACCTTCATTGAAAAAAATTCTAGACTGTTTGTTATGGATAACAAAGAAAACATCCGGAGCACTCGATCAAGGTACAATGTGTTAATCTTGCAAATGGATGAAATGGCCACTTGCCATAGGCCATGTTTAAAATTTGCAGACTACGTATGAAGATAGATTTCAATTTGAACGTTTATGGATGTATGTTCATACATCTACATGTACCGGGTGTTCATATCGCCTACTCGTAGACCGGTACAAGTTCACACATAATAAATTTAATTTCATCTCTACCGTATGTCAATGTGAAAGGATATTTGCCACTGTTAAATATGCAGGCACCAGTACATGTCTATAGTGTGCGTGGTACAGACCTACGCAGTTATTTCGCTTTCGTTTTCCACAAAAAAAAGCTGGAATTTTAAAAAAAATGTATTTCTGGTAAGGCCAAGAAAAAGTCTCTGGTTTCTGGTCTGTGCGTGCGTCGCCGTAGCCATGCGCGTCGGCAAAATTAAAAAGGTTTTTTTTTTTAATGTAAGATGATATCTCAAAACCGCCAAACTCACTGGTTTGACTGGAATCCTGCTGCCTTTATAACCAAACTGAACAATCTTATCACCAATCTGCTCTACTAAAAAAGCACCAAAATACCTTTGAAAATGGCAAAATGAAAATTGAAAATAAGGTTAAGTGTGAAGTTTCAAGGATTACATTAAAAAATATCCATTGCATGGGCACGTTATATACAAAGTTCTTACGACAACTGCTCTTTAAAATCAAATCCCCACAAAGGTCAGATGTACCATTAACCAATTAAGAACCGAACATCCATAACTTAACGAGCCCAGCACTTAATGGATGATGTGGCGTCCGTGTATGGAGCGCTTGTGCTCGCATAGGTTACTGTAGAAACTGTCAATATTGGTGCAGACTGAGGGATTATCTATAAAAAGCTGGATTGTCTATTGGGCAATTACAAGCTCTCGGTGGAGATCCATGTACATTGATGGGGCGATATAGTTAATACTCAAGCATAGTCAGCCTATTTGTACAATTGTTTAATGGTTGCGATGTTTTGTCGAGATGGGCAATGGTTCCTGTGGCATAACTGAGAGTGTTTATTTCCCAATGGTGTATTGTAGAAACCCACAAGCCGTTTCAGAACAGACCAATAGAATTTAACAAATTGCATACCGGTACATTTAAAATTGTATAGGCCCTACTACATGTATTTGTTTGAAAAAAAAAACCAAAAAGCAAAGTTACTGCATGTAATAAAGCAAGAATAAATTAGCCAATGTTTGGAGGGAATGGCAGGATTTTTCCTTCTTTTTATTAACCCTCCTATGCAAACATACACTCTGTACTAACTTGTATTTTCAGTCAAAATCAGTCAAGTGACTGTTTTCAACAGTTACGAGCTCCCAGCCAACATAAAGCAGGATTACTGGCTGTAATTTGATACTGCTATGCTTTGACTGTTAATGATTGATAAGCCAGCTATGCCCACCATTTGCCTGCTTTTTTTCTGCTGACTGAATTTGGCTAGTCACAGTTTTTGCTTGAAATACGATCTGAGTGTTGGTGACCAGCCTGTGTAAAAGGCATGGCAGGGGAAGAGGATTAATATTTTGACTGTCTGTGCCTGTTCAGATAGCAGTAGGGTTAAGAAATGTGTAAATCGTTTATGATGGCATTATATAGAAAAAGTAAACATTAGTTAAACATGCATTTTTTTTAAGGAGAAAATCAAAAAAAGAAAATAAAAACTCACGCCAAACCCAATCCAATACCATTCAAAATTCCAGTTAATCAATTTGAAAGGAAAAATGACAGTACTTGCAATAATGTTAATTTTTATACTGGCATACCTGTCGTCCTTTCAGATACCCTTAGAACGGAAGTGAGAAATTCCTCGGACAAATTTTTGTGATGCCAGCTTAGAAATGTTCCGAATTCTTGTCCCGTCAAGCTTTATTTGCCCGGCACATCAGGTGTTGCGCAGGCATGCTAGGCAGTCATTTTAATCGTCAAACCGCGATCCTACTGTGCCAAGTACAAGTACATGCACGTCCCCCTGCGTATCCCCGCTTTTATTGCCCTATCATATTTCACCAGTGAAATATTGCCCTGTCCATTATCTCACCCTCAATATATTGCTCCTATTTTCCCTTCGGGTGGTGACCTACATGTACTGGTACCGTACATGTCTGTCAGCATGCGTTCACTTTAAATCCTTCAATAATTAAACTGAGTTGAACTGAATTTATAATTTGGTTTATTGAGATATAATTACGTGTACATTGTATCATCATGTGCGAAAAAAATCATTGTTAGTGGCCCAGGCATGCCAAAAACACTTCTGGAGATAATCAGGTTCAAATGTTTTCTGCTCCCATTTCTAAAGTAAATATCACATAAGGCTGAAATTTTGACTCATGAAATTTGTTTATTATTGAAATAATATGGTGCATTTTTATTTAAAAGTATTACTTAATTTTGAAGTGATATACATTTTCATGCTAACAACCTTTTTAACATCGGGAATTTCACCTGCCTTAAAGGGAAGATACAACATTTGCAAACATCAAAAAACGAAATGATCAATTATCACGAAATACCTTACTGAATTGTTAGGGAATGACAATCTAAAGCATCCTGTAAAATCGTGGCTCCTGGTGTGCGACATTTTCAAGAAAATCTGTATTTTTCCAATGCTGGTCGGCCGACCAGCGTTGGAGAAAACTGGCTATTTTTCAAAAAGTGCTCCTAGTTTTCTTATTTACAATTTAGTTAATCTGCATTTTCTTTGCAATTGATTAAAGGGGTACAAGCCTGCTAGACTGATTCTTTGACCTAACGATTCCCAAAAGTCTATAAATTGCTCTGTTTCATCTTAAGTGGGGTCAGGGAACCAGACTTCAAAAAATCTTTTTCATTTTGCCAACGCGCATGGCTACGGCGACACGTGCATACCAGAAACCGGAGACTTTTTTTTTTTTTGGCCTAATGATTAAAATGGAAAAAGACCTAACATCGAAACACATACATTTACTGACGTGTACATGTGTATGTACAATGTACACTGTAATATTACACGCAGCACATGATACACATTAAAAATCACCAAAAGCACATGTACATGTAGATTACAAATCCAATACTTGTTATTGCAGTAACTGATATGGGAAGCTGGTTGTTCTTCCAGGATGTTCTATTGAGATCAAGGTTGAAAGGAGACAAGGGGGACAAGGTTGTGACCTTGCTTGAAGTCTCAACCTGCCCAGGTCACGACCTCCCTCATGACCTGTGTTCACATTTCATTTACTCTGAAACAATGAACCAAGCCCGTGCCCATATTCTGTTACATATCCCGAAGATATATTTCCTTGTAATCCTATATCTATGTCCCAGCTTCAGTTGAAATGTAATTACAATTCTCTCCCCGTGTCTCACCCTCTCCGCCACAGGTTACGACATGTCGACGTACATTAGACGCTACTCAAAGTATCTGAACCAGAAGGCGCTGTCCTACAGAACCGTGGCGTTTGATTTCTGCAGGGTCAAAAGAGGGTTTGTACATAAACGAGCGAAGTCATAAACAAACTCTTAAGTAGGTCCTTCAGTTGCGTGAAGAGCCTGCTTCATGCTGTATTAGTTTCTTAGACTGGTACCCTATTGGCAGTGTCATTCACTTTGTGTTTGGTGAAGGGAAGGTACACATATCGCAAAATTTAAATTTGGTTTTTGTTCATGTTACTTCAGATTTTCAGATATTGCATCCTTCAGAAGAAAATTTTTTTTTTCTGTTTTCACTATTTAGTGTCTTTGGCAATTTTTGGGTTATTTTTTTAATTATTTTTTTGAAACTTCTCAAGTGACAGTTCGTTTTTGAAGAACAAATCCAACCCTTTTTTTTTTTTTAAATAGACTGGCAAATTCCAAACATGACAAAATCGCACAGCTCTGCTCTATAAATTGAAACAAGAAAACTTAACTAAATTCTCAAATTAACCCTTACTCTCTGAGGGTAGTTTACTGCATGTCAGTTGGTTATGCCAATGCCCTCCAGCTGCAGTTTATTGGAGGATACTTTGATGTAGCAGTGAAGGCTCCAATTGGCAGGAGTTGGAGGCCCTGGAGGGTGCCTGATACTGACCAGCTGGGGGCACTTGATTGTTATCAGAGGACTCTCATTGTTCTCTGTGGCATGTATTGGAGTGCCTGTCCAGTTACCCTTGAAATGACATGGCAGATATTGGAGGGCCATGCAAAAAACATAGGAGATTTTCTTGAGGCACATATTGGCATGCGTTGGAGGGTCTAGTAGGGTAAGGGTTAATGGGGCACTACAGCCTGAAATCCCTGAAAATTTCAAGTTTTGGATCGTTTGTACCTAAACTACCATATTTGAAAGGTCCGCTTGGAAGGAAACAAACCTAATGTCTTACCGTTCCTGAGAAAAGATGCAAAAACCTGGATGTTTAGATCGGAAGCGACAGACATTTTGTGGACTCACATGGACTCACTGGTGGATGCTAATGGACTAAGGACACCAACATTTTTTTGCTTGACAAAAGTGATGGATTTTAGCGGATTCAGGATACTTTCTGTTTCTGGTAAAAATACCCAAGTGGTTAAGGTTAACTGTGCTTGTATAATTGCCTTTCCGTATTTCCTCTTGCTTGACATTAACATGGATATTTTTTTTTCCTATTGTCAAACAGAAAGGAGGAAGGAAAATTACGGACAATGCCGGCAGAAAAGGTTGGTCTTGCAAAAAAAATTTCAAAACATTTTAAATTGTAATAATGTGTCAGTATTAGGTTCTCTAAATTTTGAAGATTACCAGTCAACATGTTAATTTTCTAATAGTATACATGGTATACAGACAGTAAAATTTATTACAAGTATGTAGTATCGCAATTGTAATACAAAGTTACGAAATACTGTACAGTCTCACAAATGTAGAAATTAACGCTCCCTCTCTGGCTCGCAATTTCAGCAAGGCCAGCCTAGCAGTCAAAATAAATCAAGTGACTGTTCTTAACAGTTGAGTGCTCCCTGCCTTCATAAAGCAGGATTGACTGGCTGTGAGTGTTATGAAACCAGATATGGCTATGCTTTGACTGTAGGAGATTGATAAGCCAGCTGTGCCTACCAGTCACCTGTTTTGTCGGTTGATGGAATTTGACTAGTCACTGTGCTTGCTTGAAATATGATCTGACTGTTGGCGACTAGCCGGTGTAAAAGGCATGGCAGGGGAACAGGATTGAATTTTTGACTGTCTGTGACTGATCAAACAAAAGGAAGGTTTTAATGACAACATAATGACATTTGATGTGATGAAAAATGTATTTCAAAACTTTACATGTAAGTTGGTGAATTATTATGAACCTTACGCTAAAAAATTAATACAAGTTGGAATAATATGTAAAACTTCTTTTTTTTCTTACTTTCTTATCTTAGCTGCTTAAAACCTTACCAACCCTACAGGCACAGATGGATGCTCTTTTAGAATTTGAGGTAATTTATATTTATTTTTAAATTCACCATCAAATGATATACAATTTGTTGTCTAACAAACTTCATCCTTCATACATGTCAGATACGTGTATAATCGTGTATTGTCTTTGGTGAAATTACATTTCAAACAAAATTTTGATTCCAGCTATAGTGCAATCCAGCAAATAACATTAGATGCCAGTTTTGACGTGGTGCCACACTCGCGTGCATGCCGCACGCATTCTTAAAGATAAGGCTCGCGCGTTTTGGTAACACTATTCGTTGAAGGAGCCCAGAGTGTTTGCGTACTGCCCGTGCGCGACTCGCACGAGCCCGGTGCCACCGCAGCGCCACCTCAGAAAATAGCTGTTGCCGAATTAGCCTATAATTAAGAATAAGAGAACGCAAGGTATTAAAGATGTACATTCCTTTTTTGACATCCCCCAAAACAGATTCAGTTTTTTGAATTGTTAGATTTCAAGCAACACAAACTTTAGGGAATCATTAGTTTTTGGAATTAGGGTACACTGGTTAGGGTGGACTGATTCCTGATCAGAATCAATCATTTGTAAGAACCAGGACAAGTGGACTCGTAGGGCGGATCTGTTTGTTCATTCACAAAAGCAACCCAAATGATAGATTCTTTGTCCACCAAGTTTTACTTTACAAAACTGAGCAGTTTCTAAAGACATTTCCATTTCATCATGATTTCCGGTATCTTTTTTGTTTCCTGTACAGATATCACAGAATGACTTGACGAACGGTATAATCAACGGCAGTTTTGTGTTACTCTTCAAAGATGTCATCAGGCTCTTCGCCTGCTATAACGACGGAATTATCAATCTTCTCGGTAAGAAATGCAATACTAAAGAAGACTTTGTAATAATATTGTCCACTTAGCATTTGTGCTTGTGTCCCAGAAGGCAGCCTAGTGTCATTTTTGTACCTATCTCACGGACGGACCGACTGACTGTCTGACTGTCGATTAAGAGCCGGGCAGTGCTATTGTATAGGATTCCCCAGTATGCCAACGAATGGGTTTGATCCAGTCCATTACGTAGACCAGATGCGTGAAAAGATTTCCAGTGAATAGCCAATCTGAATCAATCGTATAGAATTCTGTGTGTTCTTGGACCAGCTTGTAAGTACGCTTGCCTAGTGGAAGCGGAAGTAACATAAAAATTCAGAATTGCTGTTGCTGTTTTACTTTGAACTCTTTTTGGCAAAAGTTAAAGGTAATATACGACATTTGCAAACATCCAAAAACAAAACTACCAAATTATTATGAAACGCCTTACTTGACTGTAAGAGAATAATAGTCTCAAGCATCCTGTGAAATCATGGCACCCTGGTGTGCTTTCTTTTTCAAGGAAAGTGGAAATTTTGTTTCAATTTCCAACGATGGTCAGCCGACCATCGTTGGAAAAAAACAGATTTGTTTTTTTGTTTGTTCAGTACTTCCTCCAAATTGATCAAGTTAGTCCACGTTTTGTTAACAATCGGTTACATGTAAATTGGTGCAAGCCAGCTAGTCTGGTTCCTTGACCTATCAACTCCCCGATGTCTGTACATTGCTCCGTTTTGTCTGAAGTAGGGTCAGGGAACCAGACTACAAGAGCAGCATTTTTTTTCTCGGTTTGTCCAGCATCTATAAACACAAGACTTTAAACAGGTCAGCGTAACAATATTTTCTGTACAATACTAACCCCCAAATTCATCAACTTCTGAAAATTACAGCAAAAGCAAATGTTGTATCTTACCTTTATTAACTCAGAATTTACTTGTGAATATTAAAAATTCACTATTGTTTCAAAAACAAACTTGTAAGATGACATGCTTCTTTGTAAACAGAGAGACATTTGGATATTTGTTTTTCTATCACCCCAAAATAGTGGTTCATAATTTTACATATTCATTAAACTTTATATCTTTTTGCAGAAAAATATTTTGACATGAATAAAAAGGACTGCAAGAACGCACTCGACATCTACAAGAAATTCCTGAGTCGAATGGATAGAGTCGCCGAGTTCCTCAAAGTTGCCGAGGTAATTAAACTTTTGTCTAAAATTTCAGCATGTTGCAAGAATATGCAGGTGGTTGATTTGTAAAAAAATAATTGAACAGTCAGCAAGTTTGATATCAGTAAATTCAGGAGGTTTCCAAGAAATAGGTTTAACGATATGTGGGAATAGTATTACAAATCTGGTATAATCATATTACAGTGTTATTATTATACCATTTGAGTATTGTAATACATGTATCATGCTTCATGTATAATTATAGTACAGGGTGAGTAAAAAAAAACGCATCCCAAATGTCGGGACCATTGTTTTAGTGATGGTCTTCATGTAGCACTTTCAAAATCCAGGATATGAAAGCCCAATTCGTAAGCTTTTTTTTAGTGCATGAATCATTCAAATCACTCATGTACTTTTCAAGTAAGGGAGTTTTAAACACAACCACCGTTGAAAGTTCTGTCCACGGATCACAAAAAAGGTGTGTGTTCTTTCAGCAAAACGAAAACAATTCACACACATCCCTATGTGATTTGTTTTCGTTTTGCTGAAAGAACACTGAACTCTGCTGAAAGAACACTGAACTCCCTAACTTGAAAGTACATGAGTGATTTGAATGATTCTTGTACTGAAAGAAAGCTTATGAATTGGGCTTTCATATCCTAGATTTTGAAAGTGCTACATGCAGAACTTCACTAAAACAATGGTCCCGACATTTGGGTTTTGTTTTTTTACTCACCCTGTATTGGAATAATATTAATCATACAATTAACAATTGTTGACTGCTAGGATGTGGGATATAGCGTTTTAAAACCTGAGGAATGCATAGCACCCGAGGGGGTTAAAATGGCATATCCAACATCACAGCATTCAACAATTGTTTTGTTACCGATATATCGTGCCAATAACTCAAAAAGATAAATGGTTGTAACTTACTGTGTGAGAAATAAATTGAATCACTGCGATGTAACCTTTGATAACTGAAGGTTTTGATGTCCAGCCGGACACGAGACTGAGCGTTTGACATTGTCGTTCTCATTGCAAAGCTAGCGCGCCGGCATGTTCCAGATGCGCACGCAAAGCGCGCAATGAACGCAGTGCGATATCACCTTCAGTGTGTGACATGCGTTTTTATTGTTCAGAAACGTGGCCGTCTTAGACCAATAAAATTACAGTATCCAAGCACACAATATAACAATAATTATTATAATACTATCACAATAGTAGAATAATACTATTATATAGTAGGATAATACTATTCCAAACTATCAGAACACAAATTTCGGAATTTTGTATCGGTTAACTTTATGCATACTCGGTTTATTCCTCTGTTTTTCTTTCTTCTTCGCAGCAAGTTGGCGTCGACAAGGGGGAAATTCCAGACTTGGCTCAGGTAGGGTCGACATGCCTTTCAAAATTTTCTATTTTTTTTACAACAAAATATACTCTCGGTTTGTTGAAGACGAGAAAGATATTTTTTCTGTGTGCGTAACAGTGGGTAAGTAATCTTAGTACAACAATGCACTGTTGTGAAAAGTTATTGTTAAAAATCCAACTACAATTTTTGTTTTGAATTAAAAAAATGTTTTGGTCGTAAACTATCCTTAGGCATACGGCTATTCTTGTTCTTACTCAAAAGTCTGCTGGAGATGGGCAATTAATCAATCAATTTCATGTTTTTGTATTTTGTGCACCAAATCATACACTGTCATTGATTTTCCCTTCAATGTGGTTTTACAATTAATTCATCAAATAACCTTCAGGTTTTGTTTAGTCTCAGTTCTGGTTTCATTCTGTCAAAATTTGTTATGTTTTCCGGCTGTATATTGTTCTGTTTGCTCGAAAAATCGGTTTCAATTCGTTCATTGTTGTAGGTTTGAATATTTCCCCTGTGTTTTCCAGTGCAGTTGTATTAGTTTTTGCTGAATAGTTTTTCGTTTAGTCTGCCACATTTCAGCCATCTTTGCTGTGTTCTGTAATTCAACTCAAAAGCATTATCTCTTAGCTATTGAGATCATTGGGTGCAGTTTCACAGGCCTTTTTTTTCAAACTACGACTTCAGCTTTGGCACATATGAAATTACCAACCTTAGCTAATAAAAGTAATCAGACACAGACTTAGTTTGCAGCTGCATCCTTTATCAGGATCAAAGCTTCAAGAATGGCCGATATGTGTATAGACAAAGCCAAGAACCCCGAGCCTAAGCTGTAGCCCACTTTGAAAAATGGGCCATACATTTTGAGCTACAGCTGAAGCCCCGCTTTGAAAAAGGACCAGAGATAGCCAAGATCTTGAGCACAGCTAAAGGCCAACTTTGAAAAAAGGCCACAGACATGACAGATAGCCAAGATCTTGAGCCACAACTGAAACCCAACTTTGAAAAAAAAAGGACCATAGATAGCCACGATCTTGAGCCACAGCTGAAGGCCAACTTTGAAAAAAGGCCACAGACATGACAGATAGCCAAGATCTTGTGTTGCAGCTGAAACCCAACTTTGAAAAAAGGACAATGGAAAGTCAAAATCTTGAACCACAGCTGAAACCCACCTTTGAAAAAATGGCTATACAGTAGATACATGTAGCCAAGATGTTGAGCCACATCTGAAGCCCAACTTTGAAAAAAGGGCCATATAAGGTACCTGCGGCCAAGATCTTGAGCTGCTGCTGAAGCCCAACTTTGAAAAACAAGAGACCATAGATACCGGGTAGCCAATATCTTGAGCCACAGCTGAAGTCCAACTTTGAAAAAGGCCAAAATTGTATGAAACCAAAATGGCTGGCGTGTGGGAGTGTTGTATTTTGAATAAAACTTGCATGAGGTCATTGTTTGCTAAAGTTCCCCCCTTCCCATTGCCTGTTGTTGCAGTTCCGTGATGTCCCAGCTGAATATAAAAGTGTGAGTCCCTGTCTAATTTGATTTTTTGTTTAATTTGCCGAACCTACGCTCAGTAATTTGTGCTGTAACAATCATCTGTATGATGAGCACGTACAGTGTGGTGCAGTGTATCGCTGATTCTGGGAACAATGGTCGAGCTCCCTACCAAGTTTGAAGTTTCACTTCTCGGTCCAGTTTCTGTTTCGAATAGTTTTGAAATGATTGTACTTGCAAAAATGTTCCATCAATTCAAAAATGCTGAGATATCAACTGAACGAAAAGTCAGTGCTGACTAATTAAAAATGTACTTAAGTTTAATTCTACTGGGTTTGAAAGCATAATTGGCGTCGTTATTTGAGTGGTATGAACGGAAAGTGTGCATCATGTTGATGGTTGTTACTGTACGACTGAATGCTGTGCTATCTCCCCATGCATGGTCCATCTGGAAACATTAATGAGGAGTCACTTTGTGTATGCAGTGTTAAAAAACTACAGTGGAACGTCGCTATACCGAACACTGTTATACAAACATTCGGCTATACCGAACATCATGCTTGGCTCCCAATTTTTGTGAACAAAATGTACTGAACATTGTTGTTGAAAAATGTCAACAGAAGAGTGACAAGTGGCTATTATTTCCCCAAGGAATAGAAGGGGAAAGCCACCTATTGCTGCAGGTAGTAAGCTAAAAAAACTGTGTAAAATAATTCAGTAGTCAGCACGTGTTCAAAGTCGTCTTTCATTAACTACCAGGGCGTGCAGGGGGAAATTCTGAAGGGCGCTATTTATTGAAAAGTTGGTCCGGAACGCCAGCAGCTTAAAATGGCTATACCGAATGATCGCTTTTACAAACAATTTCTGTGGATCCCGCGATGCTCGTTATAGCGGCGTTCCACTGTACTTATAATGAGAGATAAGAAATTTACACTATTGTGTTTTAACTTTCCTGCTGGGAAATCACTATTTAGTGCAGTACTTATTAAAAACCCTTCAGGTTAAGGATTAAAATACATGTAGTTGTGTCATACAGAGAGTCACTGCCCAAAAAAAAACAGGAGTGAAGCATGACAAATCTGCCTGCTTACCCTGAGCTTAACCACACAAAAGAGTTGTGCAGGGATTTGAAGTGTTATCCATACTCTGCAGAAGATTACCTTCAAGTGTGGGTGCTAATAACCCTGCGGGCAAAAGTCCAAACTTGAAGGGTTTTGAATTGCAAAGGTCTAGTAGGTGTTTTTTTTTAAAGTGACACTGAAGAACAACAGCAAGATTATCTTATATAAAAACAAACATGTATCCCACTGGACTCCAATGAACACAAAACTCAACAAGTTAACACTAATGTAACATAAAAATGCATGAGGAATACTAACAATCAGAAAGCTTTGTTTAGTTAAGGCTGACTTGAAGTCAAGTCTGTAACAAGTCGGTCACATGTCAAATCACAAGCATAAGTCACAAGTAACGCGCGATGAACAATGAATAAGGATAGCCTTCGTCACAGAATAGCTTGTGACTTAACTTGAGACTGGCTGACTTGCGACTGACTTGTGATTGACATTTGATGACTTCTGATGACTTGTGATGACTTGTGACTGAGTTGTGACTGACTTGTAATGACTTTTGATTGACATTTGATGACATTTGATGACTTGTGACTGACTTGTGACTGACTTGAGATGACTTGTGACTGACTTGTGACTGGCTTGTTATGACTTCTGACTGACTTGTGATGTATACATGTGTGTGACTGGCTTGTGGTGACTTGTGACTGGCCTGTGATCACCTGTGATCATTTCTGACTGTCTTGTTATGACTTCTGACTGACTTGTGATGTATACATATGTGTGACTGGCTTGTGATGACTTGTGAAAACTTGACTACAAGTCTTGGCAAAGTTTAAGTTTGAAGTCAAATGAATGCACGCGTGTACCTAGTCCCAGTGGTAAGGCCTCAGATTTGTGTTTTTCGCAGGAAGGTTTTCAGAATGTTGGTTCTAATCCTTCAAAGGATGGTCGGGTGAGTGTGTCCCTGAGCAAGGTACTGAGCTCTAATACGCTGTGTTTTTTACCAAATGTGGGCGCTGTAACAATATTTTTACTCATTATCCCCCAAAAATCCTGCTTATTGCAGCAGTTCACCAACTTGACTTGAAACTAAAATGAAAGATTGTGAAAATATAAATTGAAAGAAGTGACAATACCGGTATGTACAGTTTTGTCAATAACCTTCATTTCACATCTTGTTACAGCGCCGGCATCAATTTTCATTTTGCAGCATTTTGGCACGGATGCACTGCATTCACAGGCTTTCACTTGCATTTCAGTTTGCTTTCTAAATATTGTTTGATTTGTATTATTTCATTCTTATTTATTTCCTTTTTATGCCTGTCAGGTTTGTTTTGTATCTTGTGTTGAAGTGCCTTGCCATTCTATTGTACATGGGAAAATACTAATTTCTTTGATTTAAAAATGGAAGTCTGCTCAGCAGTATTTATAAAAAAAAAAAAATAATTATAATGGCAGTGTGCTTGATTGCAAGTGTATATTTTAGTTCTTTTTAGACAATAAACTACCTGGGTTACCTAAAATTGTCTCTTGAACATCAATACTACATTTTTTTTTTTCAATTTTAATAATTGGGTCGGTTGACTTTTGAGTAACAACAAGATAAGCAGATAACATCCAAAAGTTGTTTTGAATTTCATCTTGTCATTTATTGGTTGATTTTCAACCAATCAGGTTTTTTTATGTTAACGAAACGATAAAAACAATTGAACTAGGTTCATGTGTATTATCTGTTGAATGTAACACTTTCTCTTGTAACTCCTAACATATTTAACATTACATTTAACCATGGAGAAATTATTCCTCCATGATTTAACGTAACATTTTCAGAGTCTGTTCTTATATAACCAATACATGATAATGCTTACTTTACAATGAACATAAAAAGGTAAACTGCCTGAATTTCAGAAATTCACGGGTAACTGCTAAATACTCTGAGTTAATGGTAAAACATTGTTCATTAACTTTCCTATGCAAACATACATTCTGTGCCAAGTAGTCCTTTCAGTCAAAATCAAAACAACAGTTGAGAATTCCCAGCCCACATAAAGCAGGATTGACTGGCTGTGACTGTTTAAGTAACTAGGCACAGCTTTGCTTTGACTGCGGATGATTGATAAGCCAGCTGTGCACACAACTTGCCTGCTTTGTCTGTTCATGGTCTGTTGATTGAGTTTGACTAGTCACAGTGCGTGCTTGGCATATGATCTGACTGCTGGTGACTAGCCTGTGCTAAAAGTATGGCAGGGGAAGTGGATGGACATTTTGACTGTCTGTGACTGTTTAAATAGCAGGAGGGTTAATAACATTTACACAATCTGGGTGCCGCAACTTCATCTCATTTGAACAGTTTTAGGACGGCATACATATCAAGGTCTTTCAGCGCAAATTGTAGTTTTTCTGATTTATACCATCTGTGTACCTCTTTGTTTCTTTTGATTAATCATATTCATCAAGATCGAAGTAAAAATTTGCTCCTTTTACCGCTGAAGTTTGGATCGGTACAAAGCAGTGTCATTGAGATGCTACATTTAGCTGTTTTTACTTTGTCTACGAAAAGCCGTCATCTACTATCAGTCATACGCGTGTGCTGTGAGCATCTTTACCATTGGAGTTGAAATGTAGCATTAGCTTAACAGTGTAGTTTATGAAATGCAACCATGATCATGGGCTCGATTGTTGCAACGATTGTTGCCACCTTTACAATAAACGAGTCCGATATTTTATCTCTGTGTCTGCGTCACAGGCCCCAAGCACACTCTTAGAAGCCCTGGAGGCACATGCAGCATCACTGGACAACAAGAAGTCCTGGACCAAGTAAGTCATTTAGTTCTGCTGCAAAATGTCTGTCTTGTCAGTTTGCAGTATCATACGCTTCCCGATGATCATGTTATTTCTTTGTCAAAAAGTAATCTGTTATGAGCCAATATGGCTTATCAGGCCAATGCTTATCATGGGATTTTCCTTGGCATGAAACGACTGAGAGTATTTCTACTCCCCCTGGATGGGATGCTAGTCCATCGCAGGTTACTCCTCAGCTCATGCTGGTACCCTTTAACACTCCTGGGTGGAGAGAGGCAGGTTGGGGTGAAGTGGCTTGCCCAAGGACACAACTTATAACCTACAGCCGGATTTGAACCCCGGACCCACTGATAATGAGTCAGCTAATGCCAGCACCCATTTGTACTCCTGGGTGGAGAGATACAAGTGGGAGTAAGTAGCTTGCCCAAGGACACAAATTATGGCCTGCAGCTGGATTCGAACCCCTGACCCTCTGATCATGAGTCAGCTAATGCCAGCACCCATTTGTACTCCTGGGTAGAGAGATACAAGTGGGAGTAAGTAGCTTGCCCAAGGACACAAATTATGGCCTGCAGCTGGATTCGAACCCCTGACCCTCTGATCGTGAGTCAGCTAATACCAGTCCCCATTTAGAGATGAGGTCTTGAGTAGGTAGCTTGTCCAAGGACACAACATATGGCCTGAAGCTGGATGCGAACCCCTGACCCTCTGTTCACAAGTCACAAATCAAATGACTGTTCCTTATGACTGGACCTTTCTTGTTTTTTGCTAAGCAATATTTCCAAGAAATACTCCAAGAAATTCGGCCCCGGATTTCAAATTTGTGTGTTTTGTTTTTTTTATCGCAGACCGGCTGCTGTCACGTCGGCCGTCAACGCTTTTGCCAACTCGGTCTCCCGCATCGACAGCGAGGAGAAGCGACGAGCCGTCGAGGAGGAGAAACTCCGCCTGGCTTCCATGAAGGTAGCGAAGGATCAACCGGGCACTGATGCCTTCTCGGCTGAGCCACTTAGTGTAGCACTGACGAACATGAACGCAAGTCTTAAACATTATTCTGGTTGAAAACCCCTCGGTAAAAAGTCCGTTTTGCCCTCCCTGTGTAGAAAGTAGTTGCAGTTTTCACGCATGTTGTTTCAATGTACCTCAACATCAAATGTGAGTAAAATTTTATGAAATTAATTTTTTCTTGGAGCAAAATCTAATTGAAGTCAAAGAATAGTCGTTGACTCTTTAAAAAAACAGGCATAAGATTTTTCAGACCTTTTGAATCATACAACAGCATACAGGGTGAGTAGAAAGAAACGCATCCCAAATGGCAGGACCAATTTTTGGAATGAAGTTTTGCCTGTAGCACTTTCAAAATCAAGGATAAGAAAGCCCAATCAATAAGCTTTCTTTCAGTACACGAATCATTCAAATCACTCATGTGCTTTTCAGGTTACGTCATTTTGAGCACAATCAACTTTTTGAAGTTTTACCCACGGATCACAAAAAAGGTACGTGTTCTTTTAGCAAAAACGAAAACAATTCACATGCATCTCTATGAGAATTGTTTTCGTTTTGCTGAAAGAACACTTACTTTTTTTGTGATCCATGGGCAGAACTTTAAAACGGTGTTTGTGTTCGAAATTCCGTAACTTGAAAAGTACATGAGTGATCTGTATGATTCTTGTACTGAAAGAAAGCTTAATGACTGAGCTTTCATAACCTAGATTTTGAAAGTGCTACATGCAGAACTTCATTCAAAAATTGGTCATGCCATTTGGAATGCGTTTTGTTTTTTTACTCACCCTGTAGATAAATCCGGATATGTGATCACTGTACATTCACGAGGCCCCCTTCAATGGAGACACCATTGTGCTAGCTATTGTACAAAGCAACTGCCCCATGATGGATTATCTGAACAATAGCTAGCGCAATGCTTTCGCCATTGAAGGGGGCCTTCGTGATAGAATTGATGGCGTGCCACGATTGGCCTAAAGAAAGAAATTTCATCAATTATCAGACCTTTTTTTTTTTACTTTACTGACAAACTCATTACGACAGGATTAAATCTTGTCTAGTTGATGGAAAATCATTGTATTTCGAAAAACACTTGTTTCCCAAAATGCGTTTGTTGAGGTATGTGTGATTCCCAAATGTACATTTTAGATCCGCGTTTGATGTGTGATAACGCTTCTCCCAAAAACATAGCATTATAAAAGAAAAAAGCATTTTTATTTTGTTTTTATAATTTCATAGAAACCATGGGTTGAGGTTGATTTAATCACTGCATTCCCAACCCAAATTCTTAATCATTGTTTGAAAACTGCTTCATCCATTGGGTAAAAATGTGCTTCCGTTTTAATGCTTCCAATATACAAACCAGAATTAACCGACTTCTGCGTTCAGTTTCGCCATTTCAAATCTCTCACACTCACAGACTGCTCTCAGAATTAGGAGAAAATAATGTCGCATGATTTAAAACTTGTGGAACATAATGCACTGCACAGATACAGTGGAACGTCGCTATACCGAACACTGTTATACCGAACATTCAGCTATACCAAACATTGTCCAGATCGTTCTGACTTGCCCAGCACAGCAAATACACAGAATGTAGAATCCTACAAGCTAAGCAGCTGGCTGTGTTTTGTTTGCATGCTAACATCAATAACTGCAAGCATTTTTGATTCTCCACCTGATTTCTGTTTTCTGTTCGTTTTGCATGGCTATATTCTTTCGTTTTGCTTTGAATATCACAAATTTGCAATACCGTGCATGTTGCTTTAGATGCATTGATGTTATATTTCGGCCGCTGTTGTACAACTAATGCATTTCTAAAATGCAGGGAATGTTCTCAGGTGCCTATATTCATGGCTATATTCTTTCTTTTTGCTTTGAATATCACAAATTTGCAATACCGTGCATGTTGCTTTAGATGCATTGATGTTATATTTCGGCCGCTGTTGTAGAATTAATGCATTTCTAAAATGCAGGGAATGCTCTCAGATGCCTGTTGATTATAATGCCTGCTACACGTGTCACAGAAGAGCTTCCAAAAGATCTTCCGAAGCTTCCAAAATCTTAAATTTGTAAGACGATGATTTTAACCGTCACAGGCCAAACAAGTTCAAGACCAGGCCGACAGTATAAAGACGCAACCAGCGCCCAACCAGAATAATCCGTTCCTTTCATCGCCCACCACTTCACCGGTTCACCAGCCCGCCACGACGGCCGTGTCCAGAGATATCTTCGGTGCACCACCACAAGGTAGAAGACAGGACACCAGTCTTTCATTATTTAAAGGCTTAAACATGTAGGATCATTTGCATTTATCACACAAATAACCTGCATAATGCAAGTGGTCTCACCAAACTTTCTCCTCCTTCCCCTGCGAAATGCAACAGAATGCACCAGTGGTAAAAAAGTTGTTGCAAGTTGTTGCATTTAGCAGAGTCCTGATCTGATGCATTCCACCCCTGCATTCCGTTGCATTTGGCAGGGTAGGTACTTGGTACCACGGCTGGCATGTATTAGTTCACTGCATTCTGTTGCATTTGGCAGGGTGCCTAGAGAATACCCCGTGGGGGTTAGGGTTACTAAGGGGGTACTCGTCATGAGTATGGGAATTTCCTGGGAGTGTTTTTGACCTTGAAAGAGTCAGGATTCATTGGTATTACAGGGTAATCCTATATGATAGCACTGCCCGACTCTCTGCTCGCTCTCTGCCCACTGGCACCGGCAATCCCCAAAAATTAAAAAAGTTCTTAATTTGTTATTTTGTGGTTTTTAATTTGTTTTCAGGAACCGTGCCCCAACAGCCAGCGCCCATGTCCAGCGATCTTATGGGGTTGTCAGCATCAGCCATGATGCCCTCTATCCACGCTCAGATAGCCCAGCCACAAATGGCGGCCCAGGCGCAGTGGGGCGCCTCAAATGGTGAGAGAACAGTAATCAAAGCTTTGGCGTAAAAAATGTACCGCAGTTTCGTTTTACCTCACTTTTTTCCAATTAGATATATCGTTGAATACAGGAATTGACCGTAGAGGGACTTGAACCTGCGACTGCCGGATTATGGCACTCTTACTGACGATGCTCTTACCAAATAAGCTATCCACCTACTGCGGCATTTTCCCCCCCAAAAAACCAGCTTTCAGGGCTCGATATCTCAGTTTATACCGTACACGATTTGCGGAAAATGGATACCCACCAGTGTCCCTATACTCTGTAGACTATTGTTACCTAACACATTCTACCCTCGGTATCTCTCAAGAATTCCTGGGATTCCGAGAATAAAGTGACCAACACAACAGAGGGGGTCCGCTCCGTGGTATGTCTTGCTTAACCCTCACCCTCCAGGGTATTTTGGCTAGGAGCCCTGCCAAACGCAGCGACATGCAACACTTGTCTAAGTGACAAGCCTGCCCAGTGTAGCAAGATTCATCAGGTCAAAAGTCTCAAGGCCAACCTGCCTCAGAGTCTGTGGTCCGCGAACGCAGCAGGATACAACTGTGGCATTGTTCTATTGGAATAGCTCTCATTGTCTCAGAAGCGGCCATTTATGCACTGGTGTTGGTAGCTGAATGCATCAAAGTGCACCAGACTTTTCCACCTGATGCACTGTGTTGCTCCTGGCTGGGTTAGGGTTAAAATGGCTCAGTTGGTAGAGCTCCGGTACGGTAATCCAGGGGTCACAGGTTCAAATCCCGCCACTGCCAATTTTTTGTTTGTTCAACTCTGAAATTATTATGTATACGCCTTGCTTTTTTTCTTTCAAGGTTTTTATGAAGTTTTCAAGATTGGGTTTAACTCACTACTAATATGCTTTCATCTTTAATACATTTAACACACTCTAACAGTTACTGCGTCATTTTGCACACTATTAATCGTCGTTTCAAGAAAATCTGTGTTCAATGTTATGAAACAAGATTTTTTTTGTGTGGAGGAATTTTTTTTTCTCAACTTATTAGTGACGATTTCTAGGATATATCCATGTTTTATTGTCTTCAACTAAGGAAGATCTCTGCAAATCTGTGAAGTTTAATTTGTAGATTCAAGAAAGAAAATGACTTGTATATACCTTAGACATAATGACGCTTTGTTGACATGTGCGCTTTCTTATGGGAGCTTGGTGGATCTCCTCCCCAGCTGGCTCCCATACAGAAGTGCACATTCAGCAAGATGAATCAAGTGTCAATAACTTTGGCGGCGCTATCCAGGAAATTCAGAGCAAACCTCACGCATGTTCATTAACTCGTATACAGCGTGCGAGGGGTATGTATGCTCGGAATTTCCTGGGTAGCACTGCCAAAATTCCCAATTCAGATTTGATTCATGTTATTGATAGCGACCTCTACTGCCGAGGTGCCTTAACTGCACTTGTCAGTAAAAAAAAAAGAAGGAAAGTCTGTCATGAGCCGATGTGGCCCATCAGGCCAGCGTTTAACTTTGGTTTCAGTAGCACGAAACGACTTAGAATATTTCTATTCCCCCTGGATGGGATGCCAGTCCATTGCAGGTTGCTCCCCAGCTAATGCCAGTACCCATTTATACTCCTGGGTGGAAAGAGGCAAGTGGGGATGAAGTGGCTTGTCTAAGGACACAACATATGGCCAGCGGCTGGATTCAAACCCATGACCCTCTGATCATGAGTCACAAACCCTAACCACTACACCATACTCCCCCTTGTCAGGGACCGGTTGTATTAGGGAGAGGGAACAACAGGGCTTGAATCAAGACTAAGGTCCACCCCACAAGTGTGTATAAAGCTGTGTGTTTGTTTATGTGCTCTAATTGTAAGCACCTTTTCTTTTTATTTCTGCGCACCCTTTTGGATTATTTCCGTCTTGTAGTCCTGGCAGCTACGTCCAGCTCACCGCTCACCATCCCGGCCCCGGGCTCGCCCCTCAGGGCCTGCACCTCGGCACCCTGTAGTTACAAGGACTCGTTTGAGCCCTTCGGAAACGCTCAAACAAGTAATCAAACAAAGATGTCTTGTGATTTTGGTTTTGTAAAGTGTGCCGACCGTAAAATATGTGTTTTGTGTTTGGAGTAAATGTTGTATTGTATCCGCGTTTGAAAAGTTAAAGGTATTATCACCCTGGTTTTGTTGCATCCCGTCATCCTTTATGTCTGAGGACTAGGAATAATGGGTTACTGTGATACTGATAAACCCAAGGACCTGAGACCAAGTCCTCAGAAGATTACCGTGTACAATTGTTATGGGACATGTTGAGAAACATTTTTTAGTCCACACAATGTAGAAAATAAGGGTCCTCAGAAGCATAGTGAATTGTCAACTTGGCTTAAGAATGAATGACTTGCTCTTGACTTGTGAGGACTTGTGGGGACTTGTGAGGACTTGTGGGGACTTGTGATGACTTGTGATGACTTGTGAGGACTTGTGGGGACTTGTGGGGACTTGTGGGGACTTGTGATGACTTGTGAGGACTTGTGGGGACTTGTGAGGACTTGTGAGGACTTGTAAAATCAGTTTTTCATACTTGACGCAAACGTTACTTGTTGAACCATCGACGCGTCTGTTGCATGAGTAAAAAATATGAATTGATTCTAGAGCGTTTGCTGTGAAGTGCTGGTCTGTGTGTTGGTGTATTTGTTAATTTGTTTTTGTGTACTTAAAATGGCCGAAATTCATTAAGTTTGCCTTGCAAATATTCGATTTCTGAAGTTGCTATAATAGTACATGTACAATAAAAATCCGTCAAGCTACATGTGTGTGCGCTAATAACCAAAACCCTCATTTTTCTCTCTTCTCCCTACGACCAATTTCACAACCCCAAAACAAACACATAAACAGAGGACAATAACCCTTTCCATGACCCTGAGCCCTTTGAGGCCCAGTTCCCGGACCCCCCTATGAACCACTCGTCAGGCCCGCCCCCCTCTTTCCTGGACGCTCACGCCCCTATCGACCCTTTCCCTAACTTCCTTGACGAGAGCATTCTGGATAAGGAGGACAAAACGGCGCAGCTCGAGTCCGTCTTCGGAGCGCCCCCTATCTCTCCGTCCTGCACGCCAAAATTTCACAAACCGCAGGAGGGGAAAAGTATATTGATCTTTTTCAGGTTCCACTGAGGATTGTGGTAACATCAGGCAACATGATGTTGCTGCAATCCTGAATTGTGTACATGTACACCCCTCCTTACAGATCACATACAATTACAGATGAAATGTAGCTGTCCTGTGCATGTTAGCTGGCTCACAGAAACATTGATGATTGCTCCTGAATCGATTGACTGCTCGAGATTGTGGTCTTAAAATATGTCCATTGAGGCACCTGTTACGCTGAAGAAATCAAATGAGAATCAATAAGTTCATTAGCCTTTTGAGATACGATGCACAGAATAGGGGGCACTATTTGGCGTGGGTGAACTCATATATCAAAACTATAAATAGAACTACTAAAATATAATCACTCTAAGTAGCACCCTCTATTGTGTCAGGCTGCGGAATTGCACAAGTTTTCAGACAGTTAGTTTTATTATATTAGGAATAGCTAACAGGCATGCACATGGCAGCGTACAGTAACTGGTTATAACCTCATGTTCATTTACTTGTTGACCCTTCGTGTTTCTTTTAGCATGAACACTGTAGTGTTCCCTGTTGTGCATGTAAACCATGCCTGTAAACCCACCTCTTTGCGGTGGTATCCATAGCTGTACCGGTTGTTGAGTGATATTTCGTCGCGTCAGTGCAACAAGGTCGTACAATGTAACTCGATTCTGCAACAAAGTCGTATCTCATGCGAATACGCTCTGTGCAACAAGGTCTCATCTTGCGTATCTTAACGTCCATCAACTTAGTGTGTACATCTGGGTTATTTTAAGCAAGATACGACCTTATAACATTGAAAACTCACGTTTTACGTACATGACGTCACACGCCATTTTAGAAGATACGAGCTTGTTGCACGGACACGGCGATTTGTAGTTCTAAGCCCATTTCAGGAACACAGAAACAGCTCATGTACTATCAGTAATCCCACGAGTGCAAGTGCTTCATGAAATAATGTAGTGCGTCTGTGTGGCATACATGTATGCCATGGGGCCGAAGACTGTGTGGATATACAACACAGACACACTACGTTTTCCGTATTCTAAAAGCTCGAGTGCAACGTTTTTACCGTCACGCAGACTTTGCACTCAGTAAAGATCCAACACATGCGCTGTGGTAACGTTTCAGTTGTTATCCCACTATGCGTACAGCAGGGAAACGGATATAAGAAGAGCACGATATGTGCAATATTGACTACGCAATATAAGATATCACTCTGATGTTGTGCCATGGATCGACCAATCAGGATCGAGGATTCAAGTTTCCTTGAACACAAAGTGTAAAAGATAACCAATCGCTATTAATTGTTCATGTTCAAATGTAATAATAGTAGACTTAATATTAGACTAACATTTATAGGAGGAATAGATGAAATAGAATGCATTATATGTATAGGTAGAATTTACTGCAGGAATTAATCTCCTTGAAAATACTGTATCTACAATCCCGGCCAAAATGGTTGGGACACTTGGAAATAACCTTAGCCTTTCATGGCCACCCACTCCCCCGCTCCCCCGGTCAATGTTGTTCTCTCCAGCTGATGGAGCACACACCGCACAATGAGAGACAACATTGACAGGGGGCGGGGGGGTTGGGGGCCCAGCGAGATTTGGCCAGGATTGTAGATTATTGACATCCGATATAATGAACTGTTATTGTGGTAGCTTGCTTGTATCCAGTGTCATGTCCCCCGAAGTGTGCTTGTACTAGTGCTGGGCATTTTGGAATAATTTAGTATTCGGTTATTGGAAATTGGATTTAATCGAATACTTGGATATTCAAACATTGACATTGAAGTAAGGGGAAAAAAATAGGAATATGTGTGTGTCGGTATATATATTTGAGGTAGCTGACTACATGTAGTTGATTTTTGACAGATATATAAGATGTGAATTAGGGCTAATATTCCTCATGGGAGCTCTGAAAGCATGCATCTCAAAGTATCTGTCCACAAAAATCGGCATTTGACGAAGAATAAAACCACTGAACTTTACTTTAGGAATAAATTACATCACCGACTTCTCTTGTCATCTTCTCGAGACAGCTCACTTTTTTGAATATTCTATCTAATAAGATGCTATTCAGATATGCGAGGATGATCGAATATTCGGATATATCGGACGAAGAATAAAATTACTCAACTTATAGGAATAAATGACATCACCGACTTCTCTTGTCATCTTCTCGAGACAGCTCACTTTTTTGGTTGAATATCTAATAAGATGCTACTCAGATATGCAGTGGCTGATCGAATATTCGGATATCAGACGAAGAATAAAACCACTCAACTTTACTTTAGGAATAAATTACATCACTGACTTCTCTTGTCATCTTCTCCAGACAGCTCACTTTTTTTTTTAAATATTCTATCTAATACCGGTAAGATGCTACTCAGATATGCAGTGCGTGATCGAATATTCGGATATATCGGACGAAGAATAAAACCACTCAACTTTACTTTAGGAATAAATTACATCACCGATTCCTCTTGTCATCTTCTCGAGACCGCTCACTTTTTTTTAAATATTCTATCTAATAAGATGCTATTCAGATAAGCAGTGGATGTTCGAATATTCGGATATCTGTTTATTTGGCACAGCCCTAGCCTGTACACTGTATTGTAACACTTTGACGCATGAACCTTAACATTGTCATTCATAAACTAACCCGTTATTATAACACACTAACCTCAGCATAATAAATGACTAACCCATTATTATAACACACTAACTTTAGCATTATACAGTACTTTTGTGTTGAGCATGAGCCAGCTCGAACTCATTGATCTAACCCTGCATAATAACACTGTAACCATTGATTTACTCACAGACAACGCAGCCATGGCTAACGCGCCTAGCCTGGCACCCACTGCGGACCCAGTCTATCCTACAGGATTCCCCTCGTACGAGGGAACCCAGGCTAGCTCCCAAGGTGTGTGTGTGTGTCACTGTTTGAATCAAACGCTTGCATCTCTTTTCTCATCTCCAGCCACAGACTTCAGAAATATTCGACTAGCCCAAGCGATCTGATACACCGTGCCCTCTGGAGACATGCACACTATAGGGAACAAAAGATTGTATACGTCTCCACAGGGCAATTTCTATAGATGAATACGTCTCCACAAGGTTATCACGAAATAGATATATGGACTTTACTCAAAAATTAGGAATTTCCATGGTATGTTGATCTGTCGCAAATGGAAGAGTTTTAGAAAAGGGATATTAAGTCCGAATTTCAGCCAAGGAAATTAATAAGAGCATTTTGAAACTACACTTTCAAACTTGAAAAGTTTACTACACGAGAACAAAGAAATGTCTCCACAAGGATACAAATTCCAGTATTTGTGTAGTAATCAACCCAAGTAAAAGCCAAATTTTCAGAAGATTTCTCCGATGCCAAAATAGAAGAAGCAAGATTTTTTTTTAGCTGAAATATAACAGCCAACAATTTGTAGGATTAATAAAAAAATATTGAATTATTTGAAGAGGACGAACAAGGTTGATACATGGACAGGGTGTCTCCCAGAAAAAATGTAGCAGTGACATTTTTGGTACCAAAAAAACTACCATGAGATGATAGAGGTCTCTACCCTTGACAGGATCATTGTTCTGTGTGATTTGGACCTTTTATTTAAATGTTACGGCAAAGCTTGTAAAGACTGTCAAAGTCCATTTGGGCCACTTTCTTCACCTTCTTGGAATGTGAATGCCTTTCAAAAGATACCTAGCGGCCCAACGTGGAATTCAAGTCCTTTCATTTAAATTAGCTGTATCTCTGGACTGGGCTGTCCAAATGAGATGGGATAAAGACCATTGTGTAGAGTATTTACAACACCTTCAGACTCTGTAACTTTTGCAGAAAGAGAGTGCTAGTACTTTTAATATTTCTGGATTGACTGCTACATTTTTTAAAGACGCCCTGTATGACCACGAGGCATGTGTTGATCATATCTTGTCAATTTGTACACGGTCAGTGAACGTTGAAATCTATCTGTCCATCTCTGTGTCGGATTAAAAACTATCCCCCAACATCCCACGGCAAATCCTCTGCTGATTTCCCCCGAAACCAATCCTTAGAATAACAAACAGAATGTCCAGCACCCGTTTTTGTTGTCTGTGCTGGTTGCTGTTTCGAAGTGAGATGCAAGTGTTAGTTATTTTTTTTTCCCATTCTACTTGTAGTTCCTGAGGTGCAGGGATGGTTAGACTACATGTAGTTCATCCCTAAGGTTTCTCTATCTCTCACGTCATGAATTCTGCCATTTTCGAAAGCTTTCAGACTTGATACCCTCCTACACATCTTGACCTTTCTCTACATCTGATAGCATTTGGAGGCATAATGTCGGCTAGCACAGCGCTGCTAACCGTACTGTTGCATGTAGGTAGATGCTTAAAAAAGTAGATTTTACAAAATTCACATGTAAAAACTGCTACATTGTAATTTTCGCAACTAGAGTCCACCTCAATTTTTTTGTAAAATAGAAGGTATATTTTAGCTGTTTTGAGTTACTTTTAGCGAACTATTGTGGATGATTTATTTTTTTTAGATACCGAAATATATGCCCTTTACCAGTTATTGCTGAAAATGGCCCTAAAGGACTGTTTTGAGCCAAATACACTGCAAATCTTTTCAGACTGACATAGTCGTCAAAGTGTATCCTCGTGGAGATGACCAGAGCATACTGGTCGAAACGTCGAGGAAACCCTCAGGTTCTTTTCAGAACCACACATCTCCAAAAGAGTTGTTTCCCATGGTGTTTACGTATATTCCATCTTATAGAAATGCATTCCTTTTTGGTTTGTAATTGAACATTAAGCATGTGTTCAATAGTCTGCAGTAGGTAGTTGTGGACAGTGCGCAGTTCATCATCATCTGCTTCTCTGCATGGCATCTCTGCATTGTGTTTTTGTAGTGTGGTAATTGTAGTGTTGCTTGACACTTGCAATATTCTCATAGCGTTTGAACAGTTCATCCAATCAAGCATGAGATAATTCTGTCATTGATGTACGTGTCATTTACTTAATGTTTAATTTCCCTTAAATGTGTTCCACTTCCTGATCTCAAATCTACAGTTTCCATTATAATCGCTGCAATAGTACCTTTTTTTTTTGACCCGGTACACTTATCATTTCCATGAACAGAAGCATTCATATGCAAGCAAATCTTTCAGTCGGCTAGAAAAACTGCTACATTATGCATGTCACTTCCATAATTCACACTTGGTCTTTCAAAGTAAAATCCTGGCAACATTCATTAAAGTGTACCAGAATCTCGGTGGATATTTATTTGATTGATTGTTTGCTTTATTGCTACATATGATGCATAGAGAGCATTATCAAACTCAACAACGCTCCACCAAATGAGCTAACCCTAACCCTAACTCAAACTCAACGGCACTCTACCAAATGAGCCTCACCCTAAAGCCCGGTTCATACTTCATGCGCATGCGAATGCGAAGCAAATTTGACGTCATGAAACATTTGCTGCGAAATTCGCCCGTGTTGAAATATGTATTTTATGAATTGGCAGCGCGAATACTTGCCATGACGTCACAAATTCGCGTATTCGCGTTCGCTTTCGTGCCGAGTATGAACCAGGCTTATCCCTAATCTGCACTAAACCTTACCCTAACCGCAACCTGCTCTAACCCTAAGCTAACCCAACCCTAACCCAACCCCAACCCTAATCCTAACCCTCACCCTAATCCGAACCCAACCCTAACCCTAACATTTATGAATGTAGCAGGAAAGTTCCCCTCCAGTTTGTATTACTACCCTTTCCAAATGGCAGAAACAAAGATGCACATTTATATGTACCTGATATTCCCCTGAGTAACCCCCAGTCGTACCTTTTACATGAAGCAAGTTCGATCCAGGACAGTTTGCCAATCAGTGGTCGATTCGTGCCGTAAGTTACACCTGTGCGAGTCACTTTTGCTAAAAGAAACGTGCAAGCATCTCTGGTCAAAACGTCATCGCCAAACTTCTTGATCCCTGGCTCTCCGCTGAGCGATATGATGCACGCAGCTACATGCATTGGTAACCAGTGATGCTACCAACGTCATCAGACTGGTTGTCAAAAGTCGACTGGTCGTTGACTAACCAGCATACAATTCAACGATTGTTAAAGGCATGCAGGATCATTTGCTTGTCATGCGTTTTGTTGGTTTCCAATAATAACACCACTCAAAATCGAAAGAGGAATATTCAAAACCTAACCTGTTGAAGTTTTAGCTCAGTGGATATTACACTTTTCGAGAAAACAGTGAAACACCATGCACAACCTTTTGATCACGAAACACGATTTCGTCAATAGCACTCTGTATTTCCAAAAATCAGTCAAGTGACTGATCGTTGGAAATCGCCAACATTCCTTGATTTCTTCTAAGTGAAAGCAAGCCAGATGGCATAATTTCACAGGGCGTTTAGTACCAGTAAGGTCTTTAATCCAGTAAGCGTGTTGATCATAATTCGGTAGGTTGCTTTTGGGATAAATGCAAATGATCCTATGCCTTTAAATAGTTTCTAGTCGAACTTGCTCCAACATTTCCGTGGTTTTCGTTTTATTTTGTTCCGTTCATATCCTCTTCATCCATCCCCGCTCCCTCTCATACAGGCATCACAAACAACAATGACATCGGGGCCAACTTTGACAAAGTCTTTACGGATAATGCCAGACAAAATGGTAAGTTTGTTCCCCCCCCAAAAAAATACACCAAACCAGCTTGCATCCAACATGAAGTCATCCATTGAAAGGGATGTTGAGGCTTTTCAAATACATGAAATAGGTAACCTTATTTACGAAAATGTTGAGACTATTAAGTCAATACTGGGTTTGAGCAGTCCACTTATGTGATCTCATAAACACTGTATACTTACTGTTGTCGGAAGGCGTGCAAGAACAATTCACAAGCTCACTCAGGTGGGACTTGAACCCACGACCTCCTGCTTACTAGTGCAGACGTCTTACCACTCGACCACTGAGCTTGCCGGGGTCGGCTGGCTGGTTCGAATCTGATATAGCTGCGGATGCCGCAACCAGTACCAGACTAATCGCATCGGGAGATGTAAATTCAGATTTTGCCCTTCACTGACTTCTTCGTAAAAACTTGAACTTGTAATGGGGGAAAAAAATTCACGATTAGAACTTAAGGTTCGAACCAAAGTGCTCTGATATACATGTATAGCACACTACGTACAGTGTCCTGTACAGACCCTCCAGGTGAATATAAAACTTACTTCAAATTGTGTGCATACACATTACATTTATCCCCACATACTGGTATGTACATGTACAATCTGTTTCACTATTCCTTTGTATGACCCACTTTTGTATAAAATGGTACAAATGTTTTGCATCTTGTGGAAGGTACGGTACGTACATTAGCATAGTAGTTATTATAATTTGTATGAGATAAAGTGTGTATGTACATGTATGTATATGTGTTTTCAAAGCTTGAGTGCATGTGAACTATATGTACTTGTAAAATGCAGATATATGAACATATATGTCACTTATAAATTTGTTTCATATTAGAGTTGTATACATGTACTTGTACATGTACTTCATCACAATTTTTTTAAAACAGCTTGAATAGATTGATGAAAGACACAAACTAAAGTTTTACAAAAAAAGCCAACATGTTTTGGTATGCTTCCCCATTCAGCAAACAAGACTGAAAAGCCTTTATAAGTAGTGTTTTACATGTATATTTATTTCATGGCTGGATCGTTTTTAACATTAACTTACTGTACATATACATGTACCCGTAGATGTAATTCTAAAGTGATTGTCCAACATTAGTGTTCCTGACATTTAATATATTACATGTTTCCGTAGTTTGTATGTCCTTGTAAAAAAAAAAAAGAGATACCTTGATTGTACATGTATTTTTTTGATTTTTTTTACCAGGCAATTCACAAATTGTGTTCAGCTCATATCAAAAGCCAAAGTTCTAAATGCGATTTGAATTGATGAAATTTCAAGTAATGCTTTCTCCAGGGATCCTGAAACTCACATGGCCCAAATTTTTCTCATCATAACCCCACTCTTCCCCCTCGTCATGCAGCCAACACCCAAGAGTTCTTTGGCATCCTCCAGCCCATGAACCAGCCGGGCCAGCAGCCCGTACCACAGGAGATGCCCGCCAAGTCGGGCGAGGGTGCCGATCTCGACACCACCCTCAGCAAGTTAGCAACCAATATCAGTCTGGACATCAGAGGGTCAATGTCGCCCAAGAAGTAAGTCCATTTTGTTTTGGTTTTAATTTAAGAAATACAATTTTGAAACGTGTGTCTGGACTTGAGGTTTGTCTCTGGTCTTGTAACAGTAAGAGTCCTATCAAGATGTGCTGTCAGCACTTTTCACGAGCTTCCCTTCAAGAAATACCGGTAGAGTTTTATCAATTGCTATTTTCTAGCAACACAAAAGTTGTTCACTTTAGAATGAGATTTTTTTTTTTTTAAATGACATTTAGTTTAGAGACCATTACTTTACAAATTCAAGGGGGAGTGTGGCTTAGTGGTTAGGGTTCGTAACTCATGATCAGAGGGTCAGGGTTTCGATTCCAGCTACCGGCCATATGTTGTGTCCTTGGGCAAGCCACTTCACCCCACTTAACTCTTTCCACCCAGGAGTATAAATGGGTACCGACATGTAGCTGGGGAGTAACCTGCGATGGAATTGCATCCCATCCAGGGGTTATAGAAATATCGTCCGTAGTTTCATGCCTATGAAACTAGAGAAAAATGCCGGCCTGATTGGCCACATTGGCTCGTGACAGACTTTACTACTTTACAATTTACAAAGTTGTGGACGAATAACAAGTCAGTTCTCACAGGGTAGACTGGTTTCCGCCTCCCTTTTCAGAAACAATAATGTAGGGATCGGGAACCAGGCTGCTTGCAGAAGGAGAAAAAGAAATCAAAATTTGTTGAAAAGTATGGACACAGTACATCTCTAACGAACAGTTAGATATTTACAAGAAAATTGAAAATAAAATTTTAAAAAATTAAAATAAATACCGTTAACCAGGCCTGCACCAACATTTTAGTTGGGGGAAGGGTGTGGACATTTTTCAGGTTATCACTATTTTCAGGGACTTGATTTTTGGATTGTTTGCATTTTCGTGTCGCTCAGCATTTCATTTTTGTGTTTGTCAAAAGGTTGCTTGTTTCTTTATATTTGATATCTGAAAAACTTGAGAATCATTTTGTGCTTTCACAAAAATTCCCTGCTGAAATGATCTTGATCTTCACGGTGCTTAAACGTTTTCTTTGCTTTTTTTTCTCTTTTTCTTCTGCTTTTTCCTTTTTTGTTTTTAAAGAGCTCCTCCACTTGGTGTGGAGTTGCAGCTCCATGGCTCTCAGCGTTTGAAGTATGTATCGTTTATCTGTTCATAACAAAATGTCATAAAATCCTCGAGTAATAGTTTTATAGTTCTTGAAGGTTTTTCAGATATTAATTGAACTTTTTGGGCATCATTGCCCTCTGACAGTCTTATGTATTCTCCCTAACTTAATGAGATTTTTTTTCAAAGTACCCTGCTAAATGCAACAAAGTACCCTGCTAAATGCAACAAAGTCCAACACAGTTGAAACCAGAACCATGTGAAATGCAACACAGCACAACTATTGATTACATGTATGTTGCATTGTGTGGTGAACCCAGTACACACCAGCAACTGTGCGGTTGTAAGTAACTGTGCAGTCGTGCAACAAAGTACCCTGCTAAATGCAACAAAGACCAACACAGTTAAATCAGCACAATGCTGAATGCAACATAACACAACTATGGGTTACATGTATGTTGCACTGTGGTGAACCCAGTACACACCAGCAACTGTGCAATTGTAAACAACTGTGCAGTTGTGCAGCAAATTACCCTGCTAAATGCAACAAAGTCCAACACGGTTGAAATCAGCACAATACTGAATGCAACATAACACAACTAGGGATTACATGTACAATGTATGTTGCACTGTGTGGTGAACCCAGTACACACCAGCAACTGTGCGGTTGTAAGTAACTGTGCAGTCGTGCAACAAAGTACCCTGCTAAATGCAACAAAGACCAACACAGTTAAATCAGCACAATGCTGAATGCAACATAACACAACTATGGGTTACATGTATGTTGCACTGTGGTGAACCCAGTACACACCAGCAACTGTGCAATTGTAAACAACCGTGCAGTTGTGCAGCAAAGTACCCTGCTAAATGCAACAAAATCCAACACAGTTGAAACCCAAACCATGCTTAATGCGACACAGCACAACTATGGATTACATGTATGTTGCACTGTGTGGTGAATCCAGTAGACAACAACAACTGTGCAGCAACCATGCCAAATGCAACAATATGCAACAGTGGATTCTGTTGTGTCGGCCTTGGCACTATGAGCTGTTACTGGTACTTTGCTAAATGCAACAAGATGCAACAAAACACGGGACTTGAGTTGACTGATAAATGCAACAGTATACAACAACTTTTTCACCACTGCTTTTGTCCGATGCATTTTAGCAGGGTTCGGATTAAGCCAGTCTCAATACAATATGTTCTTGTGCAAAAATGCATGGGTGCACAATGTATGATGCAATAATGAAAACAATAGTCAGCATATACATATATTTGTATCAAATTTAAAGACATGCCAGCAACATGTATGCAGTTGACTCTCGTTAACACAAACAATGTTAACACAAATTCCAGTTATAGCAAACATAAAGTCTTGGTCCCAACTGTGCAATTATGTGCACAATGAATGGGATTGGCACTCCAGTATACAAAATTCTGATATAACCAAAAAAAAGCTAGGTCCCACTGAGTTTGTATTAGGCCAACAAAAAAAAATAGTCGGTCTCTGGTCAGACCGAATTTCCGGAACTGATGCGGCAACGCGGGGGGGGGGTTTTTTGGTGGCTTTTTTTTTTTTTTTTTTTCCAAGCTTGAATTGTACAGGTACTACTTTGCTTTTTTGTGTCCTCATTATACATTGGTGTCCTCCATAATTTGCCTTGGTGCCCTTTATCATTTGCCTTGGTGCAATTTCCCCATTCCTTGGTGCTCCTTGGTACAAATATTTGAGGAGGCACGGCAATACAGGGCGCTGTTGTAGTTTCCTCGTTAATTTGGAGAAAAAAAAAGGTTGACGCGCATGATTAAAATCGACGCGCGCTGACCAGAGACCGAGTATTGTTTCTTTTTTGCCTAACCAAAAATAGTGGTATCGATTGAGAGCGATATTTTTTCATCATACCGGTAGTATCTGCATGAGTTATCCCACTAAACCCCTCCGAAATTGCCATCTTTCCAAGCATTCCATATTCCGTCATAGGAAAGCGAATTTCCCCAAAGGGCCAATTCAAGTTGTCATGTCAGTGAGATTAAGAAAGATTTTATGGCGTATTGAAATTGACATCTTAATGCACAGGGGAGCAATACGAGATTATCTTACACATAAATTTCATTGAAATCCGGTAATTGATACTGTTAGGGGGATGGTAACATTTTCATTTATTTAATGTTGCTTTGGTTTTGTGTAACTTAAAAATGACTAATTCCGACGGCTTAATTTATTGTCGCTGACAGATCAGATAAATTGTGATAATAGATGTATGCATCAGAAATGTCATTGTTGTTCATGTGTAACCCTCTGAAAAGTGAAAAACACATGCCAACTGTTAACTTAAACCCTCGTTTTACTAGTAGATTTTTGTGTGTAAATAAATTTAAACCCTGCATGTGTGTACTTGTACAGGAATTGTACAGATTTTAATAAAGGAAATGGTTTAGTCACCCATGCCATCCCCGTCGAAAGGATCCCCTCGACCACTGAACTATTTCTGTTTATGTAAATGTCCTCCCATTTTTTAGGGCAATTTTCAACTGACTTCTTTTCTGTGCAGTTTTGTAATTCCAATTCCAGAGGTGACCCGTGGAATGATGTTATTCCCAAAATGAGTCATTAACTGTTTCTGTTGGTATAGTCGTATGTTTTAGGAATTTGATTGACCAGTGTATTAATATACATGTACATATAATGAATGGTTATGAGTGCAATGGTAAGAATAGTTTCATGAGGTGACACCGAATGGAATTATTCTGTCCGTTGTACGAAATGTGGAACATTCATTATTTGTTTGATACATGTACAACCACGCTTGAGTAAGTTAAGGAGAATACACGAGAAAGTGTGGATTTGTAATTTTTCGTGCCTCGTGAATTCGTAAATTAAGAATCCACACTTGCGAGTGTATTCTTCGACTTAAACCATTGCGTCAAAAGAAGTATTGGCATTAACAGTGAGTGGAGATGAAAAGACTTGGGAAAAATGTTGCAACCTAACGCCACTTCCGCGGTTGTGTACAAAGTCTGTGGAGAGTCAAGAACATTTTCTTGTATTTCCTAACAAAATTGGAAAAATTTCTCAGTCCCAGATTCATGTCTTTTCATCATTTTTGCAACGAATGACCTTCATTGAGATGATGTATGAAGAAAAAAAGTGGCGTCAGGTTGCAACATTTTTCCCGGCTCCTTCCGTCGAAATATGGATAGTTCAGACGATCTTTCTGACTCGAAGTAGGTTTTGCAGTGACGGCGGAGAATTTTTTGGATGTAACATTGACACAGTGTCAATGTTACGTCCGAATAATACATTTTTGCTCATATATTTTCCAAAGTACATGTACATTCAATTGATTTCAAACTTTCTCAAGTATTAAAACACACTCAGACAAATATTATGTTGAGCAATTGTTGAGAATGCATTGATACCTTTAACCCTAACCCTGCCAGACGCATCACAGTGCATCAGGTGGAAAAGTCTGGTGCACTTTGATTGAAAATGATACCAACACCAGTGCATAAAGCAGCCACTTCTGAGACACTGAGAGCTAGTCCCACTGAACAATGCCAGAGTTGTATCCTGCTGCGTTGGGGGACCACAGACTCTGAGGCAGTTTGGCCTTGAGACTTTTGGCCTGATGGATCTTGCTACACTGGGCAGGCTTGTCATTTCGACAAGTGTTGCATGTTGCTGCGTTTGGCAGGGTTTCAAGCCAAAATACCCTGGAGGGTTAGGGTTAATAATATAACAAAATGTATGGATGTAACATGCACTGTGTCCGAACCTGGTGGAATGACCTCTTTTGACTACCTGCTTGTATGCAATGGAGTTGATATTTCTTGCAGAACAACCATGTGTGTATTTGCAAAATTGGTCAAATTTCAAATTCCAGATTTTTAGTTCAAGTATGATCCATCTCAGCATAACACACACTTGTCTGTGATTATTTTGTGTGTGATAGATCGGACCACCAATGGAATAAGCAGACTTCAAATATGGCAGGAAGCAGAACGGGCGGTGCGGCGTGGCAGCCTGTACAGATGGCGTCAACGACGTGGCCCCAGCAGCAGCAACCGCCATACATGGTAAAAACACTGTCATCTCTCAACCACTGCTTATAAACAGACGCGAGTGATCTGCATGTACCTTAATACCACATTAGAAATGCACATTCCCTTTCTGTGATATGTAATCACAAGTCAATCATAAGGCAGTCACACGTAAATTATAAGGCAGTCACGAGTCAATCATAAGGCAGTCAATAGTCAATTATAAGTTGATCATAAGGGTATCAGAAGACCATTATAATTCAATTACAAGTCAATCAAAAGGCAGTCACAAGTCAATCATGAGCAGTCACAAGTCAATCATAAGGCAGTCAAGTCAATCATAAGGCAGTCACAAGTCAATCATAAGGCATTTACAAGTCAATCATGAGGCTGTCACAAGTCAATCATAAGGCAGTCACAAGTCAATCATAATGCATTCACAAGTCAGTCATAAGTTGATCACAAGACAATTACATTCAGTCACAAGTCAAACATAAGGCAGTCACAAGGCAATCATAAGGCAGTCAATAGTCAATCATCAGTTGATCATAAGGGTATCAGAAGACCAGTATAATTCAGTCACAAGTCAATCATAAGGCAGTCACAAGTCAATCATAAGGCAGTCATAAGTCAATCATAAGGCAGTCACAAGTCCATCATAAGGCATTCACAAGTCAATCATAATGCAGTCACAAGTCAGTCATAAGTTGATCACAAGACAATTACATTCAGTCACAAGTCAATCATAATGCAGTCACAAGGCAATCATAAGGCAGTCAATAGTCAATCATAAGTTGATCATAAGGGTATCAGAAGACCATTATAATTCAATCACTAGTCAATCGTGAGGCAGTCACAAGTCAATTATAAGGCAGTCACAAGTCAATCATAAGGCAGTCATAAGTCAATCATAAGGCAGTCACAGGTCAATCATGAGGCAGTCACAAGCCAATCATAAGGCAGTCACAAGTCAATCATAAGGCAGTCACAAGTCAATCATAAGGCAGTCACAAGTCAATCATAATGCAGTTACAAGTCAATCATAAGTTGATCACAAGACAGTTACATTCAGTCACAAGTCAATCATAAGGCAGTCACAAGGCAATCATAAGGCAGTCAATAGTCAATCATATGGCAGTCACAAGTCAATCATAAGGCAGTCACAAGTCAATCAAAAGGCAGTCACAAGTCAATCTTAAGTTGATCATAAGGGGATCACAAGACAATTATAATTCAATCACAAGTCAATCTTAAGGCAGCCACAAGTCAACCCTGACCCATCCATTACATGTAGTTCTGCACTTTCTCTCCATTATTTATTTACGTGTACCTGTTATCACAAGTCAATCTCTGAGGGAAATCGTCAGTTAAGTAAAAAAGTAAATAACAAGTCACCAACTTGCATTTTGACAAGGAATTATCGCTAGAACTGAAGAAGTGTTGTTCATGCCCTGTTACTTGCGATTGACTTGTGATTGACTTGTGATTGACTTGTGATTGACTTGTGATTGACTCTTGATTGACTTGTGGTCAACTGTGATTGACTTAATTATAACTCTGTTCTCTTCAGTCCTTGTTTTAACATGTGGTCTGCCGTTTGTTCATCTGTACCACAATAAGATTTAAAATTTTATCAATTTCAATGCCAAAAAGTCTCATTCATTTCATGTTCACTTTAGATTTATGTTGTCAAGGAAGCATGTGAAAAGTTCTGCAAAAAATAAGCAGAAGTTGAGTGTAACAAACAGTCACATCTGTTTCTTTTTTGTTAGTTTATGGGGAAAAAATCGTTCAAAATTTCTTATTTTTTTCTTTTCCCTGCATGCAGTCAAATTTCTAAATTTGTGTATTTCAGCAGTCTTTAAGAATTACAAACTGTACACGTCAGGCATGCAACTTTTCCTCGAATCCACTGATTTCCTCATTTTTTTAATTCTCTCATGAAGCCGTTACAAATTGAAAAACACTGTACAAAGTCTTGTGTGGTTTGGAAATTCATCATTTTGCTAAATTCCCAGTTGCATGTCTGACACGTATGTGTACCATTCAAGAATGACCAGTTCTGGAAAACACACACCCACTTTTCCTTCACCAGCACCTGTTTCCATCAATTAATTAGTTCTAATTAACACAAAAATTAGTCGTAGACCCGACCAATCTTACCTTGCACCTTTGTGTTAACTTCACCCACATGCACACTTTTATCAGGAGCCCAACCAGGGACAGATGCCTCCAATGGTGAGTGTAGACACGTCAAGCTGTAGAGAGAGAAACAAACATTCCCTTGGTATGGGTGAATTAAACTGGTGTCCGTTGGCACAGCTGTAGAGTAGGATTTTGCATTGGAGATAATAATGGGCTTGTAGGGGGTTGGTGATAGGCCTTATGCTTGAGGGAATGCGCTGAGGAAATGCGCTGTAACAATGCGCTGTAACAATGTCAGTTTCCTGGGTAGACACACTAGAAAAATCCTGCTCACTAGCACTTTAGTACCTTTGCTTAAATCACAGATCCTCTACACAAGGATAAACGACTCATCTGAGCTTGTGTACAAAATGTACGGAGCGGATTGTCTACATGCGTGATTTGCCGCGTCAGCGCATAGAACATGTAGAACAAAGCGCGTGCCATGATCGCCGACAGCTGGCGTCCTGACAGAAATTTGACCACTGAAAGACTGCAGTTGCGCGTCGAGGCGCATGCACGTGCACGCACGACGCGTAAAAACCTGTCGTGTAATATATTTGTTTCCATATTTCGGTATGTATTTTTTTCAAAGTTTTTTTTTGGTGATTGTACTTACACTTTCTTACTTCAATGACCAATAACATTTTCTAAAGCATATAAGTGACTGAATAATTATGAGGACATAGTAACAATCCAAAGTGGCTACTAATATACCCTAAAGTTCCGCGCATTTACATGTATTTTTCCTCAGATATCATCAAGAAGTCTCGCCAACGTCAGTATTGATGAGCTTGAAATTCACAAAGTTACTTACTGGCACAGTGACCCTAACCAAAATAAATAAGAAATCATGTGAAAAATGATAACATCGTGATATTTGGGCCAGAAGAAAGAAAACAGAGGGGAGGGGGGATGAGGTGTCCATATGGGGTAAAAATTAAGCGAAGGGTTGCCAAACATGGGGTACTTGAACAACTTCAAGGAAATTCCCCCAAAATAAAAGATTAGTGTTGCTTACAATAAGTATGTCAACATCAAAAACGTTTTCTTACCAATGATTTTGTTGAAAAGGTAATAAGATAAGTTATTTGCAGTAGCACCATGTGGTAAATCTCTTTTGTGAGTAAATGTATGTGTGGTTCTGAAAAGAAGTGTATAGATGTTATTGTACGCTAGGTTTTGGAATAATGCCATTGGCCTTCGAATTGGGAATTACTTGTTATCTCAATGTACAATCAGATACATGTATCTCCGCAGGCAAATGCACTGTGTGCTATTTGTGGGTGTACAAAGCCTCTATCTTATCATCAGTATCGGTATGCACCAGTGCGTTCTAGCACTTAATATCCTCTTCGATGTCTTTCAAGGAACTACCAAGTCTTTTCAGAATATTTCCAATGTCATATCAAAAAAATGTCCTCTGGTTGAACTGTTACATGTTGTTTTTTACTCTGTGCATCATGTAACAATTTGTGATAGTTTTTATTATTTTTTTTTTGGAGGGGGGGGGGGGGAACATGTACATACTTGGGTGCCAGACCATCTGTGTGGGTGCCAGACCATCTGTGAAGTTCGGCGCCAGCCTCTTTTGCTTTTTATTAAATGATAGTCTATGGGAGTTTGAATCATGCAGCATATGGGCGCCAGACGAGTTGGTACCAGCCTTTTTGCTTTTTTTTTTTAAATGACCTTCTATTTGCATTTGATTCATATAGGGTATGGGTGCCAGACCGGCCGGTATGCAGCCAGGGATGGGCATGTACCCACAGGGTGTGGCGCCTGCGGGGATGTACGCCCAGCAACAGCCGCGCATGATGACCCAACAACAACAACAACCGAATGATCCTTTTGTAAGTGAAATTAACCTTTTACGTTGATCATATCAGCAGAAAATTTATGAGCACAGAAAAACAAATTTTTTTTTTTTTTTTCATTTTTTTAAAGTTTTTCAGTTTCGTCATGTGCAGGGTAAAGAATGTACCGTACATGTTCTCTGTTTTTCATTTTGCCCCAAAAAAGGAACATTTTCAGTTGGAAGATTTTTTGCTGTGTGGGTGAAAACAAAGACTCGTTATTTCATGAGAGATTTCATTTTGCAAAAGTACCTCCGGATACATGCGACTCATTATCGGTGGTTGGTTTTAAAATTGCTTACGAAATGTCAAAAACAGTCGAAACTCTCATTCAGGTTGAATTGTGCCTGTTGTTTGACTGACCATTTTTATGTGTGTCGGCTACCTGTTCTACATTCTTGAATACCTGAGACAGTTTTAGCCATTCCTATTGGTCAAGAGCCCATTTTACAACGCTGATAAAACGCCGGCTGGTTTTGAACACAATTCCTGCATTCTGCGCCACATCGCTCTACCAGTTAAATTGGCAACATATTTTACCTTTCACCTCACAGGGAAATCTCTGAAAGTAAACATCTGAGCTCTTCGAGAAACAAATGGTATAAAGATGTAAAATATATACAAGACAGAAGACCAGGTTTGGAGCGAGGACGGTACAAAGTGCGGACCGCCCCCTGCCCGTGAACTGACCAATCAGAGCCCTCCGTGTCACGTGGAGGCTTTGTTATGCTAAGTAATAATGTAATACCTCAGTCTTTGTGGATTGAGACCTCGTGAATATTCATCAGTGTATTTCAGATTATATACTAAACAAAAAGAAAGGATTATGTATAAGATGTAAATAAGGTACGACTTTTATCCAATCAGGTTGGATTGGAGTAGGCAATATTAATTTCTTAACCCTGACTGGTCTGGTGAGTAACCCTAGTTGTTCGACGGCTCAAACAAGACAAGGTAAGCTGAGTAAAGCCAGAGTGCACAAAAATCGGTTCAGTTGTTTCACAGTGGCTCATGCATCTGGTCTAGACATGGGCGATATAGCCCATTCATTGGCACTGCAGGGTAACCCTATACGATGGCACTGCCCGGCTGTCTTCATCACTCTACCACCAGTCTAAGTCGCAAGTGGCAGTCAGTTAGTGAGATAGGTACAAAGACGATAGGTACAAAGACTCTGATAGGTACAAAGACTCTGGTACCAACAGAAATGTATGCATATTTTGCTGCTCCTGTTGTGGCCATTAATTTAACCCATAGGCCTAACAACAGAGCGAGCATTGGGATTGCCAAGCAGTACATGTGTACAGCGCAGGCCATGGAAAGAACGTTGCATCCTGACTCCACTCTTCTCATCATATATCATCTCAGTGAAGGTCAGTCATTGCAAAAAATGTTGAAAAGACATGAATCTGGGACTGAGAACCGTTTCCAATTTCGTTAAGAATATTTAGAATTGTTCTTGATTCTCTATAGAGTACGAAGTGTGACGTCATTTAGAACCAGAAAGTGTAGTGCAAACGAATGGAGTACGCGCGCATGTTGGTTCACGGTCTGAATCACGCGCTAATGTCTGTTACACATTGTGCTCGTGATGTATTCACTTCGGTACTCTATAGACTTTGTACACAACCACTGAAGAGACGTCTGGATACTACTTTCTTTCCCGGCCACTTTTGCGTACATTGTAACTTGACCAAATGTGATGGTTGGTTGCACATCAGATAAAACCGTCCTACTTAATTCCATCAATTATCTTAGAAACGGAGACATTAGCTTTGGTTCATTCTGGTGTATAGATAGCCATTGAGTTTCATCTTAAGAAATGCATCTTAAGAAATGCATAGCAGAGACGTTGTCTGTTTGAGGACTAACACATCCTTGACTTAGATCTATCTGAAAGCTACATCTTCATGTAGTCATGTAATCTTCAACTCGTGTTGTCCTGATGAAAACACAGATTCGGAAATGACAACTATTAAATGCTCGAAGTCAAAGAGTTTTTCTCGTAGTGTGGGTTCTATTCTAGTCCATCCAACCAAAGACCAGTCTTACCATTATCTAGACCCATCCCAGTGTTTCTATGTATCATGTGACATACATGTGTAATTGTAACAACTGATAATTCTTACAAAAGTAAATCTCTGTGAATATGTGTTTAGTAACGAGAGAAATATACCAAATAAGGTAAACTATGATTTTTTTTAGAGATTTTTTCTAAGAGCCATCATTCTGTTAATAAACGAGCGTACAATATATTTGCTTAAGTTTCACCAAGTCGCTTACCGATTTATTATTTTTTCATTAAATGGAAAACTATGTCGTCGTTATAGTGGAATGTAAAAACTAAAGTAAGAAATAGAAAGGTCATTTTCTGCATAAAAAAAGTTTTGTGTGCTTGGAGAATTTTTTTTTGAAACAGTTGACGTGTCAAGTCATTCAAAACTTTCAGTTTTTGGTCTACCTTTATATTTCATACAACTCTCCTTTATTTTTTTAAATTTCAGTTGATAGTGATAAAGAAAAAATACCTTACAATTTTTTTTCGCTAGACTTTACAGCAGCGCCCTTAACAATTATGGTAGCTCCTCACCTTTTCAAACATAAAACCAAAAATGGTTAACTTCCCTATTTTTCATCCAAATAAAAGTGCGGTATTATTCCAGTGAAAGTCCATTTGTTAAGGAACAACATAATAAAAAAAAACAATGTTTCAACAGATTTTAGGTTGGCTTCTACTGTCGAGTTGCTGCTCATATATCAGGGCAACCATTTGTCGGCCATCTTCTTGAAGTTGGGTGTAGGAACTCCAGGTTGGCATTACTGAGTGTATGTATATTTGAAAAAAAACTAAAAACACCAATTTCCAAGTTTTGGGGTTCATGTAGACACACTGCTTTCATAAAGACAGTTTAATTGTTTTTTGATACTAGATAATGTCAAAGTTTACATGTATGTCGTTGAAGCATAATGAATATACGGTAAAATTACTGCAGGTCAGTTATACGTTTTTCCTACTTTTTTTTTTAGTAACCCCAACAATGGTCATTCACTGAATTTGTCATTTTGCACTTTTTTGAAGAGGAAAATTAGCTTCCACGTTTTATCTGTATTTTGGTGTTCTGTTTGCTTTTTGCTTGTTCGTAGTTTTTGCGGAGCTATCATAGATGAGTTTAAATTTGCCAACCGGCTCTGTGGCGAACATTAAAAATAAAACTCATCATTGGCCTACATTGGCTTATCACTGATAGTCTCGATTTGGATGCCGATTTGAAATTCACCTGGGGCCCACGAGGCCCCAGTAAATTGCAATTGTAAAATGCCAATCTTTTCACTTTTGCATGTTTGTGGTGATACGCATCGTTGGTACGACAAGGGTCACTTTAAAAACAAAATGAGATTTTGTTGAATGTGACGATGAAATGGGTATGACGTAGCATGAATTTCTGACCAGATCAAATGAAAAACATGTAACATCCAGTAGGTTACACACTGATGTTCCGACATCCCTATGTTCCGACACCCCCATTTCCCGACACCCTTATGTTCCCCAGTGCTCCGACTGCTCATGTTCCTAACCCTAATCCTAATCCTAAACGGGCTAACACAATCTTATGTGCGGGTTGTCGGAAAATAGGGGTGTCGGAACATAGGGGTGTCGGAACATAGGGGTGTCGGAACATAAGGGTGTCGGAACATACCAGAGCAGTCACGTCACCATCAAGTCGTTGCCTCAAAATTATGTTAAGCCTGTTACATAAAAACGCTACAAATTATACTTCAAATAATGCCGCTGCATTTGTAAATGTGTCGCGTGTTTTTGGTATGGTATTTCTTTTCTTTCACGTTTTTGTGTCGCCGTTTGTGCTTATAGCAGCTATAGATGAAACTGGGCGCTGTCGGTTTGACACGTTTTCCGCTTGACTCTTGCGTCATAAGGGGCAGTTAGGAATGGTGCGCGTACAGAAGACGTATGGCGCTAGCTCGGAAAAGTCGTTGGTTAGTTCACCATTTTACGTGGTTTCACAAAATCACCGCTGTTTTTAGTACATCATGCTTGAGCTGGTCATGCTGACAGGAATACATGTATAGGCAATCATGTTCTGATGTATAGTTAAAGAAAAGAGAACCGAGGTTAAGCATGTGAAATGAAAAACACATAGAAACCAAGGCATCCGTCGCTGTAACTTCCCCCTCCCGCTTCGCCAGTGCGTGTTGTAATTGATGTATATCACTGCCGTTGTTTTAGCTTTGACGTCTTTTATTTGCGTCAGAATTAATTGACTGCCAGACTTAATTTCCCTTTTTTTTAAGGCAATCGTAACCAACAAAAGGAACATTTGGGGGGTTATTTTTGAGTAAAGATGTAGAGGAAATTACGTGTCAGGATGAGTAATGTACTGTCAACATTACTCCTCGCAGGCACGTACGGCCTACCGACTTACATAGATTTTTTTTTTATTTAATGAATCACAGACTATGGTTGTTGCGTCGCAAGAAAGTCGGGTTAGGCTCAAGCACAGAGTACAGACAGAGCGTAACACTCGAGAACAGTGCACTTTTTACAGGGTGACCCACACAAAGTCGTGCAAGCAGATATCGTTACATTTCTCAAAAAGTACCTAACATGACTACTCATTTTGATGGAGCATATTAATTATACTCCAGTGTATAATCAGTGAAAATGTCATGGACACCCATTCGTGCAAACCAGAGCTGTAACAGATTATCAACGGATTGTGCGTTTTTCAACATTCCATTGGGAAGAACACAATGCATTGGAAATCGCTCAACCGGCACTCTGCAATGGGTTTTTTTCAACAGTGTAAATCACATTGGAACGGGTGAAAAAACACATTGCCATTTATAATCTGTTGTATCTCTGGTTCGCATGAACCGATTTCCATCAAATTTTCGCTGTGATTATACACAAGAGTACAAACAATATACTCCACCAACATGAAATGTTGATGTTGGATACTTTATGAGAAATTCAAAGATGTTAGCTTGCAAAAACTTTTTTGGGTCACCCTGTTTGTATGATCGACGGGTTTGGCGTAGCCCTGTAGACTGGCTGTGCAAAAGTGTAGACCGTTGTAGCCAAACTAGGCAAGCTTATTAGAGCTGGTCCCAGAGTGCACACATTCTATTCCATTGATCCAGAATGGCTATTCACTGGAAGTCTTTTGACGCATTTGGTCTACACAATGGGCCTGGTCTAACCCGTCCAATGGCTGTACGCTGTAATCCTATACAATAGCACTGCCCGGCTCACAGGTGACAGTCAATGCAAGTCGGTCAGTCAGTAAGATTGGTGCAAAGAGGGACCCTAGGCTGGCCCTCTGGGACCAGCAAAAGTGCCGCACGGATTACAGCTGACTCGTGTTAGTACAAACTCAGCCTGACCTATCCAAAAATGTTTGTTATATCAGAATTTCGTATTAAGAGGAATGTCGGTCCTATTCATTGTACACATCAAGCACAGTTGGGACCAAGGCTTTATGTTTGTTATAACCTTAAAGTTGTATTAACAGGGTTTGTATTAACGAGAGTCGACTGTTAACACGTTGTAAAATATAAAAATAATTTTGGGAAAATCTGTAATTTACTAGGATCAGTTGTCTATTGGTGTTTCGTTATAGTTTATATGCCCCTAGTACATGTACCCCTGTACATCGCTATAACAGTGAAACTCAGTTACCATTGCTTCTTGAATAATAACAAAATTAAATTGTCTTATGAGAAATGTGATTAACTCCTTTTTTGTCGTATTAATTAATTTTCATTTTCACACAGATTTATTCTATTATATTACTATTGTGTATAAAATGCAATATATTGCTACTGTTAAACAAAAAAAGCAACTTAATATCATGTCATGTTCCGTTTCAGTAATTAAAAACTTTTGTCCAAACGTATTTTTGTTCTGGTGTTGCCTCTTTCATCAATCGTGTGTTTGTTTCGGTAAATTGAGATGGGTCGCGTGTGTGTGATTGATTACGTGCTTAAATAGTTACGTGACGACCTTCGGTTCGCAAACAGTGTTCAAGGCATATAGAATCAGTTGTTTTTCATGCAATATTCGTTTCCAATAACAACACTACTCAAAATCCAAAGAACATTATTCAAAACCTAACCTGTTGAAGTTTCAGCTCGGTGGATACACTTTTCAAGAAAGCAGTGAAAAACCATGCGCAACCTTTTGATCACGATCGAAACACGATTTCGATCTGTTTTGTTTTAGGCTAAAAGCAAATGAACAATATAAAGCCTCCAGCGGTTGACTCGGGCGAAACAAAATCCGGATTATCCCGCACTAACGTGCATACAAAACAGGCCGAGCATAAAACATCTTTTATAGGCCTATAGCCACAGTAGTAAAAAGACACTGTAAACAACCGTGTAGTTTGCGAGTGTACTGCTATAAAACGATACGTGCCGGATGTGCAAGGAAGGTCTAAGGACCTGCCCACGCTGTATTTGCGAAACACTCCAAGGGTATCGTGCTCCGCTGAGACGTTTGGTGGACAAGCAAATCCATACAGCAAGGACTCTGTGGAACAACATGGGACACTTCAAGGTCCCGTGCAATACTGATGCATGTAAGTCAAGATAAAGAAAGTCCCATGCCAACAAAATTCTGTTCAATCGATTCAGTGACTTTCATGCATCTTGTTTATGTTGGCCGGATTTCCCCATTTATTGGCATTACGGGGTAATCCTATGCGATAGCACTGTTCGGCTCTTCAGTTACACGTGGCAGTCAGTTAGTTAAACAGTCAGTAAATCAGTCAGTCAGCACGGGCGTTGCCAGACCAAATTCAATCGAATTTTCAAGAGAAAAAAACAGATGAATTTGATGGCAAATGGCACAATTGACTATAGAGGGATGTACGTGTCACCCCTTACACCGCCCTCAAGCGGCGTCCGCGAACCAAAGCTGCAACAATAGAGCCTGAAAGTACGCCATTTTGTCTTCGAGCTTCCGGACCCCTCCGCGACCCTTCTATGTGCATTTTACACGGGGTTGCCCTAATGAGAAATCAGTTGGAGATGGGTAAAAACGAATTTTAATGAATAGGGCTACGATCTTTCACATCCCGATTTTCATACCTAGGTCTCCTTGTTGATCACGTTTGTTTTCACATCGCGTACTTGGCCTGAGAACAAAAATGATAACGACGCGAAGATTTACCTACCGACATCCGATGGATTCTAGATTTAGTCGGACTTGCTTGAATACGGTCATGTCAGATTTGTGTGTAAGTGACAATTAGTCCTTCAGGTTTATTTTTTTTAAAAATCGTGTGTCCCAAAAATACATTTTAGTCTCCAAAATTGAAGTTTACGTTTTTACCCAATGACCGCCACAAAATTGTTTAATATTTTGTCATCTTTGTACGAGTGCTCCGAATTCCACTAGTCCACACGTATTTAAGATTTTCGGAACAATTTTTGGCACGATATTTTTCTTTCACTTCATGCGAATTTTCAGTTTCATATAAATTAAGATGCTATAGTATAACAATTTTACAAATGCCTTTTCCGAGGTTGATTATCTTAAGAAATCAATGCACCAAAAATAATTTTAAAAACTCCGACGTTACACGCTATTTTTTCTATTCGAGGGGTCCGGAAGCGCGCCACTGCTAGGGGTCAACATTCAGGCTATAATTATATAGCCCGATGGTGCATGTTTCGTCGTTGCTCTCTTGTGATGGTTGACTTTGCTGCAGCAGCTGCAGATCCGAGTACATCGGCAATTTCCGCTGCTGACGCAACTGGCCCATTGTACTTCAACGGGACAACAAGGTCCAATCACATGGCTTGATTCCACGACGCAGCTTATCGCTAATTTCTCTCACATCCGTAGTCATTCGTTTCCTCCCGCGTCATACACTTCCCAAACGGAAAAGCTGACATCGCCAATTTTCACCACAGGTGTTTATCACTACGTATGTAACTGCAAAATATAGTTTGTTTTTCCTCATGAATACTGCAGACATTCGAACGAGATAATCGAACGAGACGTACGCCTGTAACTGTCGGCTGTTTCCTCACTTGAAGCTTAGCACCATCGCCGTTCATCGTGACAGTAATTGAGATTGCAATCGCGCAGCACTTGAAGATCGTCTTTCAAACCAACCTCCCACGGTAAGCTCAGTATATATATATACGAGCTTCTTTTAATTCTGGAATTGTTGTAGATTTATTGAAAGCTGTACGTGTAGGCCTGGAAATTGGTTTCATAATTATGTAAAGGGTGGTGCAAAAAGAAGGAAACCTATTTTTGACAGGAATTTTAACCTACTTACGTAACTTACTTGAACTGTTGGTTTTTTATAATGTAGTGAAGTGCATGTATAGCTCTTCAACCGTAAGCGGTGGGGGAAAAAATCTTTAAAAATCGCAAAAATAGTGTTATTATGCTAATTTGAATACAAGTCGCCAAAATCACTGTTGTCCACGTGTAAGTCTCGTGTAGTGTTTTTTGTCTTCAAATAAAGCTCCGGAGCTCAGTCAAGCGGATGGAATAAAGCCGTCCGTGGACAAACAGGTTTGGCACATGAAATGATTTAACTACAATTCTCAGAGAGTATGCATTTGCAATCATGTTTTCGTCACTTATGTTTAAAGATCAGTATGTTAATACCATTACATTGAATTTTTTAAATATGCTCAACAAGTATAGGTGAAAATTAGTGACGAAAGTGGGATTCCTTCTTTAGTTGCACCACCTTGTAGTTGCAGTTAGTTTGAAACGGTTATAAACATTCAAATTTCAACGCAGGCCTTTAATTTATATAGGCCTACTGTTTTTAGATGTGAAGCTTCTAGAGATCGATTGTTAGTAAGTGTAGTTCGGTATTAAATTCGACGTGTTTTTTAGTAGTAAGAAAACTATGGACAGTGTTTAGGTTTTGAAACGGTGAAATATGAATTTAACACGGAGGAAATCTGCGTTTGGAAAATTGTGAAGGATTTGCCTTGAAAAAACCTGCATATTTTGTATAGAATTCAGGCCTAATTACTCGTAAACGTTGGATGTTAATTTTTTGGCATGATCACGACTTTGTGTAACTGCGATTTTCGTCTTTAATGGCCTTAAAGCCATGCTTTGTAAGTACATGTAAAACAGTAAAAATTTGCAGCTATCAAAAAAGTAACTGACCAAATTATTGTTAAAAAGCTTGCTTGGTTTAAAGATAGTAATGACTCTAAACTCCATGTGAAATTATTCCTTCTGGCATGCTGTCATTTCGAAGAAAACAATAAAAGAGGGTCATTTCCAAAGATGAGTCAAGTGACGCACTGAACCGACGAATAAAGTAACCCCGCGCGCGCGTGCGTCGTGTCAACGCTTGCGCGCACCGATTCGCCCAATTACAAACCAACAACTAAAGGGAATTTCCAAAAAAATATGCGTCACTTGACTCATCTTTGGAAATGACCCTCTTTTATTGTTTTCGACTCGGTAACTCTTGAATTGAAATCGAGATCTCAGAGAATATTGTTTTCTCGGAATAGGCCTAAACAGCATTCACAGAGCTGAAACTTCATCAGGTTAGTTGTTAAGCACCCCTAGATTTTGAACGCTTTTGTTGCTTCACACGAAACAAAATGCACTAATGTCAAATTATCTACTCTACCTCAAAAAGGAGTAAAATATCTGTATTTTCATGCGGAAAGAAAACATTAAGCGATACAGGTCAAATCGTACATAATTTCACAACTCGCACCTTTGCCAACTCGTTCCTGTATCAACAGCGCTAAGAGAAAACATATGCGAAATACACGATTGAATACGTCAACATAACAAACAAATAATAATAAATAATAATGACATATTCTAATTGACGTTTACTCTTCGCATTTTAATGAAATTCGCCAGATAAGGCCAAACACTATCACTGCTCCGAGGCTTGCCACCTACAACTAGACAAAACCCAGGAAACGACCTTTGCTCTTATTTCCGCCGTTTTTCTTGCGATGTATCCGTAATAATATTTAGTCAGATTTGATGAATTCCTACTTTGTTATATATTTTTTTTGTTTCAGTCCCACACCGTCTCCTTAATAGCTTGAGTGGCTTTTAGCTTCGTAACGAGCCACTTCCATATAACAAATTGCTTTACCGTGCTTCCTTGATACAACAAATATTATCGAAAAATAACTTATTTTGAGCGTGTAAACACTTGAGGTGCTTTTATTATTGCTCCTCCAAAATGTGCTTTAAGCGACAATTGTTCGGGTTTTTTTTTCACCCTAATGGAACGAAAAACTAATTTAATCATAGAATCTTATTTGCTTTGCTTCTCATCTTGAGCCTTTTTTTTTTTTGGATTCCGTTTGATGGCCGGCTCCGTTGGAAAGCTATAAATCAGAAAATGCCGGAAAATAAGCGTTTTCTTTGAAAATTCTTTTCAGGATCCAACCCCTCCCCACACATACACATGCAAGTGTGTATTTGGCTGCAATCAGGGACCCCCTATTATCCCTCTTTTGTTTGTACTAACTTTTTAGAAAGCCTCCCTATGTTTTGTACGCGAATCCAAATTGGGGACCTCTCGGGCATTGGGGACCCTTTGTCCTCTATTGTTCAAGGTCCCCTAAATGCAAAAACAAACTCACACCTCCATGTGTGTATTTATCTGTATTCGGGGACCCCCTATTGTCCCTCTTTTGTTTGTAACTGTTTAGGAAGACCTCCCATTATGTTTTTACACGATCGTCGATTGTGGACCTTTGGGAATATTATGTGGACCATATTGTTCTCTATTGTTCAACGTCCCCTATTGAATGCAGAAACAAACTCACACAAATACACACAAGACAGTGTGTATGTACCTGCAATCGTGGATTCCTATTGTCCCTCTTTTGTTTGTACTTTTACTTTTTAGGAAGACCTCCCATATGTTTTTTACACGATCGTCAATTTGGGACCTTCAGGAATTGAGGACCCTTTTGTCCTCTATTGTTGGACATCCCCTATTGAATGCAAAAGCAAAGTCACATTCACCAGCACGTTTGTTTATGTTAGTCAATCGAGGATTTTTATTGTCCTCATCGGCCCTTTGTCTATACTCTATACTATTTGTTTATACTTTTTCACAACAGCTCTCATTGGTTTTGTGCACGTTTTCTAATCGAGGTCGTCCTCGATTTGACTCATGTCCTCAAATCATCGATGATGCTTCACATGTGTGTCCTCGATTTACACCATAAACAGCAACACACCAACCATACACACCAACAAGGGCAGTAAATGTTTTCAAGTTTTATTGAAACTAAAACATTTCAGACAAACTGAATGGTGGCCATTTTGAGCTCGCGATCCCTGAGTACAACAGATTAGTTGTTGTCGAATGTTTGTTTGATAAGTAGCCGTTTCGTAGGGATTTGTCCTTCCTGTTTACGACTGTGCCTGTATAGCGTGGCGCGTGATTCAGAAAGATCGAAGCTATAGCCAACAATATTAATTCCTCCAGGCAAAAAAACAAAACCGATTTGAGATTGACGCGAAGGCAGGCTTATTCATTGTTGTATGCTCAATTCAATTCTCACAAAATTGTTCCGCGATTGTCTTCGCCATTGTAAGTGCGCTTTTGTCTGATCCGTTATGCTCGAAGCTATTTTAATTAACTATATTAACCTCATTAAGCCCTAAATGACAATCCAATAATGTATTAAAATCTAATCAGATGTTGATTGTGTTCATGGCGTGAAGCCTTTCGATCGGATTACTTGACCGAAGCTACCTGTTATATATTTGTGACCGCGTCCAATTTGCTGACGATTAGAAGATAATTAGGAGGCATAACTGAGTGGGAGTTATTATTAAAGCATGGTCAAAGTTGTTTTGCATGGCAATTATAAAATCTCGGGGGTGGGGTTGCGTAGAGGGGGCCGGGGGACTGTGCGAACATGCTATTTTGGAAAATACAGTTGCCAGCAAAAGAAAAACACGACCTTGAAAAGTACTAAATGACAATTTTTATTGTTTGACTCATTTCCCGGGTCAGTTTGAGCTGGGAAAGCGTCATTTTGACCCGAAAAGGTGTCCGTTTGACCCAACCCGAAAATGTGTCCGTTTGACTCGGAAGGTGTCATTTTGACCCCGAAAGGTGTCCGTTTGACCCGGGAAAGTGCACTTTTCCCCCTTTTCCCCCGCTTTGCCCCCTCTAGAAAAATTCCTTGCGACGCCCATGCTTATCCTACCCCCACAAATTTCGGTATATTTATGTTTTGGACCACGAGCAATCCATCTAGCCTTATTTGCGACCTTAACATTTTGCATTTAGTGAGGAGCTGTGACACAGGGAGACATTGAAATGTCTCCCTAATGTCCGGTGTCTCCCTATAGGGTATTTCAAATGACGACAAAATGTCTCCCAAAGCTACCACTAACAGGTATTACGATTATACCTGTTATGTACCTTTGGGAGACATTTTGTCGTCGTTATACTTTATGGAGACACCGGACATCGGGGTCATCTATCGCAAATTACACCATTTGGGAGACACTTTAGCGTGGGAGGTACCTCTGGGAGGCATTTGGAATTAGTTAGAGGCAAAATTTTCCTGTCACAAATAGACTAGATCGATTGCTCATGGTCCAATTGGCAAAAATACTTAAATTTGTTAGGGTAGGATAAGGCAAATTGGGGTCAGGAAAGTCGGACTATTATTTATTATTTAATTGGGGTCAGGAAAGTCGGATTATTATTTAGGGGTCAGGAAAGTCGGATTATTATTTGTGCACAAGTCTATGGGAATATCTCCCTCATGGTACATTTTTCGGTTATATTATTATTAATAATAATGATTATTATTGCTGGTAATGAAACCAAGGATTCGTCAACAGTGCCCTAGGCACTGTAGCCCGAAAGCCTGAAGAAACCTGTAGAGAGAACTAGTGAGAAGAAATGACAGTTCTAGAGGTGGGAGGAAAAGCCCAGAAGAATATTCTGGAGAAAACCCTATTGGGAATAAGGCAGGGACGGAAAACCCAATCCACATGTTGGCCCAGGCAGGAATCGAATCCGGGTCACAGCGGTGGAAGGCGAGGAAAGCACCGCTACGCCAACCTGATTCCTTTTCATAACAAGATTATTGCTCTTCTCCGGTTCAAGCCTTCAGTGACCCTGAGCCCGAAGATACGTATAATGAAAATCAAAACTTGTATAACTTCACATTAGAGACGCATCGCGGTATGTTTTCCATTAGTGGAGCCACACTTTTCAGTTAATTGTTAAAATTGACTGATAATTCATTCCTGAACATAAGAAATTCCAATGTGTAAATTTAAAACTGCGTCATGCGGAGATATGATTTCACGGCGTCGTGACATCAATAAATGTATGTAATTTAATTTTTGATAAAGCATTGCCTTGGAGGGAGATGATATATTAAATCATATACCTCACATAGCGTTGTTCACTTTACCCAGATCGTCCAAATATAACAAGGGTGTAGAATTCTCGTAAGTTTTACAGCCTGTGAATGGGAAAGTTAAAGACATTTTGTCATCCAAAATAATTTAGTCAGAAACAAAATGGCAAAGAAGTCCATAAATTCATAAAATTAGAAAGTACTCAGAGAGCGCACACCTCCGCCAAGCTTAACAATTTCCTGCCATTTTACGGCACCAATGCACATGGTTTCTAAAACTAGATCCCTAAACTCAAATATTTTGCAGTGTACATGTATATGCCTGTGTTGGTCTAGTCCATTGACCTGTGTGGTAAGGTTAGGTGTGTGATAAGCATTGATCTCCATATTATATCCTGTATATAGGCCTAATGGAGATCAATAGTGATAAGGCATACAGGGTCACCACGGTCAGTGTCACGCACACGAAGCTGCTGGTACACAGGGTAAAAGTTTTTCATATGATGGATGAAAAATCCTTTAAAAAAATCCTGCATCTAGACGCAGATCCAGATCACTTCCCAAATCTAATCTATTCGCACTTGTACCAAGGACCACCCCTACAAAAAATATCATGAAAATCCGTACATATCTTTTTGAGTTATCCTGTTCACAGACAAACCAACGCCAACCTCCCTGGCGGAGGTAATAATTTAAGCGGCTCTTTTGGCCATGTCTTTTAAGTTGTATTGGGATAGCGAGCACGTAGCAGATATTCAAAAACAAAACAGGGGTTTACTGTTTAACAGTGAATGCCATTCAAGAACAAGCAACAGATATTCCATAAAATGCCTCGTGTAGTAAATACGCGTGTGTTTTGTTCAATGTCCAGGCATAAAATTCGAAGCTATCAAGGACTCCAATCATAAAAAAATACCTCAATTTAGGGCAAAACCTCGGTAAATCAATATTCCCATAGCAACGTCCCTGCTATAGCGTTGTAATTATAGAGCAATTAACCCCAGGCTCTTAATTCTTAATGCACGCGACGATTATTTGTATGAACAAAAAATGATATTGATAATCCCGATAGCGGCTGCAAATGGATGCCTATCAGAGAAGAATCTTGATACCGTATAATAAATTGATGGCTTGTGGCTATGAAGCGCTAACAAGTCCCTTTATCAGTTGGTGCATAATTCATGCACGAGAGGGGATGGCTATCTGGAATTTTGGAAAATACATTTTAAATGCAATTTGCGTGTAATTTGCAACATTACCTTTAATAGTGTACATCGTAAACGCCTGGTGATTTGAGCGTCGCTGTTTAGCTTACTTAGGAACACTAAACAATAATGTGTGTATTTATAAACAATAATGAAATTAGGGAGCGGAAGCTCTTGAGTTGTGGAATACATGCAGCAGCGAATTTATTTCGTATCTGTATATGTGAAGACAAGATTGACATAAAGTGATGTTACATCAGGTCTTCGGGAAATAACGAATGAGCTAGCGCCCGATACCAGACGTTGGGGGCGCTAGGTTTATTTGAATTTACATGTAAATAAGGTTGAACCCAAAAATAACGGGGGTGTCTTTTTATAACCGTCACATGTGTATTTGTAAAGCGCACGTATTTGTGTTCAAGTCACTTCATCGTTATTACCCTGCTCATTGGGCCAATGAAACACTCCAAATACCATCTCAGCTCCCTGGGGAGTATGCAGCTCGATGCTGCCTTTTTGGCGCAAAGCAGCTACATTCAATTACAATAACCATCTCTACCCTCACAGGTACCCATTTACTCCAGGGTGGGGAGAAGCAATGAGTGACAAAGTGCCTTGCCCAAGGACACACGCATAGGCCTAACCCTAGTCTGGACTTGAACCCACAGCCTACGAATGTAATGCTCCAGACCACGAGGCCACGGCACTCCACACTTCTTGTTTAACTCAAACCTGTTAAAATGTTTAACTGTTGCAGAAAAAGGCGTGTATAATGTTTTCAAAAGTTAAACACTAGGTTTTGCAGTAAGGAGTTTCGTTAAACAATAATAACCCCAGTCTTTTTTTTATTTTGGTTTTCAGCAGGTGACTTTGTGATCTCTCACTAGTCCCAACACACCCAACTTCGAACAAGGGTCCAACCAATTGTACGAATATAAGTCTGGATAACCGAAAACCAGTGGCCGATTATGGCTTGGCCTGTCAACAACGCAACGACCTCGTGGATACCAGACACCAATGCGACAGACGACCCCGGCTCGGTCGGTGCCGTCAACTTGGCCAACACAATCCAGACATACTGCATCGTGTTCATCGGACTCTTTCTGAACATTCTGGCGGCTGTGGCGTGGAGCAAGCCGGGCTGCTCCCGACGCCATCGCACTTGCGCCACCATCACACGGGCCACTTTGGTATGGGTGGACCTACTCTCGATAACCGGGTACATCATACGCGGGGGGCTCACGCCCGTGTTGAAACAATTCAACTACGACTTATACTGTGACATCTTCGGTTTCACCAACATCACGTTCTCGCTGACTTCTGGATTCATAGCAGGCGTCATGTCAGTCGATCGCTTCGGAGCGCTGACATCACCCTTCACGTACCGAGCCCGCTTCACTCCGCGGCGGATTACAGTGGTTATTTTGCTGTTGGTCATTTTTTCCACCATTGTGGGATCGTTGCCATTTGTCGGCATCGGCTCCTACCACACCGTCGACTACTTCCACGGCAAGACCGTGTGCAAGCTGGCCTGGTACCCGGACGAGCCGCCGCTCTTCGTGCTACATTTCGCCGTGTACCAGGTCGTAGGCTGGTGCCTGTTGCTCGTGGTGGTGATGTGCAATGTCGGGGTGATCAGGACCCTGCTGAGCATGAAGAAACACGTGGCCTCCGCTGGTACCCAGCCCAGCAACATGGACACCAAACAGGAGGTGCGCTTTGTGAGGACTATGATGCTGATTACGCTGTTTTTCGCCCTCTGCTGGGTACCATGGATGGTAAGAAAAGTTAGATTTCTTCGAGTCAGATCCTTTCCAAGGCCAACCTAGCTCGTCCCCTGGGGTAATTTTATTTTTAAAGGATGGTTGTGTGGATGTCTACATCCAACTTTTAAGTGCTCTTCCCCAACAAACGTAATTAATTTTGTTTAAAACCCTTTAAATTTATGCACGTGTGGTAGCCCGCACAAAATGGCGCTCAATGGGCCTTTTTCACGAGTTGGCCATTTTTGTCGAGTTCCCTGAATGTATTTCATTAATTGTTAATTGTTAACAGGCAAAATGTAGCCTTAGCCTTATTATGTTTACTGTCATTGTTTTTTAAATCTGGCTTTAAACATTAGAGAACGTTTAATTACAAATTTAAAATTATTCATTGAAGCAGACTATAATTAATTGGTAATTAACGTGCTTTCATTTCTCTACACAAGTTCCAGAAATCAAGATTTTACCTCACTTTCAATCCAATATGGCCGACTCGTGAATAAGGCCCATGTTAACAAAGGGTCTCATGATACACTGGTCTCTTTGGGGGGTGTTTCTCTCCCCAATGACATTGTCTACATCTTGCTATTCACAGATAACAACCATCTTGATCAAAGTTGGATCGGAGACGACTCTGCAGGGGGACCTGCTAGCCACTCGCCTACTCCTGGCCAACAGCGCTTTCGACCCCTTAATCTTCATGGTTACCAGCGAGGCCTTGTGCTCCCGCGTCCGCAAATGGACCACGCGGTTGTTACGACGGCTTTTTCGTGTGACCCGAACGGACAGCGTGCTGCAGCTGAATTCTGCAGCGGCCAAAGAAAACACTGACGCTACCACGTGTCCCACTACAGGTAATAGTGACCGGAGTTAGGCCTATCCTTTTCAGGATAGGCCTGGAGGGCGCTGTAAAGACGCCCTTTGGGTATATCATAGAGCAAGGACCCAAGGAGTCAGAACTCTTGGGCGATTTACATTTTGACCATTAACATACCAATCCCTCGGGAATGTCTATAGCTACAGCACTGTGACCGCAAGCCTCGACCATTCAAAGCGTGAATGCCAGCGGCCTTTGAACACGATGATCGTCGCCGCCTTTTTAGTTGGTAACCAACAACCTCCCTATGTGCTGCATAATAAGTCATGTCACGTCGCTGCTCTTTTTTGAAAAATATATTTTACGACAAGATAGGTTTTTACAACTGCGCAGTTGTTAGATGTGAGTTATGAACTCAAGTTAGCAATGTGCAGTTGTTGGTGCTTAAAAGCGTTATCTGTCCCTGTAATTTGGAGATAAATTGGATTTCTTTCAGATAAGTTTTCATGTATTTTCAGACATTTTAATTGGCAATATATCATTGATGAAATGTGTTTTTTTGGAAAATTTCACAAGTTTTCACACTAAAGGTACAGAGCATTTTGTTCTTCATGAAATGATTGTTCCAGTGATGTTGACCACATTTATATACAGTATCATCCAACTGCGAACAAACACTTCAAAATCATTCATTTTTAGTGATGTATGACAACTGCGCATGCGTATTTACCATGGTACTGTCTACGAAGCCATGCAAACTCCTTTTCTGGCATTAGTTAGCGCGGATCTCTATTGTGTCGAGATTAGCGTAGTGAGCAACTGAGCAAGCTGGCCGCCAGGTGCTTTCTATTGTAGCTTTCGAGCGCGGCGACCACCATTTTACTTTTGAAGTCTTGGAGTACGAACTCCTTGGGTCCTTGCTCTATGGGTATATGATCACAGCACACTACCGAGGTCGCCTCCTTAGACTGGTCCCCGTATTTTATGAGGGCTGGGACCAGTCTACCCATCAATAGAGAAACCATTGTGGACGCTATTATGGGTGCGTTCGAGTAGCTCATGCGGATCGACTCGGGGAAGGCAGACGGGTTAGCCACGACAGCCGGGCTAGTCGAACGCTCAACCGCGGTCCATCACGATCCTCACGTGATGTCCGTAGCCACGGCCGATGCCACTGACAAAACACCCGTTTCTGACTGGATGGGTCTTCGATTCAGATGTACTGCTTTTCAGTCATTGCATATATCAAAAAAGCCGTTCTGGAATACATGAGATAACACTTCGAAAGATGCGCATGCGTGAAAGAGCCTTGTTTTGAAGCTGCGGTAAAAAGTTTCAGAATGGCGGCAACGTGTGCAGTAGTAAACGCTGTCATCACTGCTCATTTCGCATGTGATTTCACAGCGCTAGTTTTCTTTCCTAATAATTCATGAATCAGTCAAGTCAACGGGCCAAGGCAGGCTAAGCTGCTAAGGTATAGGCCCTAGACCCGTATACGTGGCGCCAGTAAAACAAAACAAAAAAAAACCCACGTTCCAGAGTCGCCTAAAAACACTTGAAATGTTTAAACGCGACATGTCATTTCCGGGTATTATGAAGTACTCACATACTGAAGCGTTCTGTTTATTTACGCGGGTGTATGATCTGGAATTGCCGAGAAATTTTAGGAGATCGAAAAACGTCCTCAACTCAACAATCGTACGACTACGAGCACGGCTTTTGATTTTCTGATGCCGGTCCGGTCACGCACGGTACGCTGGTACTCTGTGTCATGTGCGCGCAAAATGGTAGGAGCCATCCTGGTACCCGTATGATCGCGAGCGAATATATTTCGAGTGTTTTTGTTTGTTTGATTTTTTTTGGCGACTCTGGAAAGTGGCGTTGTAATTGTCAACCTATGTCAAAAATTTCAGAAAGTGACGTTAAAATGCTACAACTGTTGCACGAAATGCAAGGAATCTCACCAAAATACGCCATTAAAATCGCATTTAGATCTCAATTGTTTAATGCAATCTATCCAGGGATGGAGTGGTGAAAATACTGAATTCAGTGATTACGACGATCGCAATCCGTGCTTTGGCATGATACGCCGTCGAGTGGCGATACTGTTTTGACCGCAACTTCAGAACGAGGCTAAGTTGGCCGCCAAAGTGTAAACCCGTGTAATAACTATTAATAATTAATCACCTTTACACATTCAATAAAGTTGAGTTTTGGGTCCACTTGACATTTCCGCTACCCGGCCGCCATATTGTCCGTTCAGTCTAGGGGTGAACAACGCATGCGTGTGACGTTTTCCACCAGTGACTCTGCACACGAGCAAGGTCAGTGGTGGCCGGCGTGACCCGGGTGAGCCCCAAGAATGACGTCAGAGCTAATCGAACATCACGGGGCTGACCCGTGTCGACCCGGGTGAACTAAACGAACGCACCATGTAAAAAAGCAACTGCGCCCTGACGCATTACCTCAACAAGAAATACCACAATGCTTTCGCCATTGAAGGGGCCTTCGTGATTGAATTGATACCGTGCCGGGGTTGGTCAATAAAGGGACTAGTTACTTTATCTTAGAAGTTTACATATGTTGCTACAACTAAATAAAAGTCATTTGTACAAAAGATTGTGAAGTACATTGTAAATGTACTGAATTAGGCCTACTCAATAAATCAACGGGATTTGTGAAGCGTTTGTGCACAGACTAAAAGGGTGTTGTTATAAATCTATAGCGTATTGCCGCGTTGGTGTAGAGCATTACAGCTTTTGCAGTTTTTCCCAAAACAAGCGGAATTTAATACCATGAGAATTTTGATCTGGTTAAAGCACGGTAATATTATGAAGTTAATATTGAGTGACATGCTGAGATTTCGCAGTGAAGTGGTACTTTGGGGGGAAAATTAATTCGGTTGAGGGCCATGATTAAATTTCGTCAGCCAAAATAACTACCGACGCTAGAAGAAAAGTAATGCATAAAAGAAAAGTAATTTAATATGATTGTAATTCGATAGATGGCATGCAGTAGAGAATCAATGCAATTTCATATCTCCGTTTGCAGTTGTTCCCTTAAATGTTCACGACCTTTTTTGCCAGATCTGTACTAGAGTACTACTTCCCGTTGGCATTGGGTATAAAGTCTCTTGTGGTCAATGACAGTCCTTCGGGTGCATAGATGTACATCGGTGACCGCATTGCCAGTTATTTGTATTATGTATAATAATAGACTTAGCTCTCTGGATTTTGCTTTAATCATCCGTTCGTGTCAATTCGTATCTCCATTTTGACGCTTGAAGCTAAGAGAAACGTTGCAATGTCTCTGACTTGGTCATTTACGCACGACGTTGTTATTAAAGTTTTCGAAACCTCCCGGGTTTCAGTTGTTTTTATGGGGGGAGATTTGTATACTCCAACCATCCACCCACACACGAGATATGATTTTTAGGTTGTGCAACCTTTGCGTACGTTCAACCTTTTCAGATTCATGAAATGATTTTTATACTTTTTTGAAGACATCTTTTGAGCGATTTTCCATTCTTCTGCAATGTATGAAAACTATTTGGCATCCCTTTCTGATTAAAATTGTTGTGAAGTGCACTTTTTGTACATTTAAAATGTTTCATGTTTTCTCTGAAAACCGAGGGCACTGTTGCTGTGATGACATTTTAAGGCACATTCTGTTCAGTTGAGGCCTACTGGTTTTTCTTTTCAAATTGTGTATATAAACGTTCGTTCATTGGAAAGATTTGTGCGTAAAGATTGCTCATAGTCTTACTGCCATGTACTTAAACTACAACAAATCACCAAATTGCAGAAAATGTACCGCTGCCTTGAATGACATCACAGTTTTGCTCATGAATATGTAAATTGTCATTTAGCATTAAACCAAAAAAGGCACCAAAAACACCCTTAAAATGACAAACTGAAGATTGAAGATAGAGATAAATTTGACACAAAGTTGCCTTTCGTTTCACTGTAACCTCACTTCACTTTTTTTTATTGTGTATTTACTTATTTATTCAATGAACCCAACAGCGGTTATCCGCCATTTACATGTATCATACATTAAATATACGTGGTATACATCTAATATTATACAAATTCCAAAATCCTTACAATTAAAAATTCATCAAAAAAAACAACAACAAAAAGAACAAAACAAAAAGACAAAAATACAATTGTCGGAGATATATTACATGAAAAGACATATTCGAAAACAGCAAAAAAAAAACCAAAAATCAAGCACCCCAACAGACAGACATGCCGACAAACAGACAGACTGACAGACACCACGACCGACAACATGACAGACAGACAAACAAGCAAAGACCCCAACACCCCCAACAAACAAACAATCAACCCAATTAACAAACACACAAATCCCTTAAAAGCCCTATAACAGCCTAACAAACGAACACCCCCCCCCAAAAAAAAAAAAATTCTAGCTGAAAGTAAAACTGGCATGTTCAGAAAGTTTATGACAAAAAAAGACATACGCGCAAACACATAACAAGGAACACGATCAAGATGTAGTACACGTAGCTTGTAGCTACAGGGTGATTAAAAAAATCTGCAATAATGCAAAAAAACCCATCTTTTTTTCAAAAGCAAGTTAAACTTTTGAATTTTTAAAACTTTGTAAGAATGACGCATTCGCTAGTCACCTTGTGTGGAAAAAAAATGAAATTAATTGCATTTACCATTTGTCTTTTATGAACCTTGTTACTGTGGTACCCAATTATTTTGCGTGTTTGTTCACAAGGCGTCTAATAATTGCATAAAAGCACAAAATGTGTCCACCAGAGCCGTTCTTTCCATGATGTCTAGAGCTGATGAGACGTGCATTTCCTTGCAGCGTTGCCAATTAATTAGGGCACAGCTGCGATTGTGTGAGCAATGAAGGACACCGTAATCAGTAAGGCAGAGAAACGTTGCATAAACGTAAAGAAGTGAAACAGAAAAATTAAGCTTGATCTAAGGTTCCAGGTCACTTTTAAATTTGTGTTGTCTCTAATGTCTTTATTGTACCGTTTCCGCTCTTATGCAAAATTTTGATGCCTCGTGGACAAACACATAAATCGGGGACCGCAGTAAAAAGTTCACAAAAAACAAACGATAAATGCAATTAACTTCACTTTTTCACACAAGGTTACTTACGAATACGTAATTCTTACAGAATATAAACAGTTCAAATCGTCAACTTGGTTTTGCAAAAAGAAAGATGCTTTGCATTATTGCAGTTTTTGACTCACGCTGTATAACCTTATATTTTCAAAACGTCTATATTCTGTCAAAAATTTGGTAAAAAAATAACAAGTATCGTTATTAATTGTGGTAATTTGGGATTTAATCATTTTTTTTCGGGGGAATTTGCCCGAAGAGCATAGGTAGTGATGTTTTGACTAGTCTGGTTCCCTGATCTGACGCCCTCCCCGACCTCTTAATAGAAGATTCTTTATAATAGTCAGAATATTTTGGTCTAGGAACCAGATTAAAATTTTGACCAAAGTTAGACACCAACGTTAGCAGCAATTACCCACTTTATTGAGACTGTGCGACTGTTTGAAGTTAGATTTTTGTTCATTTTTTTGTAGGCTTTGGTAAGTTCCAAGTGACCACAACATCGAGTCTGTCAAGTCTGAATCAGACCATCGGGCCTGTCATCACGGTGACGGAGGCACCGAGCAGCACGGGCGATCTGCCGAGCTGTGACGGCTCACCTACTGGAGGAAGCGCGGTCATGAGACAGGAGTTCGGCGCCTCCACTGAAAGTCTGGTACCCTGGCCCTGAGATGATGTAGAGGTGCTTGAGTGAAGAACAACCCAAAAACCGTGATTCAAATTTGGGACGGTGACGCTACGGTAACTTGGATGTTTCCGGAGGGGTGTTGGCTGGGGTGTTGAAGTCCAAGATGTTTTTCAAGATGGAGGGGCGAGGCGTTGCACTCAATGCACAAGCAAAACCAAAGGCCTGAAGCAGTGAATCAATATTGCAGTAACTATTGAGCGATGAAGTGATATCAATGAAATGAAGGAATTTTTGAATCTTTTTTTTTTCATTATGTAAATAGTTTGCAATGGTCTGTCGGGATATGGATTGGAGTGGCTACCCACCCTAGCCTGCCCCATAAGATCCGCAAATGGGTGTGGAGTCATAAAAAAACACGTCGTCTAAAACTTTCTTAGTGGTTCACGCATTATAGTGACTGGTAAGCCGCTGTGTGGAACCACTCAACCTCGTGCACTAAATCGATGTTGATGGACGGATTTGAATATTAGAAACGGTGAATTTGAAACGACAATTTTTTTTTTAAAAGCCAGAAAACCTATGTTTTCATGTAGCGGAAAAAATTAAAACTATGTGAGCAAAATGCAAACTAACATGGATACAATGACATGTGTGCGTTGGTTCCATTTCGTGAACACTAATCTATCATTTTGAATGTTATCAGAATCCCGAGTTGCCATGGGATTGGACTCACGAACTCGACCTAATGATAAATAACGTGAATGCTCTCCTTTTTCAATCAGCATTGTGTGTTACACTGTTATGTATATGCCTGCGTCTTGATTTTGAGTGCACTTGACTCTGTTTGTCTTAATGTTACTGCCCATCGACTCAGTGGCTTGCCACAGTAAAATATTAACCCATGGAGTGCCTTGAACTTACCACTCTATGGAGACGTTTTGAAAGGCGGACAGTCGAAAGAGAAAAAAACAAATGAAGGTGGGTCCTTTATGTTTATCTACCATTTAGCACAATGCATGTAATTCCTTCAACGTACATTTTGGCCACTGCGTTTTTGATGAATGGCGGTTTGTGGTAACACAATTTGAAAGATATCTCTTATAGTGAGTTATCTATCTAACGTTTTGACGAAATAAATGAGATTTACCGCTTCAATCCTGAAAGTCATATTTTCATTTTAAAAAATCAGTATCGACAAAGCTTTCATGTTCAGCTCAGTTCAATTTAAAGTAAAAATGAAATGAGTACAATTAGTCTGATTACGTTAAACGGATCATTTGGGAGACATTTGCCTAGACTTGTGCACAACAAGTCTACTCCAATTTTACGGTGTATTTATGTTTTGGACCACGAGCAATCGACCTATTTGCAACACTAAATTTGTGTCTCCCTAAGGTATAATTATAACGACAAAATGTTTCGCAAAGGTACCATTAACAGGTGATTCTTGTAATGATTACAGTCTCGAAACCTGCATGTGCGGTGAATGAGGATCAAGTCAAAATTAAGCTACAATCCTGGCCAAATCTCGCTGGCCCCCCAACCCCCCGGCCCCCGCTCAATGTTGTCTCTCATTGCGCGGTGTGTGCTCCATCAGCTGGAGAGAACAACATTGACTGGGGGAGCGGAGGAGTGGGTGACCGTGGCAGGCTCAGGAAGACAGTGTCCTAACCATTTTGGCCGGGATTGTAGTATGACCAGCGTGTTCTTCGTGTAATGGCACATTTTGTTCTGTTCATTTCTGTAGAACTAGGGTACTAGTGAATAATTTATCGATATAAAATTAATGTGTTTTCCGGATAACAAATTGCCTTTTAACAGCGTCGAACTTTGATTTATAACCGCGCAGTTATGAGTAAACATCAATCACTATTTTTTTCTAATAAATGACGTCTTTTCTCTTCATTTTAATCGAATTCAAGGACTTGACGTCCATTTGTAAAGCAAATTAGTCTTCGAAAATAAACGCGAAACTTCTTTTTTAATACCAAGATAGAATTTGCTGTTCGTATTTATTTTTTTTAATAGTACGCACGCTGAAATTCGTGACGTCACTCACTACGTCACCGCGGTGCAACCATAGCTTCAGGAAAGCTTCGGTCGACCGTGAACACAGTGTTGTCGCTACCATGGTATTTGTGAACGCGTGGTGACAATCTACCGCAAGGCACTTTACAATGTTCACGTACTAATTTGTGAAAAATGTTTCATAAAAGAAAGATGTCAAATTGCTGTCTGTGATCGTGCGTGTCACTGACGTACGTGAAATACATGGTAATAACGGCCAGGCAATCGCAAGACGTCCAAATTAATAATCTACAGTAAAAGCGATTCGGTAGAACTTAATCCTTCATTTGGAGAAGGAATGCAGGCGCATGCAGACATCTGTCAGACTCAACCATGGCCTTTGGCTATTAACCTGGGAAAAAAAACGCATTAAATCGGCCATCCAGGAATCGAGACAGTTGCAAGTGGATAATTAATCACAAGATACACTTTATATCGCCCTTTAAGATACCTTGGTCGAGACAAAACACACAGCAAGTAGACATAGGCACGTTGGCGTTTTATGGCACAGGTATGGATAGCTACGTAAGGAACAGCTCGCACTTTCCACCGGCTAACGACGATTGGGAGAAACTGGACGACCGTGAATTGGTCGTGGCAATGGCAGTTTACATTTCTCTGCTGTCTGTTTCCGGTTTTGTGGGAAACATCTTGGTGATTGTTTCGGTGGCTATATCGCCAAGGTTGAGGACCACATCCTACGCCTTCATCGTCAATCTCAGCGTGGCGGATTTAGCGGTGAACGTCCTATCCATCCCGCTAGTCGTACGGTCGTTCTTGGAGTACGGCTGGCCGCATGACCCGCTGTGGTGCCGCTGGGTTTGCTACCTGTTCCTGATGGGGATCGGCGTGTCGCTCTTCACGCTCACCGCTGTCGCTGCCAGTCGATACTGCCTGGTGGCCTACCCGAGGAGGATCTACAACAGGTGCTGCGGCATGAAAGCTGCAGGGTTGATCGTCGCCAACAACTGGTTCCTGTCCCTCCTGTTGGCTCTGATCCACCACTGGGGCAACTTTGATGGGATCCGCTACATTCCGTCCGTCCGGTTCTGCTTCCTGGACGCCTTCGATGGCGTGTCGTACTGGTACGTTTCCGTTGCTGTCGTTTGCATAGTCTGCTTCATACTGATCCCCCTCCTGTACTGCATGACCTTCCGTACTCTCTACGTCAGCCAGAGGCGGTTGCACGCGGCTCGCAGGCGCAACGCATTCGCCAGGCACCGCAGGCAGATCCTGCACCCAGCCGAAATCAAACTCACCAAAATGCTGGCCGTCATTTTCCTGATACTCCTCTTCTGCTGGACGCCCATCTGGGTGACGCACTTCGTGGACACCAGTCCGCACTTCCAGAGACTTGGAGTCATGCTTGTGCTGACCAATTCTTCAGTCAACCCTTTCGTGTACGCGTGGCTAAATGAACACTTCAAACGCGCATTTAAACGCATTTTGCTTTGTCGGAGACGCCACCGAGCTCGAGTTAAGCCTCTGATACTTTGAAGAATGTTTGGTGGTCTATAGAGGGCCAGCTTGAATAGTGGCCTCTTGGTACCTATCTGCTGTCACTTGTGAAGCCACAACCGGGCAGTGCTTTCGTACAGGTTTACCCCGTAACGCCAATGACTGGACTTAATCCGACCCAATGTGTAGTTGAGAGGCATAAAAACCTTCATTGATTGTTGTGAGCTGTGGAATCAGCTTTTGTAGGCTAGCCTTGCTTCTTTCTTTTTTGGTCACTGCAAAATACTCTGTAACTGATGGTTTATATGATAATTGTATACAAGGATCGATTTAGAATTATATAGCTGAAAGGCCTCTCGCCTGATACCGTTTATAGAATTCGGGATTTGAATACTTTTCAAAATAATAATAATGTGGGGTGGGTTTTTTTTTGGGGGGGGGGGGCGAATTTATTCTTACTCGCGGCTGAGAAGCTGAATTGCGAAGGGCGCGGCTACAGCGTGGTCGAGACGCCCGTAAGACAACCGTCATACTTGCGACCCATGTCTGACCACGGAGCACAGCCAATGACCGAAAGTGTTAATTTTGCGCAGGGAGAAAAACCAGAGAGCCCGGCGAAAAACCCTCTTGCCGAAATCAGCATTCGGGACATGATTGTTGCCACGTGATGTCACACTGAACCAACGATTCTCGCTGATGAATAGCAACCGCGCGCGTGCACGTCGTGTCAACGCACTCGCACCCATTCACGGAGTGACCCAATTCAAAACCAACTGCCACGGTAAATTTCCAAAACTATGTCATTTGACAGATCTTTGGGAATGACCTTCTTATATTTTTTCTTCCAAATTACCAGAAGGAATATTTTCACAGGGAGTTTTCGTGTCATTACCATCTTTGAACAAAGTAAGCTTTTAACAACAATTCATAAATACCTCAGACAGTTTAGCCATTCCTATTGGTCGAGAGCCCGTCACGTGGCCGGTCTAAAACGGATGATAAAGACATGGCTAGCTGGTCTTAAACACTTTTCCCGTGTCACATAAAATGGGACTCCTAAAAATCCAGTGCCTCTTACCATTTCATTGGTTGAACGTTCACAATCCTCACGTAGGCGTGCGCAACACTACCAGCGAGTCAGAATTTTATAGTTCTAAATTCAAAACGCAACGCCCCAGGTGCGTTCTGCGCGACATCGCGCAGAACATGCTACGCGCGCGTCAATTTCCATAAAAGGGTTGTTTACATCTTACTCGCCAGCTGAACACTCCATTATTTTGCTAGAGGGATGTTTCAAAAAGCATGAAGTGAACTTGTTGAACAAAACCAGGATTTTTGAACGAATTATTTGATTTTTTTTTACCGAAAAGGTATTTATGAATGGGAATAAATGTGTGCTCGGTCGGTATTTATCACTCTGTTTAAGACCGCTTAGAGTCTGGGTGCTGATAATTAACCTCGCCTCCGGCTCGAGTAAGCTCGGGTAATTATCAGCACCCAGACTCTAAGCGGTCTTAAACAGAGTGATAAAACCTCCGGAGCACACATTTATTCCCTTATTTAGTTGGTTACTTTTTGGATAGACATAAATGGTCTACTCTACCTTTGAATGTAGCTTAAAGCTATAGTCCATCATTTGCAGCTATCCGAAAAGTAACTGGCGTAATTATTGTTGAAAAACATACTTGGTTGAAAGATAGTGAGAGGACTAAACTCCCTGTGAAATTATTCTTTCTGGTAAGCTGTCATTTTGAAGTAATCAAGGAAAGAAGGCCTTTCCAACGGTGTTTCTTAAGACGCACAGTAGGAAAATTTAAATTAGTAGTTCGTTTTGTTATTCGGCGAAGCGCGCGCACGACACACACGCACCCACGGTTGCTATAATTCGTCGGATCAGTGCGCGACATCGCGTAGCTACAATCGGCTCAGCGAGAACGTGTCTCGGACGCTGAATTCAGGCGCAATTCAAAACATGATTCAGCAACTTTTGATTTGAAATTGAGATCCTAAAATGCTGTTTTTCTCGGAATATATAGCTGAAGCTGAGCTGAAACTTCATCAGGTTAGTTGTTCACCCTCTTTAGATTTTGAGCACTTTTGCTGCTTCGAACGAACAAAATGCACAAATTACAAATGATGGACTATAACTTTAACTATCCGATAAGATACCGACTCTGTCTGCGTTGGAATGTAAAAAGAGGAGGCTTTGTTCCAGAACAGAAGTCAGACTCGCAATTAAGATGACCGTTAACACAAAGTACAGCACGCTTATTCTCTAAAGAGAGTGTGCATTAATCTTCAAAAGAGCATGGAATTCATCAAAACGGAGAGTTAACGTGGCACAAATGATTGATTTCAGTGTCCCGTGTTCTACATGCATGAATTAACGGAGCCTTCGTCGGTATTTAATCTTTGCTACTCGCACCCCGATTCGTGTACTTTAACTCGCCAGTGATTGATCTTTCGGCTGTAGCCACGAACCTCGGTCTACCATTACGAAGACGAAACAAGTCTGGCCGTATCTTGCGAGCTGATGAATGGAGGCACTGCCAGTAGACCTTTGGCATTTTCTCTCGGTATCTTTTCACCGAAATGGCTCAGTCGGGACGTTATCGCGTTCTACCGGCGAGGAGATCTCGAGAATGTATCAGTGAAATTGCAACTAATTGCTCAAACTGAGGAAATTAAAAAACATTGGTGATCATACATTTGGTTATTTTAAAATGAAAACATGGAAACATGTGTTTTGCGGCTTTCGAAAGCATGTTTTATTTGCCCAAACGCAGGTGTTCACACTAGAAATATCCATTTAAATCTGAGAAACAAAAAAATAATTACAAATTTGTAGCAATATGTAAACTTAGGTCAATATTTTTGGATTCGCGTCTGTTTACCCCCCAACAGCGCCACCAATCGGTAACAAATTGGCCTATTGACGCTGCAGCCATATCACAGTGCGATGTTACGTTACATTATAGGCAAATGTTTGATATTAATGGTAAAAGCAATCGCTTCGTATGCTCACAAAATGTAAAAACCCATGTACATGTGTATGCATTATAGACATACTTTGTGGGCTCATAAGATTGTAGTCGATTAAGAGGAAAATGTTGGGCAATCAAATCCCAAATCGCCATGTTCGGGTCGTTTTTAGTCCAGCCAGCACGCCCTCAGTTGCTAAATGGTTGCACCAACACGTGCACACGCACAGGCTGCCTTGTAAAACAGTGCAATTAATTTCAGTTTATTTGAACAGCGGTCGAAGCTTTTAGCAAAATGCGATCATCGACAACTGAATAAATATTTTAGAACCGGGATGTTTGATCTTAAGTAAATCTCTTTACTGTAACAAATGCCACTTTATCATTGCATTCCTGAGGTTTCTCCAAAATGGATCTACAAGACGACTTATTTCCGCTTGTTCCCACATATTTATAGGAGCATCTGCATTTATCAAAAAAGTTACCTACCAAATTATTTGCAAAAAGCTTACTGGGATTAAAGATCATACTGGTACTAAACACTAGTGAAGTTATTCCGTCTGGCTTGCTGCCTAGAACTAGAAATGTATATTATTATGTGATTTCTAAAAAATGATCTGACCGCTAAGTCATGTTTCGTGATGAAGAGGTTGTGCATGGTTTTTCAATATTTTTCTCGGAAAGTGTAATATCCACTGAGCTGAAACCTCGACAAGTTAATGTTTGGACGTTCTTTATCTTCCTTGGATTTGGAGTGCTGTTATTATTGGAAACAAAAACTGCATGAAAATCGAATGGTCCTATATGATTTTAAGGATCCTATAATGTATAACTACGGTTCGGTCATTTTCAAAATGGCTGCCCTTTTTTTTTTATCCTACCGATATTTTGTCAACATTATCTGCGATGACCCTGTAGCCAAATATTTTTCTCATGACATACTCTGACTGTGTGCCAAATGCCATGCTTGTATCATCAAAGGTACATCCCCATCAAATATTTCCCCTATCTGTCCCACTAAACTGAACTTATAGCGACGGTTAAAAACGGAAAGAGAGAATTCAAGTATGCAAATATCTTGGCTTGCACGGTTGACGGATGAATATATCAGTGTGATCGAGCTGACTTACGGAAATAAAACTCAAAAGCATGAGATTTAGTACCGGTGCTGGATGAGCCCTTATATTGACCAAGCCGTATTCTGCTGTAGGCGCCACTGTATCTAATACATTCGATCTATTATGTCACCAGCAAAATGGTCACACGTTATTGCCTAAGGGTCAATGATTAATAGAAGAGGGTTTTAAGACTTGTCCGATCGGCGCAGAAAACAAACAGAGAAATCGAAACGGAGAGTGGGGGAAAGAGAAGATAGTGCACCTATGAGTTTTTCACACTACGCCATGGACAGCAACATGGATAGCTATCAGTTCGCTAACAGCTCCACCGCCCCAACTTCCATTCCGTCGCAAAACTCGGACAGCTTCGGCGAACGCGTTGGAGTCACGGTGTACGTCGGCTTGCTGGCTGTTGTCGGTTTCGTCGGGAACATCTTGGTGATTGTCTCGGTGGCCATATCGCCCAGGCTCCGGACCACATCCTACGCCTTCATCGTCAACCTGAGCGTGGCCGACCTGCTGATCAACGTCTTCGTCATTCCCGCCATCGGTGTTTCCTTCTTCGACTACGGTTGGCCGCATGACATATTCTGGTGCCGCTGGCTGTGCTACCTGTTCCTCCTCTGCGTGGGCGTGTCCCTGCTCACCGTGACGGACATCGCCGCCAGCCGGTACTGTTTCGTCTCCCGCCCGCGCCAGACCTACCGTAAGTACTTCGGCTGCAAGTCCGTGGCAATCATCCTGATCCACAACTGGTTCGTTGCGCTGCTCTTCATCTTTATCCACTCCTGGAGTGGCATCAGCGGCATCCAGTACCACCCAGTCCTCCGCTTCTGTTTCCTGAAGGACTCTGGTAACCTGGAGTTCTGGTACATCAACTTCATCATGATCTACTTCTTGGCAACCTGCTTCGTCCTCATCCCCTGCCTGTACTGCCTGACTTTCCGGACTCTCTACCTCAGCCAGAGACGCGTGAGGCGTCAAACTGCGCCCAGGAGCCGGGGATCCTTCGGGCATTGGCGACAGATCCTCCACCCGGCCGAAGTCAAACTGACCAAGATGATGGCGCTCATCTTCATCCTGCTCGTCCTCTGCTTCACTCCCGTCAGCATCATGCACTTCTTCATCGTCGATCCCATCTACCAACGTCTTGGAGTCGTACTCCTCCTGACCAACTCGTCCCTCAATCCTTTCGTGTACGCGTGGCTGAACACACACTTTAAGAAAGCCTACAAACGCATTTTACTCTGTGGAAAGGGATACAGGGGCAGGGTGAAACCGCTCGTCGTTTAGGAAAGGACGTGACAATAAAACGCCTCTCTAATCCGGTTTGTAAGTGTGACGTCATTTCAACTTAACCCATGATGCGTACTGCACGCCGTGTAGCATTGGAACCAATATAACCGCAATCTTGCAATGGGCCCTATTCACGAGTTGGCCAGATTGAATTCAAAGCGAGGTAAAATCTTCATTTTTGAAACGTACGAAGAGAAATGAATGCAATGACATAAAATTAATTACACATTTTAGTCTGCTCTAATGAATAATTATAAATTTGTGATTAAACATACCTTAATGTTTTAACCCACAAACAAAAATGAAAGAGAGGCTAGAATGTATAAATAGTCTGGCACCATCCCATTCAATAGTTCACAATTAATAAAATGCATTCAGAGAACACGACCAAATTGGCTTTCTCATGAATAAGGTCCTTTGCATAGTTGAGTGTTTATACAATGGGCACTAGCAATCAGTGGTACGCGCGCGCGTGTACGACGAAGTCACTTACGAACCGGATATCACGCGCGCTTATGCAAATCGAAGCATGTCGGACACGAACCACGGCTGTGATTGGTCAATACATTTTAGGGCGGAGCCTTTTTGGATGGGTCAATTACATTTATGTTAAAAATCAAATCTTGCAAGTGGAATGTGCTAATGGTTTCCATGAGATTTTAACAGACAATTACGTCCGCTGTCGGATAATTACTTGGAAGAAAATCGTTTCTTGGGAATCCAATGGTGGACCAAGCGTTGGTTTGTGCTAGGGATGAGCTAATACTATTGACATCACTGATTTGCAACTTTGCTAATGTAATATGAATGTATTCTTTTGAGAGATAATTCTGACTATTATAAGATATGGGGATGACATGGATGCTAAAACAACAAACTATATTCGCAATAGGCCGATCTAATTTAGTCGTTGTTTGATGTTAGTATTCATTATGGAAAAATGTTTATCAGAATATGTCTTATAGGGCTATTACTGTAAGGTTGCGATGCTTTATTTCAATCGAGGTACTGATCGAATATTGATGACGACCCCTGTAGACTAGACAATAGACATGCATACTATGCTATATGTAATAGTGGCGTAGACAGGACTCTGCGACCGGCTACATTGGCTCCGTGGATATAACGGGTGATACCTCTAGGGGCGAAAATGTTTTAGTCATGTTTGTGCACGTCGATATTGGTACCTCTAGGGCCAGGGTGACCTTTAGTAGGAATATGTTCGTCTCTAGCTAGAGAGCTAGGTCGCCCCTAGAGGTAGTCATTAAGGGGCGACCATAGTGGAATACACCATACAAGGGGCCGGTAGTCATAACAACATTGAAATTGGTTTTCTGTTTTTCGTTGTGTGCCCGGCAGAAAGGCATATGTGCATATACCCTTATATGCCCAATAGCGCGTAATGAACAAAATCCCCAGCAAAAGGGCATATGCAACTTATCCATTTTAATGAAATTTGCGCAGGGGAAATGCGCGCAGGGGAACAATGGAACCTTTCAATGCAATTTTCTTCAAAATTATTTTTGCGTCAGAACGCTCATTATGCCCTTCTGCCGGGCACCCGACGTTTTGTTGTTGTTGATCTCCGTGTTAATATATGAAATTGAAAACCTATAACCAATTAAAGGGAAAACCAGTATAAAACGGAAGCCCAATTACGTCAGGCTTAAAAAGTGTGGAAAGATAGTTTTGCGAAATAACTGTGTGATCGAGCGCAATTTGGTTCTTCGAAAAATTGAAAGCAATACTTTTGTAAAGAAATGCAATCCGTTTGCGAAATAACGCAAGATACAGCCCCACCTCCTCCTCCCCCCTCCTCCTCCCCCCCTCCAAAAAATCCCCAAAGTGCCCTCTCTTGTTTACAGCTTTTTAACAACGCGAGCCTCCTCCAACTGAGCTATCGAACTGCTCGACAAATTCTGAAACTTGAATTCATGGTAAAAATATATACCTGCGTACGTATCATAAAAGTATCGTAGAGGGCGCTCAACAACCATGTCATGCGGATGTTCTTTGGGGGTGCACACCGGTAAATAGGCCTAAATCCATCAGCCGAGCAAAATATTCTGTATTACAGAGTTCTGAGAGCCACAGGCATTTTGGTTGCTATTGGGCTTGAAAGTGGCGCTATTTTGCCATGTTGTGGAGGGATCGTTTTTAGGGGTCGTCTTCTTTGGGTGATTCTCGAAAAGTCAATTGTCAACCCACCAAAAAATGAAAAGAAAATGAAAGATGACACATTGATCATCATTTTTCTGTGCAGCTTGAATACCTGTGAGAGTTCTGAGTATTTTTAGAAGAATTTTGAAGTATGCGCATTTAGCACTTGTGTCTATGGGAATTTTATTGCAGGGTTGCACCCACTGGTCTTTATATAGAGATCAGTGGTTGCACCTCCTCCAGTTCAGTTGTGCGCGCTTTAAAGCCCGCCCTCAAGTGACCGAAATATTGACATTTGACCTTGGGTTTGCACGTGTTAAACTTCATGAACTTAGAAAACATGTTGTGTCGAAACCGTACATGCCGTAAGTCATGTAAGTCGAGTCGTGGGCATGCGGTCTTGTTAAATAACCAGATAATTCGTGTAAGTTAGTGATTTTTAACAACATAGAGCCTTCAAGCTTAACCATATAAACAGGCCGGGTATTGCACAAAGTGTTTTTATTTGAAAAGAGACGATTTGACATGACAAGAAATGGATGAATTTCGCTGGGACGTCTCTTCGAATTTGGGCAGTCTTCTTTCCGCAGTGGCGGAGCCTGCATTGATTTCAACCTGTCGGGAACTGCTGGCAAAACAGGTAATGTCACGTTTTATATTAAGATAGTGGATATTTTGCCGGAGGTAATGACGGCAAACTAACGTTTACTAAAGGTTTGCCGGCGGCAATCCATATCAACAGAGGGCGCTGTACTAGATAGGGCTGAATTATAAGTTGTATTAAATTCCCATCAAAAGTTGTGTAGCACGTTTGGTGTAGTAGTTAAGCAAAGGCTTTGGTGAGCGGGATGACTCGGGTTCGATCCTGATCCCTGCCACATTTTAAAGGTTTTTTTTCCCATCCCCAAATAAAGAAGAATATTCTTCTTTTATTATTTTAACATGTCTCAAACATTCTATTGCAGAGTATTACATTTTCTTTTTCAGATTTCTGGCTCTGGAGGATTTTTTTTGAAAGGGAAATAAAGTCCGAAATTATAAAATGGTCTGAATCCCATCTTGTGAATACGAGGTTACAGCAATAATATTGGCATGGAGCCAGACTAAAATTTGTCACCGGAAAATGTTTAAGTACAAAAAAACAGTAACTGCGCATGTTCAGTGCATATCCGGCAAACTAAAGGTTTACTAAAGGTTTGCCGTCTCCGGTAAAATATCCACTGCCTTATATTAATCGTCATTATTGGCAAAATGTTGCATCCTGACGCCACTTTTTTCATTGTAGGCCCCCTAGGCCTATATCTGTATGAATATTATCTTAGCCCAGGTGGACTCCCTTTCCTCCCTACGTTAGGGAGCGAGTCCAGGATATGAAGTGCTCAAGGCGATCGTGAAGTGTAGGGCCTGGTTCCTATAAGGGAACAAAATCCACTTTAAAATTATTGGATCTACCAAACTAGTTGGCGACATTCTCAGTAAACAGGTATGTCATTGTCATAGATAGAGGGCAGGGTTTTGATTTTTTGAGGGAAATTTGGTGGTAAAATGACGATGACATTGCTAGGGGAGCTGAAAATCAATTAAAGATCGAAATTATTTTGTCAGCAGAAAATCAACCCAGCTATAGCATGACTGACAGTTTTGAAAAAGCATGGCGTCTCTGATATTTACCAGACTGTTTCCCGGCCACCCTAATAATACTAATAGTCAAAAGGCAAATGGGGTCAGGGAACCAGACAACAGCTTTAATCATCTACTGAGCGTGCATCAACTTTGGCAAAGCGCACGGTGGCTTTTGCCTGTCATTCCAAAATCTTTGAAGCCCTCTGCAGTGAAGCGCGCCCTCTAGTGTGCGCTCTTTTTTGCGGCCGCGTATTGCATCCGGGTAGTTCACAGAGCTACTTCACAGAGTGCACTAACTATCTTAATGCCAATGGTTTATACACCTTCAACTTCACAGATCTGGGGGCCTCAGGATCGACAGCAGTTACTCTCAACTCTCTCCAAGTACTTCCTCTACCCACAATGCACCTTGCCTGTGGCCGAAGCCTTCCGTCCCATCTTGCTGGATGTGCTGGAGAGAGCTGGTCAGGCGGTGGTCACAAGAGGGCGCTTTTGCTTGCAGGAGCACGAGAGGCTGTGTGTAGCCGTGGGGAAGGTGCTTGACTTGCACCCAGACGTCTTCAGGTTTGTTTTGTTGGCAGTTTGCAAAAGGTCACAATGTACTCAAGCTAATGCCAAGTAAAAAAACATAGGTTCTCATTCATGCCCTTGTCCTTTTTTTTCCTGCCGCTTTTTTGTTTTTTTTTATTTTAATTTGAATATTTTGCAAATATAATGTCAAATTGTTTTTATTTGTTTCCACCGAAACTCTACATGTAGAAAGGGTGACCGCTCCTTTCGATACAATTTTGTATCAGCAAAATAGTCGAGAAAATGGAAGAATCCATTCGCCATCTTGAGAAAATCCGCCATCTTGGGAAAAAAAAACGAAAAAACAAAAAAGCTCCTGCCTCCTTCATTTTTGCAAAATGCCCGGATGAGAAACTTTTTTTTTCTTTTACTTACTTTAGTTCAACTAATTTTACTTAAACCAATGCTTTGTGTTTGTTTGCAACATACTTCATAAATCAATCACTAGTTAAGACAAGATAAGTTTGCGGTAGCACCATGTGAATAAATCTCTTTTGTGAGTATGTGTGGTTCTGAAAAGAACTGGAGGGACTCAACGTTTCAAACAGTATGCTCTGCCCGTCGTCAGGAGAATGAGGGTTCGAAACGTTGACTCGCTTCGGTTCTTTTCAGAACCACACATGCTCACAAAAGAGATTTATTCACATGGTGTCACCGCAAACTTATCTTGTCTTAGTATCTTTCCACCATGCAAACCTTCAAATCTCAATCACTAGTTGTTAAAATTGCCCCATTTTGGATATGTTACACAACAGTGACTGGTGAAATTATGAGATGATTTCCCGTTATTCTTTAAATCAATACAAGTTCATATATGTATTTCCATTCATGCTCTCCAGATTTTTGATGAAATATCTACAAACTGCTCCGCCGGTTTTTGAGAGGCTACTGAGTGGGAAAGTCACCGTGAAAGTAAAAAAGAAAAAGGTTGGTTCTTTCTTCTCAGTAATATGCAGCGTTGTAGGACTCGAGTCACAAAGGCGAAAACTCGGAGGTGGACTCGACCATCATGACTCTGAGTTTAACGCAAATGAATCTTGACCCGCAAGTCAAATTTATATAACAAAATTGTCCGTTCTGTTATAATCCCGTTGGTAATTTGTAGAAACAGAAGCACAAGGCAGACGATCCTACCCCACCTCCCAGCCTGACAGACATCCTAGCAACATGCCACAGGTATCTCCGCTATTCAAGAGAGGCGTTTGTGGACCTGTGGGACTGGAGCCCTGTGATGAAGCTAGTTGCCCACGAGGACATAGATGTGAGATGGTAAGAAAAGAGGAGCGCTTGGTCCAATGGTTTATGGTGTTGGACTCGTGCCGTGGTACATGGGTCCGCACCGACATGGTGCTTGAGTTATTAGGCACTTTACTACAATTGCCTCTCTCCACCCATGGCATGTGGGCTTCGAACCCGGCAGGGAACATGGTGCTTGTGTTTTTGGGCAAGACACTTTATTACAATTGCCTCTCGCCACCCATGGTACATAGGTTCAACCTCAGTAGGGAACATGGTGCTTGTGTTCTTGGGCAAGACACTTAATTACAATTGCCTCTCGCCACCCATGGTACATTGGTTCAACCTCAGTAGGGAACATGGTGCTTGTGTTCTTGGGCAAGACACTTTACAAGAGTTGCACCCAGAAGTATAAAGTGGTACATGCGAACTTGGAAGGGATCTTAGGTGGCATGGGTGGCTTGTGCGTAAAGCGCTCGCCTCTCACCAAGGTGACCATGGTTCGAATCCTGGCCGCGGATCACATGTGAATAGAGTTGTGCGTTGGTTCTCTCCTGTGCCACGAGGGTTTTTCTCCGGGCCCTCCAGTTTTCCTCCCTCCCGAAAAATCAAACACTTTCAATCTCAGGCTGTGCTCCGTGGTCATATATGGGTCGATGTGGCCGGCAGCCATAGGCGCCTTTACGTGCCAGCGGCCCGACCACGTTGTAGCCGCGTCCTTCGCAATTCTGCATACCAGCTGCGAGTAAGGATGATTAGCCTCCCAAATTATATTATTATTATTAACCAAAAAGTCTAGACAGTTACATGTAGAATTAATTTCTTTAAATGTCATGCATATTTTCAGGTATTCCTTACAAATAGCAGCCACCCTAACAGACATGGCTGACCAACCAATCCAGGCGCTTCTCACCAATCATTTCACTCCTGATGACTTGAGGCTTCTGACTCTCGGACACGAGGAGGCAAAACAGCTTGAAGCGACACGCCGCAGCGCCAGCCTGCTCTTGAACTCAGATGTGACCTTTGACCTCGAGCGACGAGAGAAAGCGACACACACGATGCGCGAGTTAGTCGGCGCGGATCTGAGTCCGTCTGTTGCTGCGGTGTGCGGGGTGCTGTTACCTGTCAAAGCTGGCCATGAGAAAAAGGTGATATTTCTCAAATTCCTAAAATAGGTTGTATCCAACTTATACTTGTCTACAGCCGGTGATTGCACATGCGCCTATTGGGTCGGTGCACAAGTACCCCCTCAACGGTAAGAAAGGGAAAGTTTGGGAGACCACTTGGAGAGACATTTGAACGCATTACCGACGACGCCTGACGCTCACACGAAGACACTATTGCGTTCTGCACATTCATAATAAAATTACTCGTGCAGTTACTTTGCATTATACGTGCGTGAACCAGAACACGCGCAGGGTGTATTCCGCCCACTGGGCTCTCGAAAGTGGGCAAAAAGCGCCCTCTCTTGTTGGTGCACAGAGCCCATAGAAGTGACTGAATATAATTACCATAGATGCATGTGTGACAACAAGCCTTGGCAAATAGATATTTCATCATCAAAATTCTGATTCAAAAACATTATGATAACCACTGTTGCCAAAGTTCTTGATGAACGTTGTCTTAAAACTCAAAATATTTACTTGCACAGTTTCACTAAAAATACTACCTAGAACAAATGCTTTTCTCATCCGGAAAAGCTTAGCAACACTGCGTTCCCACATGGAAAAAAACCCATCACAAGCCAAACCACTGCATCACAAGTCAAATCACAAGTCTGTCACATGTCAAATCACAAGTCTGTCACAAGTCAAATTACAAGTCTGTCACATGTCAAATCACAAGTCTGTCACAAGTCAAATCACAAGTCTGTCACAAGTCAAATCACAAGTCTGTCACAAGTTAAATCACAAGTCTGTCACGAGTCAAATCACAAGTCTGTCACAAGTCAAATCACAAGTCAAATCACAACTCTGACACAAGTCAAATCACAAGTCTGACACAAGTCAAATCACAAGTCTGTCACAAGTCAAATCACAAGTCTGTCACAAGTCAAATCACAAGTCCATCACAAGTCAAATCACAAGTCAAATCACAAGTCTGTCACAAGTCAAATCACAAGTCCATCACAAGTTAAATCACAAGCCCATCACAAGTCAAATCACAAGTCTGTCACAAGTCAAATCACAAGTCTGTCGCAAGTCCATCACAAGTCCATCACATTCAAATCACAAGTCAAATCGCAAGTCCATCACAAGTGAGGTTGTTTCCAATCAGAGATGTGCTCAAGTCCATCACTAGTCCGGTCGCAAGTCGCAGCGGATGAACAATAACGAAGCAAAACTTTTGCCACAACTCATGTGAAAAACTTGTGACTTGACTTGAGACAGACGGACTTGCAATTAGCTTGAGATTGATTTGTGAAGACTCGATTGTGTTGATTATAATCATTGTTTCAACTAGAGTTTTTTTTTTTTACGGTTCCATTTTTTTTCGTCACAGGATACATCCCATACAATGGTCAGGGTCCCATCCACGGCCCGCAACCTCCATAGCCTGGCTCTGGCTGTCTCGTCGGGCACCGCCGTGCTGCTAGAGGGCGCTGTCGGATGCGGCAAGAGCGCCCTCGTTGACCACTTGGCCCAGGTCACGGGCCGGAGGAAAACCCCCGACCTGCTGAAGGTGCAGCTCGGGGACCAGACCGACAGCAAGGTAGGGGAAAGGGCGCCCTCTCTTGGTTAAAAAAATGCTGGCGAAACAAAACAAAAGAATCTCTGAAGCCATGATGACAAGCCCCTTCTTTAAGCACATCTCTATGGGAACAGATGTAAATTGTATAGATTGGTGCTTACATCCAGGATCATCCTAAATCTTGTCTGGTTTCCAGACCCGTTTTCATAGAACTGAATGGCTATTGAGTCAGGAGTGCTGAATGGTAACACATAGCAACCGATTACAACGTATGTGCTAGTGAAAAGATGTTTTCAGCCCCCCCTCCCAACACTTATAAATTATTTCTTTACAGAACACAAAAACAAATTTCTGAAGATCATTTTCACATGTAACATTATCTTTCATCTCATTTTAGGAGAGTTAAAAAATGATCATAATTACAATTTTTTGTAATTCCTTTTTTGTTTAGGCCTTGATTGGTACTTACCGCTGCACCGATATTCCAGGAGAATTCGTCTGGCAACCGGGAGCGCTAACACAGGTAAACCACAACTTACCAACCATTCTTACTTCCCTCAAAACCGGTATCTTGAAAAAGGTTTTTGTTTAACATTGGTGATTTTTTTATAAAAAAAAGTTTCCCCTTTTTAATTGGTAATGGCAATAGCAACTATCCCAAATTGCAGTCTGTGTGTCTGTGTGTAAAGTGCCTTGCTTCACTTTTATACCCCATATCTATTTTTGAACCTCATTTATAGAGTACCTTATACAAGGTGACCCAACAAAATACAACCTAAAACATTTGCCTTTCAAAAAAAAAGGGATCGATGGATTTTTATGTTTTTGGTATCAGATTAAAGCTGAGAGCTTTTTCTTTCAAATGCTGAAAAAAAAATCATGAAAATAGCACTTTGGGTTGCTGAGAAAATGCCAATTATGTAAAAGTAGTCATTTTTTATCCTGTATACATAAAAAATTACCACAATAAGGGATTTTCGCTATACCTGTTTGTGCATGTCCTAATCCTTACAAACAACATGGCACATAATATGACAAGAGTACAAATGAATTTGATGGAAATACCTTTTATTTTCCACCTGAACAGGTATCTCATCCTTTTTAGTCCTATTTTAAACCCTTTCAGCATCATAAATATGTCAAAATGCTAAAGAAATTGCACAAATGATGGATAATTGCACAGTAGGCTTACAGTAAATATGTTTCACTGTTTGAAGTACTTGTGTACAGGATGATAAATGACTACTCGTACATAATTGGCATTTTCTCAGCAACCCAAAGCGCTATTTTCATGATTTGTTCAGTATTTAAAGAAAAAACTCTCAGCTTTAATCTGATACCCGAAACGTAAAAATCCACCGATCCCTTTTTTTTTAAAAGGCAAATGTTTTAAGGTTGCATTTTTTGGGGTCACCCTGTACTTTCTAGAAAATAAGGGTTGGAACATACATGTAATTAAAATCAGAGAAAAATAACCAACCACGTTTCAAGAGGAAAAGAGTGAATGTCATTTATTACTTTATATTTTACAGGCTGTCACCAACGGACACTGGATCCTACTAGAAGACATCGACTACGCACCCATGGACGTCATCTCTGTACTGGTACCCTTGCTGGAAGCCGGTTCCCTGTCCCTGCCTGGGCATGGAGACGTGGTGCGTGCCGCTCCGGGATTCCAGCTCTTCGCCACGCAGCGATTGACGGCCGGCGCCGGTGGGTTCTTCAGGCAGCACGTATCCCACGCTGCATTGCTGGATCGCATGTGGTCAAAGGTTAACGTGGAACCCCTTTCGAGGGAGGAGCTACAGCAGGTGATTGGGAGGGTGTCCATTTACAGATGGAAAATCCATGTATTTTTTACTTTCATAAAAAAAAGCGTTTTTAAAATTGCCATTTTTCCTAGCAGTACAAAAATTATTCACTTTTGCATGAGATATTCCAAAAATTAGCAAACCTTTAGTTATTGATTTAGTTATTTGCTTTCGGACAATAATCAAATTCTTGCAGGGAAGTCTGGTTCCTGTCCACCTATTAGAATTGAAAATGTAGGAACTTGGAACCAGTCTACTTGCAGGGTGGATATGTTTGTGCCTAAAAAGCAACAAAATCCTCTTTGCAAGATGGAGGATTTTGCAGGATTTAGGCTGTATGGCAAAACATGTGTAACTGATTTTGGAAAGTGCACTGTGTCAAGGTCTTAGGCCAGACCTTTTGTGTTGTTTATGCTCATCCGAGCATACATTTAGGCCTACATTACACTTGAAATCCTCTGCACTGCTCCAGGATGTCACTGGCTCTGCCTCAACACATTGACAGTGATTGCTGGTTAATTTTGCAGGATTGAGGCAGTGGTCACCCCTCCAAGGATCACATTCAAAAAATTAAAGATGATTTTGCAGGATTGAGGCTGTTTGCAATTTTTACATGGAGGCAGTTGGAGGATTTTGCAGGATTGAGGTTGCATCTTAACAAAAATGCCTAGGGAGTTATGGTTAAAGCCCTTTTCAGGTGTTGCAAAAAGGATGTTTTTTTTCATCAAAATTGTGCTGACCAATATTCTTAGTTAGGCACATCTACTTTCCTTTAGTCAGTAGCATCATGTCTGACGTACTCACAAAGTTATAAATCCTCTTTGTCACCCACATCATAACCCTTTCATTGACCTTTGACCCCAGGTGGTTGTGACCCTTCACCCCAAGCTGACCTCCGTGGTTGATAAGCTCCTGGACATCTTCATCATGCTGTCGTCCGGTAGCCATGATGACCCACAAGAGACCAAACCAGATGAGCAGCACGGACGTGTCGTGACCCCGGCAGAGGTCACAGGTCACCAAGGTCGTCTGATTTCCACAAGGTAGCTTTGACATTTTTAAAATTTTAATTCAATAAACTAAAATGGGGAGACTAGCTATTTTGGCCTTCAATCAGCATGAAAGGCATACAGAAATGTGCATTTATCCCAAAAGTAACCTTCCGAATTGTTGTCCAAAAGCTCACGTGGATTAAAGCCAGAGTCCATCATTTGCAGCTATCCCAAAAATACCAGGCGTATTTTTTGTTGAAAAAGCATACTTGGTTGAAAGATAGTAAGGGAACTAAACTCCCTGTGAAATTATTTTTTCTAGCAAGCTGTCATTTTGAAGAAATCTACGAAAGAAGGCCTTTCCAACGGTGTGTCTTAAGAAGCACCGTTGGAAATTGCCGTTAGAGAAGTTCGTTTTGTTATTCGGCGAAGTGGGCGCAAGCGTTGACACGACGCACACACGCGCGCGGTTGCTATAATTCGTCGGATCGGTGCGCGACGTCGCGTAGCTGCAATCGGCTCAGTGAGAACGTGTCTCCAGCTCTGAATTCAGGCCCAGTTAAAAACATGATTCAGCAACTTTTGATTTGAAATGGAGATCCTAGAATGTTGTTTTTCTTGAAATATACAGCTTAAGCTGAGCTGAAACTTCATCGGGTTAGCTGTTCATCACCCTTCTTTAGAATTTGAGCACTATTGTTGCTTCAAACGAACAAAATGCACAAATTACAAATGATGGACTATACCTCTAAACAGTGTACTAGTACTAAACACTTATTCCGTCTGGCTTGCTGTCATTTATAAGAAATCAAGAAATATACCTGATTTCCAAGAATCAGTCAATAGAATAGTTTTTGGAATAAAGAGTGTCATTGATGAAATCGTGATCAAACCAATTTTATTATAGTTAAGATATTGAATATTATTATTTTTTTGTCCAGGGACTTGCTGAAGTGGTGTGGCCGTATAGCCGCCAGGATTGATGGCCGTATAGCCACCAACCCAGCCAACAATGTCTTCCTAGAGGTATGATCGTGTCAAATATTTTGATCCAGGGGCCGTATTCACAAAACTGAAACTTGTTGTCTATTTTGTCTAAACCATATCAACGACATCCTAACAGTTTTCTGAAATCATTCACACAGTGTTTCCCCAATTAAGAGTAAGTATTCCTGAAAGTTTAATCACTAAAAAGTGACTTTGTTACTAGGCCCTAGATTGTTTCTGTGCCGCCCTGCCGAAGCCCAAGACCAGAGCCAGCGTCGCGGAGGCAGTGGGCGTCCGACTCAACCTTAGCCTGGAGAAATGCGGCTTCTTTGTCAACAGCTACAAGCCCAACATTGACATACAGCAGGAGTACGTGACCATGGGAAGAGCCAGGCTAACCAGGAAGGAAGAGGAAAGGATAAAAATACAGAGGTACGTCAAGGTTCCTCAACTTTTGGGCCATTTGGTTTAGGTGGTCTTCAGACTCGAGTCCATGAAATGCTGCTGTGGGGGGATCGCCACACCTCCTCCACAGCGAGTCTGTTACCTTCCTAGCATTGAATAATGCCGGTACCCATTTAACACCTGGGTTGAGAGGAGTAATTGAGGTAAAGCGCCTTACTCAAGGGCACAACACGCATGGCCATGGCGGGGCTGGAACCCACAATCTCACAATCATGAATTCTATGCTCGACCGTTAGACCACACGTGTCCACAGAGGTTAGGGTTATACAAGTCAAATGGGCATAAAAATTAAGACAACTGCATTTATCAATCTTTTGACCAAACATTCACCAAAATACTTCCATATCCTCCACTGTAGATCCCAGCTATCAAACTTTGCCTTCACACGGCCGGCGAGCGTCCTCCTAGAGCGAGTAGCCGTCTGCATCAGCAACAACGAACCGGTGCTGCTCGTAGGAGAGACGGGCACAGGCAAGACCTCCTCCGTGCAATACCTGGCTGACCTGACAGGTCGAAGGTTAAAGGTCGTCAACATGAACCAACAGAGCGACAGCACCGACCTTTTGGGAGGGTAAATAAAGTTCTGTTCCCAATGCTATTTTTTGAGTTTCATCCCCCCAAAAAGATTCTTTCCAAAATTGGTATTTGTGAGGCGCTCTGGCAAAATGAGATGGAACTTGGTATAGGCCGTAGTGGAGAAAGAAGGCAAACCAAATGGGGTGATTTTTTCCCCGATTTCCAGATTTATTGTTACATGTAATTTTTGATATGTCTACTACACGTTTTTTTTAAGAAATAGCATGAACAATTTGGAATAAAAGTGTCTTTAAGGAAAAGCAATTGGCATCTTTTTATTTTTATGACTACAAAACTTGAATTTTAAAGGCCTTTTTCTCAGTATTTTTAGTTGTTTGACTTGTCGATAAATGCAAATTTTAAACAGCCATAACTTGTCAACAGAATGTCTGATTGAAGTACAGCAAATAGTATGGAAAGGAGAATTTCATTTCCTTTATTAATACTCGCAAACCCTCATTTCAACCTCTGCCAAGTTCTGTCTCATTTTGCACATGACAGGCTCTCGACCAAAAGGAATGGGTAAACTGTCTTAGGCATTTATGAATTTAGTTTAACATGAATTTTTATCAGACATGCGACATTTCCCTTGGATCAGCTGATTTCCTTGTTTCCACAGAAATTGAAAAACACTATATACATGATGATTAAAAAAAACGGAAACCCAACTGTCCAGACAATTTTGTTAGTGAAGTTCTGCATGTAGCAATTTCACAAATCACATAGGGATGTGTGTCAATTGTTTTCGTTTTGCTGAAAGAACACTTACCTTTTTTTGTGATCCGTGGACAGAACCTCAAAACGGTGTTTGTGTTTAAAATTCCATAACTTGAAAAGTACATGAGTGATTTGAATGATTCTTGTACTAAAAGAAAGCTTATGAATTGGGCTTTTATATCCTAGATTTTGAAAGTGCTACATGCAGAACTTCACTAAAACAATAGTCCCGACATTTGGGTTTCGGTTTTTTTTTTACTCACCCTGTACAGTCTTGTAAAGGTTGGAGTTTCCTCTGTTTTTGTAACTTCTTAAATGAAAGTCTGTTTTATTACAGTAAGCAAAGCCATGATTCTGATACTTTTTCTACAAACCCAGGTTCAAGCCAGTGGATTTCAGGCAGTTGATCTCGCCCGTCCGCGAGTCCTTCGAAACCCTCTTCGTGGAGACTTTCTCCCGCAAGCAGAACGTCAAGTTCCTGATGCACCTACAGGAGTGTTTCACCGCCCAGCGCTGGCAGGACCTGCTCAAGCTGATGGGCCACTGCCACCAGGCGGCGGTCAAGAGATTCGAGAAGGAGAGCCATGATGGTGCGTTGATTTCAACACTTCAGAGGAAGTAGTGCCCGACCCGAGCCACGTTTGGTTTTAAAAAGATATGTGACCTGTTCTGTCAAAAGCAGACGCTTCTGGGCAGAGGTTGAAATTGAGATAGGGCCAAAAAACGCTGTGGGGGTGATTTTTATCGATTTTCAAATTTTTGCATATTTGTAATCCTGAACCTGTCTAAAATATATTATAAAAGTTTGAAACCCTAATTTGAACTCTACATATACTATTTTTGATGATTTTGATAAGGTATATCAGTTAAACTGTTTTGTGACGTTCGTGGCCATTTTCTCCGATTTCTACTTTTCGACACAATGAACTTCAAAATAGCATAACTCTGCCCAGGAATGACCGGTTTCAAAAATCAAACCACCCATTAAAAGGAAAAAGAACATATGTTAACAATATGTAAAAATATCATTTTCGACCTTATGCCCAGAAAAGTCAGATTTTGACAGAACAGGTCACATATAGTGAAGCAAGTCCTAAATGTTGAATTGAGTCTTTTTTTCATACACACAGTGGGTAGGTGGAAGAGAAAGGACGAATAGACCTAATTTTGTGAGTAGGAAAGCCATGACTGTGGGTTGAATTCAACATTTCAGAAGAAGAAGTGCCCAACCCGAGCCACGTTTGGTTTGAAAACATGAAGTGAAGGAAATCCGAAATCTTGAATTGAGTCATTTTTCATGCATACAGTGGCTAGATGCAAGAGAAAGGACGAATAGACCTAATGTTGTGACATCACATTTTGAGTGGCATTAAGACCATGCCTGCACACAAAATGTGAACAAATGTATATTGCTTTGCACTTACTGAGGCTCTACACAATTTAAAGAAAATTCATCAGTAAGATTTGAGGTTTTGTGTGGTGGAGATACTAAATAATGAAAGGTTTGCGGAAACACCATGTGCAAATAATTTCTCAACTAAGAGAATGGTTCTGAAAAGAACCAGAGGTATAAACTCGATGTTTCGGTCAGTATGCTCTGACCGTCTTCAGGAGAGTGTGATCAGGAGACACTCTCCTGAAGACGGTCAGAGCATACTGACCGAAACGTTGAGTTTATACCTCTGGCTCTTTTCAGAACCATTCTCTTAGTTGAGAAATTATTCTCACATGGTGTTTCCACAAACCTTTCATTATTAAGAAAATTCATATAAATCTTTTTGTATCCCTCACAGAGGAAGCTGGAAGCAGTTCAGGCAAACAGAGTCCTACCATGAGGTGCCAGTGGAGATCCATCGGCGAGAGGATTCAACTCTTGAAAACGCAGCTGCAGCACTCCGAAAACGCCCTGGCCTTCTCCTTTGTAGAGGTAAAGTTAGACCCTTACCAGTACTCCACTGAATACCTTTGTTTACCCAGGATAAAAACAGTATTTCATAATGTGAATAATTGTTATTACTTGTATCCCAAATTGAGATTGACTCGGTCACAATTCAATCGCAAGTCACAAATGCATGCTGATGTGCGCGTTGAGCATTGCGCGTAGCGCGTATTGTTCCCAAGACCCAGTAGCTACAGACTTGGGTTCAAACATTTCGTGAAGGGGTGGTTTGGAAGGGAGAAATACATTGCCCACCAATGTTGTATTCAAATAGAAGTTCATTTTAACTGTAAATCAAATGACAAGGATCTATATGTCAGTTATATAAAACAAATATTGATTGGCTTTAAAAAGTCCAGATTTTACCTTGCGATAATATTCCTCCCATTCCACTCTGAGCCACTCAATATTTGTATATTGACTCGCAAAGGGTTCAGGTTTTCTAAACTTGCTGATCAGTCAAATTCTCCGTACATTAACAGGGCACCCTGGTGCAAGCTGTCCGTAACGGCGACTGGGTTCTTCTGGACGAGATCAACCTAGCCACCGCAGAGACTCTAGAATGCTTGAGTGGTCTTCTGGAAAGCACCGAGGGAACGGTTACCCTGTTAGAGCGAGGGTGAGTCATTTTACGTGACCTGGGTAGCTTATAAAAATTACAAAACATATACCGTCCTCAACTAAGAGTGATAGGTTCCTAGAAAGGTTTCCAGCAAAATGCGCAGAAATTGAAACTATTTTTTGAACCTCTCTTTTCTTGATGGTGAGTTTTTACATATGTGGGAGTCTGTTCCAGAAATTTATTTTCATATTTGAAACAGGATTTGAAATTTAAGACTTATGAATTATTACAAGTTAATTGTATGTAATCACACTCATTTTTGTTCAGCCTCAAACACAGCTTTTTCTTGAGAGTTGTATAGACATTTTGATGGAAGTTTGCTGTGTTATTTTTGGGTCCACCAAAATATTACTTTGTTTTTTTGAGTAATACGATATCGCATCCTGTTGGTTGCAGTGACTCGGAGCCCATCGTTCGTCACAAGGATTTCAGGCTGTTTGCCTGTATGAACCCGGCGACCGATGTCGGCAAGAAAGAACTACCCCCTGGCATCCGAAACAGGTAATGTACATGAAGCTGATAAAGTAAAACAAAATAGTAATAATGCGTCGCCGCACCACTTTTGGGGCAAGCTCCGTACCAGAAACCGAAGACTTTTTTTTTTGAATTTAAGCCCAATTCTTGTTTCCATTTCCGCGAAGCAAAGCTTTGAGTCAAAATATGTGCTTTCGGTAACTCCTTATCCTGAGAAAACGTAATGCCATTTTCCTCCTTTTACAGATTCACAGAATTCTTTGTCGATGAGCTAGAAGAGACTCAAGACTTGAAGATCCTGGTCAGTAACTACCTGCGAGGCCTGGCGCTACCACCAGACAAACTGGACGGAATCGTACAGTGAGTAGGATCAGACATTTCTCCATGAGAAACAAAACGAAGGTCAAATGGTTTTGACAGAGTCAAAGTTGAAAACTTCTTACTTTCATACATTTTTCTGTTATCGTTCCAGGTTTTATTTGGCTGTTCGTAAGGAAGCTGAAATGAAACTTGCAGATGGGACCGGACACCGACCTCACTACAGGTACAAATGAAACCTTGTTACAATATTTCAAAAAGATCAGTACCTATTATTTATTATTTTGTACATTTTAGTTTATCACATGTTGAAGTTTATTCTCAAAAAAAAAATTGTATAAAAGTGCATGCAAAGTTTAGAATAGTAAGTGCCTAAAACTGCCAATTTCCTGAAGTTTATTTTTGTTCAATATTGGGTATTGCCCTACACGTATTTTATAAACACTGTGTTCTCTGTGTTGTCCGGAGTGATTGTGAGAAAAATTCGCAATCTACTCGGATGGGACTCGAACCCAAGACCTCCTGCTTTCTAGTGCAGACCTCTCCGCACCCCACCACCGAGCTTGCCGGGGTCAGATGGTTCGAGTCCATCCAAGTAGTTTGGACATTTTTCTCTAGGGACAAGACTGAGTATACGGTGTGTATAAAAATACGTTGGCGAAGGCCAAAATCCAATATTACATCACCCCGATGCAAATTCCGTCTTATGAATACTGTGAATAATGATCAGTGTTTCAATTATGCGTAGTGCAGTAGCTACTACAATTGTTCATGCAAAATATCTGGAATTCTGTAAGAGGCTTTACCATTTTATTGTTTCTGGTTTAATAATTTTAATGATACTTGATTTTTTGCAGCTTGCGTACTTTGTGCAGGGCGTTGCGCTATGCCTCCACCAACCCCTGCGGAAGTGTCATGAGGTCATTATATGAGGTTAGAACGATTACTGAAATTTTAATCCCAGCTAAGCAATTATTTGTTAAAATTATTTTCTTTCATTGTGTTGAATTTACAACATCTGGCCCTCTTAATTTTTTACAAGTTTGATATCCTCAAATTATAAAAGCAAAGAAATGAAGTCCCTGGCTTCCAACGTTTCTTCTCCGAATTTGCCTATTAAATGTATTGACCCATATTTACACTTATGAATGTGTTGGACTTTTGTTAATTTTTGAAAGTTATTTTCAAATATACTACAACGGGAAACTGACTAGGTGCATTATAATAATTTTAAACTTGAACAAACAGATTGAATGGAGTGGGGTTTGAACCTGCGACCTCCGGATTGCCGTTCCCAATTTTGTCAATGTTTAAGGGCCAAAAACCATAAAACCCTCAACAAAGACATTGACAGAATGGGAACCACCAGCGCTGGGCTGGAGAGCTCAGTTGGTAGAGCATCAGAGGTTGCAGGTCCAATCCCACTCCAGTCAATTTCGTTGTTTAACTTTTAAATGGTTGAAGCTGTCTATTCCAACCCCAAAAATCCTCAGAGCTTCTGTTTGAGCTTCCTGACCCAGCTGGACCGCGCCTCCCACCCATTGGTCGAGCAGCTGGTCTGCAAGAAGCTGATTGGCCGAGCCAACATGAAAGGCGTCCTGGGCCACCCGATTCCGCCGCCCGCTGCGGGGAGCTACGTCAAGATGGAGGGGTACTGGATCGCGACGGGGGAACGTGAGCCCGAGAAGCAGAAAGGATACGTCATGACGCCCTCCGTGAAAGCCAATCTCCGAGACCTGGCGAGGATTGTGTCAGCAGGGTGAGTAACCAACTAGAAATCTGGAAACTTAGGGCTTCTGAATCTACGCTTTTGTGGTTACGGCTTTGGGCTTTCCCATTGACACACTGCAGAGAGTAGTCGTAGCCATCTGTAGCCAGAAATACCTGTTTTGACACAGCCTCTATCTCTGTATACAGAGCGGCACCAAAAAAAAGGGAACGGCATACTTCAACGACCTTGAGACTCAAACCACATATATCAGTGGATGGAGAATCCTTTTTATCTGTATCTGTATCCATGAACAATGTTTTCAATATTTCCTAAAATGTTTGCCATTTGAGATACAATTTCCATTATTTGACACCAGGCATATTTTAAATATCCTCCAAAATCTCAGTTTTCTCTAGTTGGCACTCAGCTTTTGCTGCCCCTATCTCAAAGATTGTATTTATTAAATTATTCCATCTCCCCTCCCCCGTAGTTCATTCCCAGTCCTACTCCAGGGCGAAACCTCCGTCGGAAAAACCAGTCTGATCCACTACCTCGCCATGGCGACCGGCAACCACTGCGTCAGAGTAAACAACCACGAACACACGGACCTGCAGGAGTACGTGGGCTTCTACGCGGCCGACGAAATGGGGAAACTGGTCTTCAAGGAAGGTAGGCCTTGTAGTTTATAATTTTCTGCTTACCAATTGTGCTTACGGAGCCAGTGCAAACAATGTCCCTGAGACAGTTCGGTTTTTTTGTACTTAGCAAAATTGCAGGATCAACATCTCACAGATTATAAGTTCAGCTCGTGGGAAGTATTCAACATGGTGTTTTTTTTCCCGTCTAACCAGCAAAGTTCCGGGTCAAAAATACTCATATTATTGATTTAAGATTTGAGCTTTGCGTGGTGGAGTATCAGTATCGTTTCGGTTTGCGGTAACTCCATGTGGTAATAACTACTGTCGCTCAGTAGATATTTAGTTCTGATAAGAACTTGTCCTGCTTACCATCAACCTTCGCTAAGAAGTTTCTAGTTCTGATAATAACAGCCCTGCTTAGTTCTAAAAGAATATTATTAATTGTTCAGTAATTTGAGGGTGAATGAATCGACGTCTATCAATTTTTAAATTTTTTTTTATTTCATAGGGGTGTTGGTTGATGCTATGAGAAAAGGGCATTGGATCATCCTAGACGAGCTCAATCTTGCACCGAGCGATGTTCTTGAGGCACTAAACAGGGTAAGTCTCAAACTTATTTATTTTAGCATCGTGTTTAATGGGGACAAGGACCGGAAATCTGGCAACCGGTTACCCACCCTCCTGCAGTAGGTAGTCAACATCCATGCCATCACCACTGACGAATTCTTCAAGCGAGGCTGCTGAGGGAATACTTTGTTTTATATTTTTGGCGTTGGACTGACTCTCCATGCCCGCTCAACAGCTGCTGATATGCAACTAAAGCTAAACTTGAATGAATGAATGAATCAATCAATCAAAAGCAGAGTCCGTCAAAGTCATAACAAGTAACCATAAGGCATCATAAGTCAATCACAACTCGAGTCACAAGTCAATCACAAGTCATCCAAACTCGGAGAGATATGAAAAAGGGAATTATGTTTCTATTGCAGTTACTAGACGACAACCGGGAGCTGTACATTCCGGAGACCCAGGAGATGATCTCGGCCCATCCACGGTTCATGCTGTTTGCCACCCAGAATCCACCAGGACAGTACGGAGGAAGAAAGGTAGAATATACAAAGGAATATGAACAGAACAGATTTTACAAATTGAAACTTTCAATCAGATTTCATCAAGGGATCAGTCTTTTCGGGTCTGTAAGCAAGATAAGTGACTACTTTCAATTAAGTGTACAGTGCTGTGACTTTGAATAGCACTTTACTTTCATCACGCCTTAGAAAGCATTCTGCGTTATCACAACTATGAAAAATTGCTTTCAGATTGTGTGATTATTAGTTAATAAACTGTATACTTCCCAGGGTGCAGATAAAAAAGGGGTTTAATGATCATCAACTTTGCTGCGTTGATGATATTTACATGCGTAAGATGCACTGCAAAGTGACATATCTGGTACGCCCAATTCACAACAATGTGGTTTTAAAGCAGTTATACCACTCTGTCGCTATCCAACTCTGTTGGTTCTTGGTATGACTGACAATTCATGTCTCAAGAAAATGCTGGACCCGAAGGGTGACCGACTGACTGAGTCCCCGAGCAGAATTAATCTTGTCCTAATCTGAAAAAGTTTTGGGTCCAACTGGATTAGGCTAGCCTAGACTACAGACGGCTGAAAGAAGACTTGGCATTTGTCTTCTCAGGTGTTGTCCAGGGCCTTCAGGAATCGTTTCGTGGAGCTTCACTTTGACGAGATTCCCAGCAAGGAGCTGGAGACCATTCTGCATCAGCGCTGTGCCATCCCTCTCTCCTACTGCAAGAAGATGGTCGCTGTCATGCTGGACCTTCAGGTAGGCAAGTCCCCCCATTTTTGGAGCGGATAAAACTTTGTTCAGTTTGCTGTTCACTCAACCGGCCAGTTATAATCTATTGACCCTGTCGTATGCATAATGGCATTGTACTCAGTAGGTTTTAACACAAATGTGTTCTTTACACAGACTCGACGCAAGGGCTCAGGAGTGTTTTCCGGCAAGCAGGGTTTCATCACACTACGGGACTTGTTCCGCTGGGCTGAGCGCTACCGGCGGGCCAGCCAGGGACAGGGAACACTGTACGACTGGGACCAACACATAGCTGATGATGGTATAGTGAATGCTTCGTAACTTGTGACTCATGATCAGAGGGTCAGGCGTTCATATATTTGGAGTCCTCGGGCAAGCCAGTTTACCCTAATTGTCCCTTTCATGGATATAAATGAGTACCAATTACACATAGCTGATGATGGCATAGTGAATGCTTCGTAACTTGTGACTCATGATCAGAGGGTCAGGGGCTCGAATCCAGCTGCTGGTGGGATGTTGTGTCCTCGGGCAAGCCAGTTTACCACTACTTTCCCCTCTCAGGGATCTAAATGAGTACCAACATTAGCTGGGGGGGGGGGGTTAATGTGGGATAGACATCCCAAACGGGAATATAAAGTTATGTCATACCATGGATACCAGAGATAAATATTTTGTAAAAGTGCAGTATCCTATCTCCGACCATACATCATCAAAATTCCTAAAGTGCCTTCAGCAACAAAGTAAAGAAACTTTGTGAAATATAGTGTGTATAAAAAAAAATGATACATTCTAGAGAAAAAAATATTAAAACACTAGCTCCTATTTTGCTTAATAATAACTTATATACGCTTAAAGAGTGATTATTTCTCAACACAATGCTGTTTTTCCTATCTCATTTGGACATATACATTTAGAGATATAGACAGTTACTTGAAAGGGATGATATGGCAATGTGGTCCAATTTGCAGCAAAGTGGATAAAAGGAGATTTACATGCCAGCAATCTCTCTGTTGGCCAACTTACCTACTGTTCTTTGCCAATCAATATTTAGTCGAGCGTCATCTGTCACGCGTTTAACTGCACATAAACATGAAATCTGTTTTGGTTTCCTATGTAGCCTGGTTGTCATTTTAAAAATTCCCGACAAATGGCATTCAAAATTTTCTTCTTCATTGTCTGAGAAGTAACTTTAGTAATTTGTAAAGTTTGTTACGGATACCCGATCCCATAATCTGGAACTGATTCCTGTCATCAGCGGTCCAGTACTCTGGCACCCGGTTCAGATGGACACCCTTATTTTTATTTGGTCAAAACATCATGGGTTGGGACTTGCTGAATCAGTCTTTTCTGAATCAGTCAGAGTCTTTTCTTTGCTCTCTCAGGATACCTGTTATTAGCCGGGCGCGTCCGCCGCCCGAAGGAACAATCTCTCATCAAGGAGGTCCTAGAGAAGCACATCCGCTGCAAGATTGACCCTGCCCGTCTCTTCAGCCTGTCCCCGGACACCTCTCCCATCACCAGAGGGATCCTGGAGAGGGTCCTGGGAGGGGAAACACCCGAGGGCTTCGGTCACGTGGTCTGGACATTTGGGATGAGGCGGCTGGCCGTGCTGGTGGGGCAGGCGCTGAAGTTCCAGGAACCGGTACTGTTGGTTGGTGAAACCGGGTGAGTTAAATTTAGCGTGCTATCACGTTCAGCCTAATCTTGCCAGACGAAACTTACTGCATCAGGTGGAAAAGTCTGGTGCACTTTGATGCATTCAGCTATCAACACCAGTGCATAAACGGCTGCTTCTGAGACAATGAGAGCTAGTCCCATAGAACAATGCCACAGTTGTATCCTGCTGCGTGCGGTGACCACAGACTCTGAGGCAGTTTGGCCTTGAGACTTTTGACCTGATGGGTCTTGCTGTACTGGGCAGGCTTGTCATTAAGTGTTGCATGTTGCTGTGTTTGGTCGGGTTTCGAGCCAAAATACCCGGGAGGGTTAGTGTTAAGGATGATGTTGTAATCAAATTGATCGAACGTCAAATCACAAGTCAAGACACAATTAACAGAGGATAATCATTGACTAAGGCATACCTTTGTTACAATTATTTAAAAAAAATAAGAGACAATTTAAGTTCATTTACTCATTGTGGAACAAAAAGGAGGTTAATCTAGAAATCTGTCGGTTTTGTAAGTTCAAGTACAAAAACATTTTGCAAGGGGCTCACTCCACATTCTATGTGTTTGATGCTTGGAAAAAATATGGAACTGTATTCGTCAACCAGAGTCGCCCAAACTTTAGGGTGTCATGGGTGGTGCAGTGCGTAAAGTGCTCGCCTGTCACCACTGTGGCCCTGGTTCGATTCCCGGCTCGGGTCATATGTGAGTCAAGTTGTTCTGGAATTCTCTCCTGTGCCACAAGGTTTTTTTTCTGGTCCTCCAGTTTTCCTCTGTCTGCAAAAAAATCACCACTTTCGATCTCTGGCTGTTCTTCGTGGTAAGACATGGGTTGTATGGCGGTAGCCTAAGGCGCCTTTACATGCCTTCAGCTCAACCATGTTGTAGCCGCGTCCTTCGCACTTCAGCTTCTGCTGCGAGTGAGGATGATTAGCCCCCAAATTATATTTTAGTGATTTTTATCAACAGATGTGGCAAGACCACCATTTGTCAGTTGCATGCCGCCTTGGCCAATCAGAAGCTGTACACTGTCAACTGCCACCTGCACACCGAGACGTCCGACTTCCTGGGGGGTCTACGACCGGTACGCCAACACAGTAGTGACAAGGTATAAAAGGTTGCTTAGGTTTCAAGGTTCATAAGCTGTGGATATTGTAAACATATTTTTCTTATTCCGGCTTTAAACTGGCCTTCTAGAGTAACCCCGAGCAAATTATTCTGAAACTTTGAATTAAGTCCAGGAAAAGTTTGATGGTTAAAGGCATATAGGATCATTTGCTTTTCATGCAAGTGTTGTTTTGAATAATAACACCACTCAAAATCTGAAGAAAAATGTTCAAAACTTAACCCGTTGAAGTTTCAGCTCAGTGGATATTACACTTTTCAAGAAAACTGAAAAAAAAATGCACAACCTTTTGATCACAGAACATGAATTCGTCAATAGCACTCTGTATTTCAAAAATCAGTCGATTGACTGATTGTTAGAAATCACCTACATTTCTTGATTTCTTCTAAATGACAGCATGCCAGACAGAATAATTTCACCGGGTGTTTTGTACTTGTACAATCTTTATTCCAAGTAAGCTGTTTGATAATAATATACTGTTCAGATAAATACAGATGATTCTGTATCCCTTTTAATACAGGATGAAGACAAACAGAAACTCTTTGAGTGGTGCGACGGCCCGTTAGTCCTGGCCATGCGCGAGGACGCGGCATTCCTCATCGACGAGATCTCGCTAGCCGACGACTCGGTCCTCGAGCGACTCAACAGCGTGCTGGAGCCCGAGCGCACGCTGCTACTCGCCGAGCGGGGAAGCGGTGAGAGCACGGCTGACGACATTGACGTGATTGTTGCAGGGGAGCAGTTTTTCGTTGTCGCCACCATGAATCCTGGAGGAGACTTTGGAAAGAAGGAGGTTAGTAGGCTTCCGAAAAGTTGATGTAATTTTTTTCAAGAATTTGATAAAAATGAAGTGTGCATCGTGGAAAAGGAGAAAAAATGGAAAATGATGAGTATAAATTTCAAATTGTTTATATTCTGGAGAAATTTTATCGGGCAATGAAACTAAAGTAATGTTTTGTATTGGTCTTAAGAAATTAACAAATTGTCCAAGTTAGAATTTCAAGTTTTTGGCTTTGAAACACATAAACCTTCAGCTGTTTTAAGTTTTAATCTTCTCAAGTAAGTGTAAAGCTAAAAATGGGTATTGTTTTTTTTTTTAAAGTAAAGCTAAAAATCAGTATTGTTTTAAAAACAAGTGACAAATTTGAAAATTTTGACAAATTGATTGCTTCAATTTTTTTTGTTATTTAAAAAATCTGTGTTTTCAGTCTCTCTGATTTTATATTGTTTTGTGAAATTTTTGTTGAGAAAAGCATTTTCACCAAAAAAAATGGCATCCATGCTTTCATTATTAGTACAGTATCAGTTTGACCCAATGCAAAGTTATGTAAAATTATTCAACATTAATATTCATGAACCACAGACAAATATATCTGAGTGATTATGAATATTCATGAGTGGGTTATAAATATCTATAAATCAAAAACAATGCTCATGATCGAAGAAGAAATAGATGTTTATGATTAATGAAATGTCATCCACTGTTTCATCATTAACTTTTATGAATATTTATGAATTATGAATATTTATGAATTATGAATATTTATGAATTATGAATATTTATGAATTATGAATTTTTATGAATTGTGAATATTTATGAATTATAAATATTTATGAATTATGAATATTTATGAATTATGAATATTTATGAATTATGATTATTTATGAATTATGAATATTTATGAATTGTGAATATTTGTGAATTATGAATATTTATGAATTATGAATATTTATGAATTATGAATATTTACGATATCAATACTTTTTTTATAAATGTTTTTTGTTAGTTGTCCCCTGCACTTCGTAACCGCTTCACCGAGATCTGGTGTCCCCAGTCCAACGATCGTCAGGATCTGGTACACATCATTGAGCACAACTTGGCGGAGGGGGTGTGGCTATGTAACCAGGAGGATGGCTCCAGTGGGGTGGGGAACGCTATCATGGAGTTTGTCAGTTGGTTTCAGAACAGTGAAGCGGGCAAAAGGTGTGTTTTCATATTTATTCGGCGAAGCACGTATTTATTCCCTTATTATCAAAGGGAATGTACAACATTTTCTGTTGCTGCTATTTTCAGAAATAAATGGATTTGGAGGATTAGTATGTTATAGCAAATATTGTTACACTGACTTGTTTCATGTTTTGGGTTCGTAGATGCTGGAAAAACCAAGAAAACCAATCATATTCTTGTAGTCTGGTTCCCTGACCCCACTTAAGATGAAACAGAGCAATTTATAGACTTTGGGGAATTGTAAGATCAGAGAATCAGTCTAGTAGGCTTGTAGCCTTCACAGGTGTGTAATCAATTGCAAAGAAAATGCAGACGAACTAAATATGAAAAATTAGGAGCACTTTTTGAAAAAAGCCAGTTTTCTCCAACGCTGGTCAGCCGACCAGCGTTGGAAAAATACAGTTTTTCTTGAAAATGTCAGCACACCAGGAGCCACAACTTTACAGGTTGCTTTAGACTGTCATTCCCTAACAATCCAGTAAGGTATTTCGTGATAATTTGATCATTTCGTATTTTGATGTTTGCAAATGTTGTATCTTCCCTTTAAGCATGTTTCTTTGGTGATAAACAGCTGTAAATTGAGTGCACATTTAAAAAAAAAAAAAACCTCGAGTTCCTTACCTCGACATTTAATTGCTTCAAACCAGCACATTCTTATTTTTCTGTACACGTGAAATCCTGTTAAAGGGAAAATACAACATTTGCAAACATCGAAAAATAAAACTACCAAGTTGTTACGAAATACCTTACTAGGATGTTGGTAAATGACAGTCTTAAGCATTCTGTAAAATTATGGCACCTGGTGTGAAGTCATTTTCAAGAAAATGGTATTTTTGAGTACATTTCCAACGGTGGTCGGCCTACCACTGTTGGAAAACCTAACTATTTTTCAACTACTGCTCCAAATTTACCATTTTTTCAGTCCAAATTTTGTTTGCTATTGGTTACATGTTCATGAACGGGTGCAGGCCAGCTAAACTGGTTCCCTTATACCTTCCAAACTTCCGGCATCTATAAATTGATCCATTTTATCTTTAGTGGAGTCAGGGAACCAGACTACTTGAACATTTTTGGTTTTCCTTGGTTTTTCCATCATTTTCTAACACAAAACTTCAACCATGTCAGTGTAACAATATTTGATCTATTATACTAACCCCCCAAATAGTTCATTTCTGAAAATTACAGCGAAAGCCAATAATGTACATTCCCTTTAACTGGTCGTAGGGTGAATGGCCTTATCGATAATTATTAATATTGTTTGCCATGTGTACCTAGATGCACGGTCAGCATTCGGGACATTCTGTCCTGGGTCAACTTCATCAACACGTGCTGCGATGCTTCAACCTCAAAACAACAGCAGACGCAAAGTACAACAGAATGTCTGGACACTGCGCTGGCCTACGTTCATGGAGCATGCATGGTGTTTTTAGACGGCCTCGGTTCAGGTGAAAATTACCTTTGGAATTTCTTATACTATCTACTATGAGTACGAAAAATTTTGAGAACTTTTAACGAACTCTCTCGTGGTCGATATTTTTTAATGGAGTCGATGATTGAGTCAGTTATGCACATAAATTACAACAAATAGAGAATTCATTTTCGTTTATGGAAAATTCATTTACAAAAAAAACAAAACAAATAGAGAGCTGTCATCAACAATTATAAATCGTAATGATGTTTTGAAGATGAATAAAACAAATGATGCAAAATTCTAACCAACATCTTCACATGCATGATTTGTACTGTTTACACGGGAGGTTTTAATTTTCCAAACCAGATGAACTTAAGCGTCTAGTGAAGTTTATGGGTTTAAACCTGATACATATCAATATTGCAAAGAGTTTTTATAACCCTTTGTAGCTGAAGTAAAGTGTGAAAATTCCCGAAATTGTTCGATAGATTCTACAAAAATGCCATTGGTCTCCTAATTTTAGCAAACTGCCAACATAAAAGTCTCAATTGGTAGAGTGCAGATATGCTACTTCAGTGGTTGCAGGTCCTAATCCTGTTCGCGTCATTTCAGTGTTCAACATAATACTTTATTCAAGTCATATATTGCCAAAATAAAGTTCACTGGGTTCAACGTGTGGCCTGTTCCAAATTGGATTGTCAGTTGTTAAAGCCAGAGTCCATCATTTGCAGCTATCCAGAAAGTAACTGGCGTAATTATTGTTGAGAAAACATACTTGGTTGAAAGATAGTAAGGGGACTAAACTCCCTGTGAAATTATTCTTTCTGGCAAGCTGTCATTTTGAAGAAATCGAAGAAGCACCGTAGGAAATTCAAATTAGTAGTTTGTTTTGTTATTCGGGGTTGTGCACGCAAGCATTGGCATGATGCACACGCGCACGCAGTTGCTGTAATTTGTCGGATCAGTGCGCAACATCGCGTAGCTGCAATCGGCTCAGTGAGAACGTGTCTCAGACGCTGAATTCAGGCCCAATTCAAAACATGATTCAGCAACTTTTGATTTGAAATCGAGATCCTAGAATGTTGTTTTTCTCGAAATATACAGCTGAAGTTGAGCTGAAACTTCATCAGGTTAGTTGTTCAGCACCCTTCTTTAGATCTCGAGCACTTTTGTTGCCTCAAACGCACAAAATGCACAAATTACAAATGATGGACTATACCTTTAATAACAAGCGAAATTCTGACATCTCATTTTCTATACATTTATTCATTCCTCAACAAAATTGTACACAGGGAGTACAAGCAACACTTCCCTGACCCCGCACCAGGCCAGGCACCTCAGCCTGAACTTCCTCCGGGACCAGGTCTGGCGGCTGGTGGGCCAAGACGTTGACCTGACCTCGCTGATGGTGACCTCAGAGGTCAAGGGGTCAGAGGGCGTGAAAGTGGTCGATTCCAAGGATGGGCTGTTTGGGATTGAACCTTTTTACATCCCAAGAGGTAAGACAAGTATCAGTAGTTATTTCTCTGTTATTTTTAGGGGTCATTTTTACAAGTCTGTGGATTTCAAGGGATTTTCCAACACAACCCCTTTATTTCTGGCGTTGGTTTTGTGTTCAGCTCCAGAATATTTCAATGACAGGATCTTATTCTAACATTTTGCCTTTAAATGTCAGAATTTGATGTTCATGTGGCAGACATTGGACCCTAAACAAGGGAAATAACTCTTTGTATGAATCCTAATTATCGACCAAAGTGACCTCGGATATAAAAGTAAAATAAAATAAAAATGAAATTGAAATCTTATTATTATTTTTTTTTGGTCTTTCAGAAAAGTTCTGCTAGTAGATTCAAATGTCATGCTTTCTAACCTTCACAAGGAATGAGAAAAAGTTAAGGAAAAAATGCCTGCTTTGAAAAGTAAAAAGACGAAGAAAACCCAAGAAGAAATTAGAAGTCGCTGGCGTAGGACTTTTAGGATGAAAATTGCTTTCTAACTGTTGATTCGAAGACATCCAGAAGATTTTTATCATTGTTGCACTTCTTAATCAACAGAGGACAAACAGGGCCTAAAACGAGACAAGGTCTTAATGACATTACGCAAAACCTCATTGTTGTATCCAAAACTTCAAATCCTACTTATTCTATCGCTTTCCTCAGGTCCTTTACAGAGTACTTTAGCCCAAGACCACTACGCCCTGAATGCCCCTACCACAGCCCTGAACGCTCAGCGGGTCCTACGTGCCTTACAGCTCCCTCGAGCCATCCTGCTAGAAGGCTCGCCGGGCGTGGGTAAGACCAGCCTGGTGTCAGCCATTGCCAAGGCCTCGGGGCACGAACTGGTCAGGATTAACCTCTCAGAGCAAACCGTAAGTATGCGCAACAAAATTAGAAAGCGTCAATTCATAAATTTGGGGTCCAAAAGTGTGACCCCTTTTGTGGCCCTGTTACACCACGGATCCTCTACACAAGGATAAACGACTCATCTGAGCTTGTGTACAAAATGTACAGAACGGTTTGTCGACATGCGTGATATGCCACGTCCGCGCATAGAGCAACGCATAGAGCATGTAGAACAAAGTGCGCGCCCGACAGCTAGCTGGTGCCCTAAATTCGACTGTGCAGTCGTGTGTGCGTGGGCGTCTCGCGCACGCATGACGCCCAAGTGCCGTATCACGCATGTAATCAGAAGTTGATCTTAAGTTTTCCATGTTTTATGTATGGCACATATTACCAATTTACTTGGAAAGTGTCTGGTATAAATGAAATTTGCTGTCGTTTTTTTTTTTAATTTTTAGGATGTGACTGACCTGTTTGGCGCTGACCTTCCCGTGGAGGGGGGTGAAGGGGGTCAGTTTGCCTGGAGGGACGGTCCGCTACTGAGGGCCCTCAAGGGCGGCCATTGGATCGTCCTGGATGAGGTATACTGATGTTGTGATATTTTTGCCCTTCATTGTCAATCAGCTTGCAGAAACACTACTTCAAATTAGATGCAGCGGTTCCAATTATCAAATCTTATTAGCCCCATTTCAGGTGATTCACTATGCAGTGCGCCACCAAGAGTTTGCCACGGAGAGTTCATTTTTCCCAGTGCATTGTGGGAGATGTTCGACAAATTCGCAGCATGGGACATTTTAAATTGTTAGTTTTTCTGGTCAGTAGTTTCGTAAGCGTATGATTCGAGTACTATGTTTGCCCTTTTCTTTTCTTTTTATCAATATGGTGTTTTTTGTAAGGCGGCGCTGAACGCTATGCCCCAATCCATAAAATGAACTCTCCATGGCAAACTCTTCTCTGCGCACTGCATTGTGAATCGCCCGAATTGTCTGACAAATATTGGGACTATTTTTTTTTACACTGTTGAATCCTACAGTGCTCAGTGTTGATTAAATTGACCGAAATGATTTTACTGTATGGCTGACAATTTTACTCAAAATGTCAAAGAAAGAAGAAAATTAGTGGTAGTTTTATGAATTAATGAAAAAAAAATGTACCAGCACCATTTTTACAGCTGAAGTTGCAGGTCACACATGATAACTCGGGAAAGAGGAAGCAAATTTGCCAAATATCTTGGTTTTTTTTAAATAATAGCTGAGATTATTCATTTTATTGATAAAATTGAATATTCTTCTTCTTTTTTTGGATAGTTAAACCTTGCCTCTCAATCAGTCTTAGAAGGCCTCAATGCCTGTCTGGACCACAGAGCCGAGGTCTACGTCCCAGAGCTGGGCAAAACCTTCCACATCCAGCACGAGAAGACCCGACTGTTTGCCTGCCAGAACCCGCTGAAGCAAGGCGGGGGACGCAAGGGGCTGCCACGTTCCTTCCTCAACAGATTCACACAGGTAAGTCTTCACATTGGCAGATTTAGCATCTTGTTTTTCCTTGAAAATACTGGCAAAAAAAACAAAATTGTCTTGAAATGTCTTCTTGATCACATGTAAAATCAGGCACGATTTCTGATTAGATTTTGTTTCATGAAGTGAAGAATTTCTTTCTCATAATGTTCAAACAAAGAGAGATCAATTTGGTCTCTCTAAGATGGTCATCTCTGTAGGACAGCTGCAACTGCATATTTTACGCAATCAAGCATGCATTGCCACAGTGTTGAATATGTTCCAATCACGCTCGCTTGTTGCTCAAAATGTGTTCGAAATACGATGCAGCCGATGTGCGTAATGCAAGTTGACGCTCAAAATGCCAATCCACGTGGCTGATCTGTAGGAAATGACGTCATTTGAGAGCGACGTATTGGGTGGATGAAGACTTTTGTTCGTAGCTCAAATCAATGTTTAGATCGTTTTGGGTTTATTATAAGAGGTTTTCAAGATAAGCACAAACAGCAACACTGCATGTCTTTCCAACTTCTACGATTGTCTTGAAATGGCAACTTGCAGATTCCAAATGGTCCCACGCCTGATTCCAAATTAAGCCTGTGAACAAACTGGCTGCATTGTCTTTGCTCTCTTGCACATGAACTTCAAGGAATAAGAACAACGGGTGTCGCCCCACGTTCCCCAATCAGACCAAACTCGGACGCAGTCTTTCCCACCATTTGGTTCCCCTGCCCGCCAGTTCTCATAACCCTCGTCACTCCCGTCATTCCAAACATAGTCTCCGAGCTTTACTCTGTCGTTGTAACCGATCCAAAATACGCCAGGCTCGACTGCGTTAGCGTAGGCGACGGCAAATGTGTTCTCGTCCTCGCTCAATATTGATGCCAAGTGACTTGCACTCCCCGGCGTGGAGTAACGTTGGCAGTAGGCCTCAGCTTCATCGAAGGTCCTCTGTGGAATAACGTAGAGGTAGCAGGTTTCGTTCAAGCCTAGCCATGGCGGAGTACAAACGGCCTTCTTACAAAACCGATCGCCGGACTGCTGACTTACGATCAGCATCACACACAACAGCAACACAATTTTTAGCGGCATGGTTATAAATTGATTCAGTAATGAATTTCTGATTTTTAACGTTTCAAGTTTTTGTCCAAGCGTCCTGTCTCCAAGTGTCCTCATTCAATTTGCCGTTTGCAACGAAACTCACTCGCTGATCGCTTTGTCAGTTGGGGCGACCCTTGTGTAAAAATGCGCTCAACAAAATAGGCTCTGTTTCTAAAGCTGTTTATAGACTTGTGTCATTCATAATTCATTTCTAATTGCTTACAAGGCAATGTGATGAATACTGCATGCATTCTACATGTGAAAACTAGCACCTGTAATTGATATTTTATTGTTGGCCAAATTGATCCCTAACTTTCATGATTATGTAGTCAGCAAACAAACCTGTTTACTCAAATTGTGCCTTCCTCCGGCGCGCTTTATTAAAGGCAAACAGTTTCTTGTCCAATATTGATTACGTTTTGTAACATCAGTCTGTTTGGTTTAGGTCACTTATTGTTTAAACACTCTTGGAAGGATCAAATGCCACCTTGTATATTTTGTTTCAAGTGAAATTTTTAACATGTGAGACATTACCAAGAACGTGTGTAATTGAATGTTACAAATAAAGCAGTTGAATAACATGATTGCCCTCTCTTACAATAATATATCTCGACACCTACTGCAATTATCATAAGAAACAGCTTCGATTTTTTTTTACTTTGTTCAAAATCCTCAACTTTAAGCCTTTGGTCTTTTGTTGTAAACCAGTGTAAATCATTTTGACATGTGTCCTGTGGTTCACCCCAAAGTACAGTGGCAGATATTGAAAGGCTGTGCAAAAAACATTGGAGAATCACTTTTTTCAAATACTGAAGTGAATTGGGGGATCAGATAGACCAAGGGTTAAAATACAGGGCGAGTAAAAAAAAACGAAACCCAAATGTCGGGACTGTTGTTTTATTGAAGTTCTGCATGTAGCACTTTCAAAATCTAGGATATGAAAGCCCAATTCATAAGCTTCTTTTAGTACAAGAATCATTCAAATCACTCATGTACTTTTCAAGTTACGGACTTTTAAACGCAACCACCGTTTTAAGGTTCTGTCCACGGATCACCAAAAGGTGTGCACTTTTTCAGCAAAACGAAAACATTTCGTTTGCACTACACTTTCTGGTTCTAAATGACATCACACTTCGGTACTCCATTAGTAATGACTTTCTCTTACTATTCATTCGTATGTTCTTTCAGGTGTATGTAGAGCCATTGACAGCAGGCGATCTACTCTTCATCGCCCACACTATGTATCCCATGCTGACTACACAGCTCTTGGAGAAGATGGTTGCATTCAACAACCAGGTAAAAGTTTTGATCTTATTTCTTAATATTTTTTTATTTCTTACTTCTTTAGTGTTTATATTTACGGTTATTGTGTGGAAACAGAGTTTAGTGTTATGGTGAGTCAGATGTCTCAAGACTGAAACATTTCTCACAATTTGGTCTTTTTTTTAAAATTAATCAGAGAATACTAATGAAACATCCCTGAAATAACTTAGAGTAAGAAGGCATGTAAATACTTGGTTAAAACGCTCAATTCATAACTCCGAGAAATTTCTGAATATTTCCAGAAATATATTACAGAAAAGAAGATACATTAGAAATTGGTTACCTTGACAGACATAATATTTTACATTTTCTCCCTTCCCCTACTCTTCCCCCACTCTTTTTAAAGCCAGAGTCCATCATTTGCAGCTATCCAAAAAGTAACTGGCGTAATTATTGTTGAAAAACATACTTGGTTGAAAGATAGTAAGGGGACTAAACTCCTTGTGAAATGATTCTTTTTGGCAAGCTGTCATTTTGAAGAAGTCAACGAAAGAAATCAGTGCGCGACATCGCGTACCTGCAATTGGCTAGTGAGAACGTGTCTCGGACGCTGGATTCTAGGCCCAATTCAGAACATGATTCAGCAACTTTTGATATGACATCAAGATCCTATAATGTGGTTTTTCTGGAAAAATACAGATGAAGCTAAGCTGAAACTTCATCAGATTGGTTGTTCAGCATCCTTCTTCAGATATTGAGCACTTTTGTTGCTTCAAACGAACAAAATGCACAGAAGGCAGAAAAGCATGAAAACAAAGCAAAATTTTATTGTGCAATGATGCTATGTCTTCTTCAACAGTTGTACCAGGAGACCATGGTGGAGTACCAGTGGGGTCAGCGCGGTGGTCCGTGGGAGTTTAACCTCCGTGACCTCTTCCGATGGTGTGACCTGATGGTGCACGACCAGCACGGACAGTGGCAACCCGGCCAGCACGTTGGGCTGATCTACAGGGACAGAATGCGCAGCCAGAGGGATAAACAAAAGGTCAGTAATTGAAAGTGACTTCGATCTGATACACCGTGCCCTCTGGAGACGTGCACACAATACAGAACAAAAGATTGTATGCGTCTCCACAGGGCAATTTCTGTAGATGAATACGTCTCCACAAGGTTTTCACAAAATAGATATATGCATTTTACTCAAAAACTAGGAATTTCCAAGGTGGGTTGATTTGTCGCAAATGGAAGAGTTTTAGAAAAGGGATATTAAGTCCGAATTTCAGCCAAGGAAATTAATTCTGGTTAAAATAAGAGCATTTTGAAACTTCACTGTCAGACTCGAAAATTTTACTACACGAGAACAAAGAAATGTCTCCACAAGGATACAAATTTCAGTTTACGTGGTTTCACAAAGGTTTCAACTATATCTCATGTGTACACATATTACACAGCTGGAAAGAGCTAAGACAGACAAATATACACAACTACCTTAGCATTTTACAAATGACTTTATAGATCATGTGCCCTACGATGTCATACCAGCAGGCAATCGCCGTGCAACCTAAACATTTAAGCGTCTTTCACATGTTATTTGACCCACATTAAACTGTATACATGTATTTCAACAATTTTAAAACCATTCATATTTCTAGATATAGACATGCAGTCCAGAAGAGAACCATTTGCTTAAAGTTGGCATCATGTAAGGCCAAAAAAAAAAAATATTCGGTCTCTGGTCAGACCAAAGTTCTGGAATTGCCGCGGCCACGCGGCTTTTTTTTTTTTTTTTTTTTTTTTTTTTTTCTTTTCTTCAAGCTTGGATTGTACAGACAAGGTGGGGTACTATTTTGCTTTTTTGGTGTCCTCATGTACATTGGTGTCCTCCATAATTTGCCTTGGTGCTTTCGTTCATTTGCTTTGGTGCAGTTTCCCATTCCTAGGTGCTCTTTGGTAAAAAAAATTGATGAGGTGCGGAAATAGAGGGCACTGTTGGAGCTACCGCGGAACATTTTTGGGAAAAAAAAAGATCGACGCGCATGATTAAAATCGACGCGCTGACCAGAGACCGACTTTTTTTTTTGGCCTAACCACGACATCCACTTTTGAATAAGGGAAGAATTATGTGCAGCTTTTGAACAAGTACTTTTAAAATTGAAAGCGAGGGCCAATATCAGCGGCCAGGCCCTCATTCTCATTCATAAATACCTTTCGGTCAACAAGTCAAAACAAGTATAAAAACAATTCACAAATTTATAACGATTTTGCTCACAAATTTTCTTCATATTTTCTGAAACACCCCTCTGGTCATGTCCATGGTATGTGCCTCGCGCGCGTAGTACTAAACGTCTCCTTATATGGAAATTGGCGCGAACAGCGCGTACCGCGTGATGTTTCAAACCGAATTTGTTTCAAACCAGAATTTGTTTGTTGTTTATTAGTTTGTTTACTATTGACATTTGCAGGTCCAAGAGCTTTTCAAATCTGTGTTTGGGGATGACTTTGCTGAAGCATACGAGGGCAGCAGACAGGTTCACATAACGCCTGCCTCTATTCAGGTACATGTACAGGAGACTTGTAACATTTGTGTTCTGATGATAATGGTGTAAAGAGGTTCTACCTGAAAATACTTCGTCATTTTGAAAAGTGGAACAAATCAGCATGAAATTCTGTGTGCGCTGTCTCTTCATTGTTGTACGGATATGATCTGTTTTCTCAGAAACGGACTCTCTGGGCAATACGGGCGATTCACAATGCAGTGCGCCACCAAGAGTTTGCCACGGAGAGTCCATTTTTCAAGTTTACGGTCGACAAAACGCGGTCCATTTGAATGAGTGTCAGTACACAACTTGAGCTAATTTTGTTATAGATTGGGGCATAGCGTTCTGCCGGCTCATAAAAAAACACCATATTGATTAAAAGGAAAATATGGCGAACATATATTCGAATCATACACTTATGAAATTACTGACCGGAAAAAAACAAACAATTTCAAATTGCGTGCTGCGAATTTGTCGACCATCTCCCACAATGCACTGGGAAAAATTAACTCTCCGTGGCAAACTCTTGGTGGCGCACTGAATTGTGAATCGCCCGAATTGGTAGCCTTGGTCAGATGAGATTATTATTCAGTACTTGGTCGAGGACGCTCGTGTTTTTACACGGGCAGAGAGCTGGATAGTGTGGCTACATTCTACAACAAGTTTGGAGTCCGTGGACCAAGTAGAAGTGGATATAAATCCAGCAACAAAATAAAGAAAAAGAAGGCCAGTGTGCTCCATTGTCCCAAGATGTATGCCTTGGCCAATCGATTTGCATATTGTAGCTAGTGAGGTAGCCACGCGAGGTCGCTGTTCACACTTTGTACACGGCTATTGTTTATGTACGGACAATATCAACGAATGACTTAACTACAGCTAAGCAGTCTGTTGAATATAGGTTTTGTAAAATATTCTCAAAATATCCTCCCCTGTAAAATGAGGGTTCATTTCATGAAAATGGACTTTCATCAGCGATTTTTGTGACCATTTGAAGGTTCATGGATTTCTTGAACTAACACACCTCTTTAAAAATATACAAAAATTGCCTTTAGAGGTGAAAATATGGGTATGAAACTTTTATAGTTTAGTTGAGACATACTTTCGCAGATTAGCTGAATATTATTTAAAACAAAATCACCTCGATCTCCATTCGCATCTAGTAACGACAGAACATGTCACAGATACAGAACACTACATTAGAGTTCTGTGATTTTTTTCCAGGTGGGTCACTCATTCTTAAGGAGAAACGACCACATCCCAAGCACCCAGCAGAGCCTGAAGATGCCCCTACAGTTGCTGCCTCACTGTCTGGATCCCATGGAGGCACTCATGAAGTGCGTAGAGATGAACTGGATGACAATACTGGTAAGACTGTGAAAATAAAAGATATAAGCAGATGAGTTACACTTTCCTCAGTGTTTTGCCATGTCAATAAAAAAGTTTTCAGGATTATAGTACAAGTTGGACTCTTCTTCGCAGTGTTTGAGACAGAGATACAACCACAAATATTATATTAATTTAACTCAAATTTGCGATATTTCTGTTGATTTTAAAGGGAAGGATATTATTACGTTATATTTTGAAAAGTGTCCAGACGTCTCGTTTTGGCGGAACACATCACTGTTAAAAAACATATAGGTGGTGTTTTTCTGAGGCCTACACGGGAAAAAGACCTGTAAATTTCCTTTCATCAGAAAAAGACTTTCTTCCCACTTTCCATCATGTTTTTGTTTTGCTTAAAACTTATTTCTCTCCCAAAAAAATGTTTTTGTTTTGAAATGACAAAGGAAAGGACACTGTTTTGATGAAAGTTGGAGTTGTGCAAATAGCAAACTGCGTATTCTAAAAATGGTTTTTGTGTCAACATTTTTTGACACCAAATTTTTTGACGCAGTAATTTTTTTTGACAATAGGTTGGTCCAAGTGCCAGTGGCAAGACGTCTCTGGTTCACCTCCTGGGTCACCTGACTGGTCACATGGTGCGAGTGCTGGCCATGAACAGCGCCATGGATACCACTGAGTTGCTAGGAGGTTTTGAGCAGGTAAGCGTCCAGGAAACCATTTTTAATAAGACGGAATTTTTGCGTCGGGGTGATATAAATCAAATAAGGTTTTGCCCTTCACCGACGTTTAAACACTGTATACTCAGTGTGTTACCTCTTGAGTGAAAGTTGGAAAAAATCACTTGGGTGGGACTCGAACCCACGACCTCCTGCTTTCTACTGCAGATGTCTTACCACTCGACCACCGAGCTAACGAGATTGGCTCATCTTATTAATAGTTAAAGCGGTACCCGCTGCTATGTACATCAGATTCGAACCAGCCAACCGATCCCGTTAGCTCGGTGGCCGAGTGGTAAGACATCTGCACTAGAAAGCAGGAGGTCGTGGGTTCGAGTCCCACCCGAGTGATTTTTTTCCAACTTTCACTCGGGAGGTAACACACCGAGTATACAGTGTTTAAACGTCGGTGAAGGGCAAAACCTAATTTGATTTAAATCATTTTGAATCATTAAAAGTGTTAAAGTTTCTTACAGCAGTCAAAAGTGATTTCTGGCAAACACTCTCAGCTCAGATTTTAAGCTTTTAAAATTTCTTTTCACTAACTTCAAACCAACACAAAATCCGGACTAATTTGGGGAAACAAATTTCTGAGCAATCTGTTTTGCTCCTTTTACCAAGGAATAATAGTGTTCCTGTAAGGATCTTCTCAAACAAAAATTGATCATGAAGAATTTATCTGCTGTAAGTTTTATAAAGAGACATCATAGAAATCAAATCTCTTTATTTATTTTTTTTAATTTTTTTATTTTTTTTGATAGGCTGATTTGAACAGGCATTGGGAGCAAGCTCTACAGTCTCTGAGACATGTCGTCATGGCAACAGAGCGGCTCCTCCTATTGGACGAAAGTGAGGAGGTATCCCAGCATGCACCACAACTTCTAGCCAATTGGGCCGGTCTAAACACCATGTGTCAAACAGGTATTGGTTTTAGTCTTTACAAATGTGATATGTTCTGTCAAAATAGACTTTTCTGGGCAGCTAGTTGGAATAGTTTTTAAAATACTGTTGAAATATCGATAATGTTTTTTATAGGGACATCTTCATCAGAATTGACAAAAAGGATGTATATCTTGAACTGATAACTTTCTACAAATCATAAAAGTGTAGCTTGACTCTTAAAACCATATCTGCTTTTTAAATTTTCTCACAGGTTCACAAAGAGAAAGTAGTTCCTCGACCAAGCAATCCATTGAAGGGCTGTCCGAGAGAAAACTGGACATGTTTGAACAAGTGCTCGACCAAGTCCAAAGTGTGGTTCAGAAACACGCATCGGAAACTGACATAAGTAAGAAAATTCTGGAATTACTGGAATTCGCCGAACAAAAAAAAGAGCCATTTTTGCGTTGGTGCCACACTCATGCGCATGCTGATGCACTCTTAAAGGCGGGGCGCACGCGCATCTTTGTAAACCTATTGGTCGAAGGAGCCCGGAGTTCATGCAAAACTACCTGAGCGCGACTCGTGAAAGCCTGGTACCATCTCAGAAAATATCTGTCGCCGAATTACTCTATGTCTTATAGTCATTCCCAATTTTGGAAGGTTTTGGGTGGAGTGGTTTCTGTTTTGGCCTCATTTTCTGGAGGAAGTTTCTTAGTGATGTGTGTTAGAGTCTTTCCATGTTTTTTCCAGGATGCTGTCCATGGGCAGGCCACTTTACCACAATTGAGCTCAGAAAAGTATGCATGGATAAATTTATGTAGCTGATAGGTTCACATTAGAGACTGCCATAACATGTTACTGGTTTCATAGTGTGTCTTACTCTGTAGTCTTTTAAAAAAAATCTTTTTCACATTTAAATCTTTTCACTTTCAAATCTAATTCCCAAATTTCACCTTGACCTAGGAAAAATCTGTCAGCAGACATGTTTAAAAAAAACCTATTATTTTCTATTTCTCATTTGAATTTAGAATTCACACTTCTTGCTCACTTTATTTCCTTTTTCTAGATGAGAAAGTCGGTCATGTGACCAATATGGCCGCCCAGCTGAGAACGAGGCTCGAGAAGGAGGGTCGTACCATTCAGCAGGGCGGGGGTGGCAAGTTTGAGTGGGTGGACGGGCTGCTGGTCCAGGCGTTGAAGAATGGCGACTGGCTGCTCATTGATAATGTCAACTTCTGCAGGTAAATGACTTTGTGGTGATTTAGAATGAGGTTAATTTGTAAATCTCTTCTGACTAAAAGTGGTTTGCTATGCAGCATTTGTACAAGTAGTGTGCCATGGAGACCAGCTCTTCGTCTCACTGGTTAGTTTGGTAGCATGCTACCTCGATGGGGTGGGCCACAGCACCAACTGCTTCCCCCTTCTGAGGTGGACAGGAACAGTAGACCAGCGGAGCGGGAATGGGAAAGTGGAATTGGACTGAGGATCGAACGACTTAAGTGGGCTACTTGGAGCTTTCTTTAAAGGAAACATGCAGTGGAAATTCAGCTCATCTTGTTTTCATGCACATTACTATGTGTAGCAACAATACATACAAGATCTTAATACTTGTTTTCATTGGAAGTAACTAGAAAGTGGTAGTTTTTCAAATCCTTTCACCAATACATGCAAGAGGGCGCTATTTTGCTTTTGTCACACAAGGTACTCCTTGTCAAAAGTGCATATGAAGTACAAAAATCATTCTTTCAAAATTACCCCCAAAAGAAAGTTTTGAAGAAATATTGGCCACAACTATTGTCCAAACAAGCTGTTTAACATGATAAACAAGTAAAAAGTGGAACTTACTCCAAGAAAATGAAAAAAAGTTTGATATATTTTTGCAAAGGTATAGAGACACTACTGTTCTGCCTTGAATGACATCACGCTTTGGCTCATGAATATGGAAATTTTCATAAGCATAAAAAATAAAATATTGAAATTTCTTCCTTTTACCGCTACAAAGGAGGAGGAAAGTCATAGTTACATGGCAAGAAAGCTGTTTTAAATGTTTTTAAGTCATAAAAATCCTCAGAAAAATTCATTTCATGGACCCTTTAACCTTATATTAATGGGTTCTTATATAGCGCTTTTAACTAAGATCAAAGTGCTTTACATTAGTACTACCCCTGATCATTGGGCCCACGAAACATTCCAAATACCATCTCAGCTCCCTGGGGAGTATACAGCTCGATGCTGCCTGTTAGGCGCAAGGAAGCTAATTCAATCACAATAACCATCACTGCCCTCACAGGTACCCATTTACTCCTGGGTGGAGAGAAGCAATGAGTGACAAAGTGCCTTGCCCAAGGACACACGCACAATAGCCGCAGGCTGGACTCGAACCCACAACCTACACATAGTTAGAGCTAAAATTGGTTACCAGGGGTACTAATACCTTCTTATAAATTTCCTTTCATCAGTCCCTCCGTACTGGATCGTCTCAATGCCCTCCTAGAACCCAACGGAGTCCTGAGCATCAACGAGCGAGGCGTGATCGACGGTCACATACCCACTGTCAAGCCCCACCCAGACTTCCGCCTGTTCCTGGCCATGGACCCTAGGCACGGGGAGATCTCACGAGCCATGCGCAACCGGGGGGTGGAGGTCTACATAGTGGGAGAGGTCAGTTGCCATTTTTTATACAGTCTTAAAATCCATTGGCAGATCAAGTGGCTCTTCCAGAAATCATCCACCCTCCCCCATACAAAAGTATAAAATCTGCTTAACCCTAGTCTTCTGCACATCACAAGCCTTCAAGTTTTGCAAAACAACTTTTGTAAATAGAGTTTGCGCCCACACTTCAAATTCCTTGGAGGTAATCTTCTGTGGAGTATGGATAATCCCTGCACACTTCTTTTGTGTGGTTAAGCTCAGGGCAAGCAGGCAGATTCAGTAGGGTTCGAAATGAGCGGTAGCCCGCTAGCCAAATGCTAGTCAAAACAGCGGCGGGCTAGTCAAACTATTCCTTAACTAGCCCAGCTGGTGAGTGAAAAATTATTGGGCTACGGCAAAGATGAAAGGACAGGAAGAAATAAATCATTTTTTTCAGAAAGAAAACCCCATCAATTTGTGTCTAATTTTATCAACTGTTTTAAAGGGTTAAATTAATAGATCTGTTTATCAAAAACCACTGACAAAATTGCCTCAGAATTAAGCCTGAAAATACGCCATTTTGTATTTGAGATAAGAAAAAAAATGCGGGCTAGTGAAAATGCCTGCGGGCTAGTGAAGAGTTCGTTTCAGTAGCCCGGCTGGCTAGTGAACAAAAAAGTTTAGGTTGAACCCTGAGATTCAGTTACGCTTCACTGCTCTCAACAGAGAGACTCTCTGTGTGTGACACAGTTACTTTAACACTTCATATCCCTTCACCTGAAACTGACCTGCAGGGTTTTAAAGGAAAGCAAGAGGTCGTGGGTTTGAGTCCCACCCGAGTGATTTTTTGCAACTTTAACTCGGGAGGTAACACACTGAGTATATAGTGTTTATACGTCGGTGAAGGGCAATTAAATATATTAATGAATATCACCCCGACGTAAATTTCATCTATGAATAGGGTTTTAAAGGGTTATACATATTGATCTGAATATTGACTTCCACCACTAGGCGGGTTAAAGCATTCAAATTATAATTGCTTCAACTCGGGTCACTCCCTTCGGTTTCGAAAATATTTTTAGGGACAAATATAATTGAACCTGTTTTTGCCTGTTTACCCAAAATCTGCGCATGTCCATTGGAAAAGCCCATACAATGGCAAATAGTCTGAACACCATTTTGTGACTTTCTTTGTTGTGAATCGTGCGTTGACATATTAAAGTGTGGCTCTTTTTTGTCTTCTTGCCCGCTTTAAACAATTTAAAAAAAACGTAGTTTCTTTTCTTGTGGTATACTTTTGTTTATAACTTCTACTTAAGCTGATCAGAACTTCTGAAGTTATTTAAGCAGTCCTAAAAAGAGCCCAGGCCCAACTCTGAAATGAAACAAAACTCCACAATTGCTTGTTATTAGTGTTCATTAATTGTTGGTCATGTGAAAGACTTTTCTTAATCGTGTAACATACTTAGAGTAAAATCTGTGGACATCACATTCCTTATTTTATATCTGAAGTCTTAGTCCCAAACTTGGAACCAGACTCTGGTCTGAATGTTCACATTTTTTGGGGAATTTCAGAATGAGGGTGGTGCCTATGATCGTCTAGATCTCCTAGCCTTACTGAATGGCATTGGGCTGACGGGGGACAAGACTGCTGGAACTTTGTTGGGGCTTCATGAGGATATCAAACTCAATATGCCAGGTAAGAAAATTACTGAGACGCTCAAATTCCTGAGATTTTGCTGTCAAGGAACATGTTTATATAGAGCGTAAGAAATAGGTATTTTTAAGGTGAGCCTTAAGGCTAATATCATTGTACCCTAATGTGGCACGGCCCCTAACGTGGCGCACTTTCATTTTTCGCCTCTAGCGCCTAGCTAGAGCAAAGGTTTTACCTGAAATTTTACAGTTTTAGTGAAATTTCATCAAGCTCTAAACATCCCGTTCATAAATCATGAGTTTATCTACCCGTTACAAAGTTGGCCGAGATATTTATTTTGGCATGATTTTCCGATTTTTTTTTTCTCAAAGTGCCAAGTGAACCCTTTGAAAAAGCGCCCAAAAATAAGAAAATAGTTTTCCAACAAACTTCTAGTTGGGTATGTAAGTAGAGATAATAATGGTTTATCAGAATTTATCAACTTTAAAGAAAAGTGTTAACTTGGGATTCTTCTGAAATTTATTCAAGTGTGCCACGTCATAGGGAACACTCGCCGATTTTGTGCCAAATTTCCGGACGCCACCGTTTTCAAATTTCGGACTCAATTTCAAGACAATGAAATTGTCCACAAAGGTTAAACAGCAAACATTATTAAGGTTAAAGTACCAGTATTTAACTGATTGACTTTGAAGTTTGTCAACAAAGAGGTTTGGCAACACTGTGTGTGGAAAGTCCGGGGAAACGTTTGACGTGCGCCACGTTAGGGAACACCACTATACAAACACATACCATCGATTCTACGTTGCTTTAGGGATCTGAGTGGTCCCCTAAACCTCTGCCGGTTATTTCGTAGATTTTTTTCATTTTTCCCAATCTCACTCCTGCTGTACCTGGCAATTAATTACAATCCTTTATAATTGTTTGTTTAGAAGCACAAACCGGACTTTAAGTACATCGCAAAACTAGGAAGCGTAGGAGTGTCTAATGCAGTGTTTTTCAAGCAAAGTTAACAAAAATTAAAAGTCAGAAACACTTATTCAAATAGGGATTTCAAATTAGGCAGTAAAAAAATAGGGAATGAAACCCTACTTTGCTAAAAACCACTTTTTAAGTAGAAAATAATAAGAAACTAATATTTTAGGAGTGAGGTTGAATAGCTTAACCCTTTAGACTTTATACCTCCCGAGAGCGCCCTGCCTTTTACTCCTCGTACAACCCCAAACTGCTCTGCCTGTTGCCCTCTGTACTGCCCCAAACTGCTCTGCCTGTTACTCCCTGTACTGCCCCAAACTGCTCTGCCTGTTACTCCCTGTACTGCCCCAAACTGCTCTGCCTGTTACCCCCTGTACTTCCCCAAACCACTCTGCCTGTTACCCCCTGTACTTCCCCAAACCACTCTGCCTGTTACCCCCTGTACTTCTCCAAACCACTCTGCCTGTTACCCCCCTGTACTTCCCCAAACCACTCTGCCTGTTACCCCCTATACTTCCCCAAACTGCTCTGCCTGTTACCCCCTGTACTTCCCCAAACTGCTCTGCCTGTTACCCCCTGTACTTCCCCAAACCACTCTGCCTGTTACCCCCTGTACTTCTCCAAACCACTCTGCCTGTTACCCCCCTGTACTTCCCCAAACCACTCTGCCTGTTACCCCCTATACTTCCCCAAACTGCTCTGCCTGTTACTCCCTGTACCGCCCCAAACTGCTCTGCCTATTATTCCTCGTACCGCCCCAATAGCAATCAATAGTTTGATGGATTCATGGAGGAGTTAGTTCAATGTAATATAATTTAATACAAGTGCTAAAGGATTAAATTTAATATTAAATTTCTGTTTGTATTCAAAGTACAGGTACGCTGTGCATGTGCATGTATCATTGAAAGAGGAAAACACCTCATGAAAAGCCTGTTTAAGAACTTGTATCTAAAGTTTGCCTTTGGATCTTTTGACCCATTCTGTATGTTCAGGTCCTGTATATCTATTATTCTTGTTTAAACACGGTGATATACTTTCACTGTGAGCTTATCAGCAACAGCCAGTTCTCCAGCAGGTGTCAGTGCCATGCTTAGCGGGTTACACAGACCAAGCGCTAAGCAGCCAAGGTACTCCCCAACAGGGTTGAAGTAGTAGATCCCCGATTGCTCCTTGACATCCAAGTGCCCTGCTACAAAGATGTCACCTGTGGGACTGCAGCATATACCGGTCGGATTCCGAAACTTCGCTCTGGCGAGTGTGTCCACCGAAAAGATGGGGTTACCCTCGTAGTCAATGGACGTCAGTCGGTTGTCTTCGTAGCTGCTGTAGATTAAGGAACGATTCGGAGGAAGATTCACGGCAAGTTGATTTTCGACTGTCGGGGAGGGGATCGTGTGTATGAGAGCTCCGTCTGGTTTGTGGAGGGTTATCACTCCGCGACCACGATCACCGACTGCGATTTGGTTGTCTTGATCCACTGCAAGTGCTGAGAGCAATGTTTTGGATTCTTCTTCCTTGTCATCGCGAGACGGCGTGAACTGGAAGAGGTACTTCAAATCCTTGTCCAAGACCATCACCTTTGGACTGTCGATGACGACAAGCTGATCTAGGGTATTGATGCAGACACTGAACGGCTTCCGTAGCTTCTCCATTTGCACCCCGGCGGAGTTTCTGCGTTGCTCTCTTCCCTTGGGATCCGTGATGATGATGAGGAAGTTCCTCTCGGAATCGACCACCGCGATGTGCCCTTTAGAGTTTGCCGCCACTCCTCTGGCCATCTTGAAGTTGCTGAACTCTTTGACCAGCTTCCATCGTTCCTCTAGGAGCAGAGTTCCAAGGGGTTCCATGGTTGGGGCACTACCAGGCTTGAAGTTGAGGTACGACAGTCCATGTAGGAGACCGTGGTCTTGAAAATGTACAGCCTTAACGCCATGAATCCCATTCAGTATCGTCTGCTTTTTAGCCAGCAGCTCGCAAGGACTAGCTTTTGCCACAAAGGACCTTACCGTATCCAATCTCCTCTCCGTGTTGGCAAGAGTCTGGTTTTGATTGGTCAGCGAGATGTCTATCTCTACTGCCCTCTTGTGTTTGACTTGGTCAATTCTCTCCTGGAGGACCTTCTCCTGTTGTTGAACGTACGCGTGGTACTCGTTAGCCTTCTCAGAAACTTTCTGCCTGGCCTCTGCGATCATTGTTTCCAGTCTGTCCCGGGAGTGCTGTGAGGAAATTTTAGCCGCCTTCTGCTCCCGATGCACGAGGTCCACCTTGGCGAACTCCGCATCAACTTGCTCCCGGAAGGAATGATCGGCTTCCTCCAGGCCGACGTACTTATGCTCTGGCTGACTGTGAGCGACGACGGTGCACGCGCCACAGATCAGCACCTGGCACGTCTCACAGAAGAAACACAACTCCTGGCCGTCGTGATTACCGCACTTGGGAAGATCCTCCAAAGCCACAACATCATGAGATCGCATCTTCAACATCCGTTGATGAGCTTCCTGACAATCCTTGCACAGGTAATCCTCGCAGTCCACGCACCGCGACACCGCCTCCTGACCCAGGTCGCAGGCTTCGCATATAACCTTTGACCTATGAGCGACCTCGTCGTCGACCAGAATCAGGGAAGCCAACGATGAGCAACTGACCAGGCCATTAACACCTTGCTCCGGCAGGAACGTATTCTGCTTGCAAACCGGACACTGGACGTTAACTGCATCGCGGTGCTTGTTCGGAAGGAGTTCTTCCAGACATTTCAGACAGTAGCTATGGAGGCAGTCCAACATCTTAGGATCAGTAAACCGCTTGAGGCAGATCGGGCAGTGTTCTAAGGGGTCGTGATGCAGCTTGTCCCCCTTGCTGGAGTCCGGTACTGAGACCCTGGTAGCCATCTTGATAGCTGAAAGACGGACAAATTCAAGTATTAGGGTTTATAAATATCAATAATAAATGTGACCGGCTCCACAAAAAAGGGCATTACGTAAGTCACGCTGAGCATCATTGTGTAATGGCCCGCTCAACATTGAGAGGGTGAACATTTCGTCAACATGTTATTTTAATTTTTTATCACGAATGACATCTTTAATACCTACAGTTTCAGGTTTCATTCACAGAAATGTTGATTTTGATGAACAAAGTGGGAAAAAACCAGCCATTTTGTGTGCATCGTTCTGTTGTTCTACAACAAAGCTGGCTATTTCAAAGCCTGTTTTCTCAGTTGTGTAATTTGAACTCCAAGGAAGTACTTAATATGCAAATATGTCATATCTCCAGAATGGGAGGGGCTATGGAGCTCTATTATATACCAAATGAAAGCGTACGTTGTGGGCTTTCCAACCATGTATATAACTCAATTTCAGTTTTTTGAGACATAATACCCTTTTTTTGTGGATCCAGTCACAAATAGTGATACACGTTATCTTGATAAAGTGATAACCAAAGATCCTATATTACGTTGGGGACCATGACTGTTTTCAATTCAAAAACTTTTGGAGACCTTAAAACTGTCGAGATTTTTAAGAACATGCTGAAGGAACAACATACAAGAAATTGAAATGTCAATCATAATTCAAATTGCAATGTATGTTTTTACTGGATTTCACGACCAATTAAAGAACATTTCAAGATAGGGTTGTTACATGTACATGCACATCAAAATGCCATTTTCCTATTTCCTTGAACAATTGCACCTTGACAAATAAAAAGAGATTGCCACTTAGATCCAGCATGGATATTTCCACATGTACATGTATTTAGTGTCCAATTTAAGTTACAATTTGATCAAACAAATTGACAGATAATGTATTAAACCATCCTATGCAAACAGACATTCTGTGCCAAGTTGTCCTTGCAGTCAAAATCAATCAAGTGGCTGTTTTCAACCATTAAGAATTCCCAGCCCACATAAAGCAGGATTGACTGGCTGGGACTGCTTAACTAACTTGATACAGCTATGCTTTGACTCTGGGAGAGTGATAAAACAGCTGTGACCACAACTTGCCTGCTTTGCCTGTTGACCCAGTTTGACTAGTCACGGTGCTTGCTTGACATGTGATCTGACTGCTGGTGACTACACATGTAGACTTTTTTTTTTAAAGTATAGCAGGTCAAGTGGAAGTGAGTTTTGACTGTCTGTGACTGCTTAATTAGCAGGAGGGTTAAACTCATATAGGAGTACAGAATATCAGTAATGTTAAAACAGGCATGCAATTTTTCCTCAGATCAGCTGAATTCCTTGTTTTTCATTTCACAATTATGCCATTAAAAATTGGAAAACACTGTACGAAGTCTAGTAAAGATTGGAGTTTCCTTCTTTTTTTGCTTCTTCCTAGATTTATGCACGTTAAAAGGAAGTATAAACGAAGAATTTTGTGCATTGATTGTTTTGTTAACTGTACCTTAAATAAAAAGGGAAAAGGTTAATCACAGACATTTTCAAACATTTGGTAAATATAAACACTCTGGCCTGAGTATCAATTCCAATGTACAGGGTGGAATAAAAAAACCGAAACCCAGATATCATTGCTAATTGCAACAGAAGTAGGGCACATGTGAATCAGAGGGAGATATCCTCTTTTAGGGTTGAATCTCCTCTTTAAAATGTCCTTACATTCACAGTTGACTGAGCAGTGGCCAATTTTATGAAAGGGGCTATTTAGAGACTTGCGCCACTTTTCATGGTGAAATCTCTTTTTTTCCCCCACCTGCCTTGAATGGCAACCATAGATATTCACTCTGTGACAGATGACACAACAAAAACCACAATAGGAAAGTGGCTCAAGGTTACATTGTTTTTATCCACCCTGTATATGTGCATACATGTACATGCAATAAAATCAACCATAATTCATTTATAATTGTCATTTTGGACCCCTTCGTTTCAGTTTGAACTTCAGTAATAGTAATTCTAACTTACCTTTGATGGTTAATTTTACGTAGACTGGTATAGAACCTGTCAAATTTGACTAGCAAAATGTCCATAAATCTGTGTCGGTACATACATGTACATGTAGATCTGTGTATTAAACCACAGATGTGCATCACGTGCCTACAATTAGTGTAGCGAGCACAGTGTTACAATAGGCCGACTTGGTTGACTGAGCTAGTCTTTTGTTCTCTAAAAAAGAAAATTGGCTGCTGAACTTGTGTGTTAAAGTTCATTGCCAAACTCCAGTAGCTTTTATCTACAAATTGTGTACAAAGGGTATTTGTGTGTGAACTGGGGAGTTTTTTTTTTTATTTATTTATTTTTTTTTTTTACATTTGAACTGTGCAAAGTTAAGTTTGTTTGCTGTTAGTGTATTGAACTGTGTGATGACTCATTTAAATTCAACAAATATATTTTTAAGTTCATTCTTAAGGCCCTATTTATATAAGTTTGAAGAAGCAAGCGGAAATTTGGCAAAAGGAACTCATGCTATTCTGACGTGCATGCGATGTATTTGAACTTTTGAAAACTGATTTTTGCATTTTTGGGCACAAGTCTTTAAGATTGTGAACTTTTTTTTGCAGAAACTACTGTTTTGGAAAACTTTTAATTAATTTTCAAATTTGCCAGCAATATAGACTTGAAAATGTTTTTTTTTAGCTGGTTGATGTAATTAATAAAGATTCTAAATCAAAGCTCTTTTTTGAAAATTAGTTAATTGATTTTATACAAAACATATCAATTAATGTTACTGACATTGTACACAGTACAAAAAAAAAATTACAAGCAATCTTTCAGTAACGTCCTCTAAAATCTCTGTGCAAATCAAAGTCCAAAACGTTATCGTTGTTTTGTTTAAACTAATCTACCTACATGTAAGCAAATGATTAAATTTTTAGATAAACAGAATTTATCGAAACACATGACTGGGTCACGAGTATGCACGTGGCAAAAAATTGTAATTTGACATTGAGCAGACGAAATGCAACCTGGACAGAACCAAGTACCAAGTGCCCAAGGACCTAATACAGTATACTACTAAACATTGGAAACAACTATTGGCCAAAATATCTTTTTAATCCAAAATTTGATTATTAAAACTGTTCAAAGTATTTCTAAGATTACAAATTGCAACTTGGAGCTTTGTTTTTCTTTACGAAGTTTGGTTGACAAAATGATATTCATTATTTAAATTGATCAGTTTTGGGATAGTATTACAAGTTTAATTAAACTAATTGAGAGTTTGTTTTTAGAATTTTAATAGGGTTTTTTATTTCAAGTTAATTGTATTATAAAGATTCAAGTTAAACTGAAAAAAAGGATAAAAAAAGTTAAATATATAAAAGCACATAACATTTCCAAATAGGTTTTTTGTCAGTTTTGCTTAAATTAAGACTTCTAAAAGGCTACCGTTTCATTCAACAATTCATCCTCTTCTTATTTCGCTTATTCCACAGATCAGTAAATTTTACTATAATTTATTGCAGTGTCTTGTTTACTATGCAATTTAAAGTTATATTCCCCATAATAGTTTCGACTTTTGAATTTCATCCTGAAAATAGTTTCCTTTTGTAAATTGCTATTTTTTTCTAGTAATACAAAGGTGAGTCACTTTTGAAAGACACATCGACCCAAAAAAAATCGGCCGATGTTTAGTTATTGAATTATTAATTTACAATTTTGAGTTATTAGCTGCCAGACAATAATGTATGAACCGGGAGCAAGTCTCATCTTGCCAGCAGATCTTCTTGTGCCCAAATCAAAAAAAAAATTCTCCAGAGGATTGGAGACGTCCAAAAAGAAAAATAGAATGTTTTTGTTGTTGGAATAAAACATACAAATTGAAAATCTATTCAGAGAAAAACTTGAACTTGTTGAAGAGCATGGAGAGGCAACGTTAACTTCGTTTGCAAAAAGATGCATTTGACCTTGTGTTGTCTTTTTTTGTTGTTTTTTTCTCCAGGGAGCGATGTTGCAAGCCTTCCCAGCATCCTCCTTGCTGCTTCAGTCGCCGTGCAACTGCTGGAACGGGGTCGGGATGTGAATAGCGCCCTCAAGCAAGCATGCACTGACGTGTTTGTTCGGGGTCAACTGTCAAAGGTCAACAAGCAGGTCAGCAAAACCTTCATTTCAGTTTTACACATGGAGTTTTAAAAAACTTGGGCTTTGTTTCAGTTTTACTATCAGGGGAATAGTAATTGCCTGAAGGCAAACCTGGAGATGATTCCATGATTTGGAAAAATTGCCAGAGATCCAAAGTTAGCTATGAAAGTAGTATTATCTTTACAGTATTTTGTGGTATCATTGAGAAGTATTTTTTTTTTTTTTTTTTGCAGAAAGCAAAAGAGATTGTTGAGAAGCATCTCAGTGGCATGGGCACCGACTTGGATCAGCTGGTACCCATCGACCCAAATGGATTGCTACATGCTGAAGCAGATGACGATGTGTCAATAGAGGGAGCCCTTCATCCTCGCCACCTTCCATCTGTGGACGAGCTCAGCCGCAATGCATCATGGGCCATGTTGCGGAGGGAATTTGCCCTGCTTGCCTGTTTACTAAGCGGGGTAAAAAATCAGGCTGAGCGGCAGAGCATTGTTCGGCTCTTCCGACCGGCCACCCTCCTTCTGTTAGAACAGGCCACGCCCACCGACTGGGAGCTGCGAGGCGATTGGCTCGCGACAACGTGGACAAAAGCGCAGCGGGAAGTTGATGACAGAACAGCGTTGATCAGGACGGGAGGAGCGGGGTTTGTGGCGTGTATGCCGGAGATTGCTGTAGAGGCACTGAAAGTTGTCTTTCAGCATCCGCTGCGAAAGAGACTAGCAGAGCTATTGGAAAAACTAGAGCTTTCTGAAGGTAAACATTGGTCATGACGATGTCAAAAAATTGTCCTCATTTTCGGACAAGGGTTAATGTTTGTACAAGGTTTCATCATCATCCCTTGAACCGTTTGGAAGAAATTTCATTTCTTTTAATGTGGACGCTTCCCTTTCGGTATTTTGTACAAAAAAAACATTTTCAAGGCATGATCTATCGGATTATAAAGTGTGAAGATGATCGTTCAATGAGTTAAAATTGAAACAAACCTGTCACTATTTGAACTAAAATCACTTGTAATTTGATACATGATGATGTCATTATGACGTCACACTTGTAGGCACATGATGATGTTCAGGTTGATGTTCATAGCAAGTTTGAAGTTCATGTGTTCCATTTGAAAGAAAAGCTGTGGAGAATTACTGCCCCCCCCCCCCCAAAAATATACCAGAACAAAGACAAAACCGAAGGGTGTTATCACAGCCCCAGCGCCCAATTAGCCTAAACTCCGCTATTTTAACAGCGTAATCTGCTAGTGTTAATTATTTCTTGTTTGCTCCGAATACCATGGGTTTACCTGTGCCATATCAGAAAAATGTAATGACCCCCTGTTTGCTCTTGTAACTTAGCCAAATAGCGCCCTCTTTAGTTTGTGTATTGAGTGGATACATTTTTGTAGAATTTTTTTTTTTTTTTTTCCGACAGAGTGCAAGATGTTGCAGCACTACCCACTTGATCTCAACTTGGCGCCTCAACTTCTTGACAAGCTGGCCAAGCTCAGTCAAAAGAGGGCGCCAGACAGAATGGCGGTCGACGACGAGCAAGATGAAGAAGAGACAGACGCTGGATGCAGTGTTCTGGAAGAAGCCACGGCCATTGCGAGAAGGTTTGGAAATTAGTTTACATATAAATTGGCCATAGCTAAAATTTACACAGGCTTCTATAAGGACTTGGCCTCAATTTTCATCCATAATAGATTGCAGCCGATATTTTGATACAGTTATTGAGCCATCTTGGTCAGATTCCTTGAAGATGGCATAGTGATCACAGTAATTTTCAAGTTCATCAAAGGTGCCAGACTACTTTTTCTACAAATCTTGGTAAAATGTAATTTTACAGAAATGAAATCAAGATGGCAACTGTGTCATTATTTCCGTACTTGACAAGAAGCAAAATGTTTTAGAATTTTTTTTTTGATAATGTGGTCAATAGCCAAAAATAACTTTAAAGGCCACAGTACAAATGTATCTTCAAAAAAACATTCTTGCAAATGCGAAAATCTCTCCACAATTAAAAAGAATTTGCTCTTGCAGATTTTGAGAATCTTTTTATTCAGACTTTTCCCCCCAAAATTGAAAAGTGTCACAAATCATTGAAGATGTTCTTACACAAAACTGACACTTCAGAACAAGTATATTGTTGGTAGTAGTGTGAAGAAGTGTCCAAATGACCCATGAAATGGTATGGGCATGTTGTCCGTATGCAACATCATCGCCTCCCATTCCAAGCATACCAGATTGACTTGCACTGAGACCACTTAAGTCAAGTCGAGCAAGTTAAAGGGATGATACAACATTTGCAAACATCAAAAAACGAAATGACCAAAATGTCACGAAATAAGTACTGGAATGTTAGGGAATGATAGTCCAAAGCATCCTGTAAAATCGTGGCTCTTGATGTGCTAAAATTTTCAAGAAAACTTGTATTTTTCCAACACTGGTCGGCTGACCAGCGTTGGAGAAACGTTGGACTACAAGAACATGATTGGATTTCTTGGTTTCTCCAGCATCTACGAACCCAAAATGCTAAACAAGTCAGTGTAACAATATTTTCTATTACATACTAATCCTTCAAATCCATTTATGTCTGAAAATTGCAGCAAAAGCAAATGTTGTACATTAAATCTCGTTGATTTTTCTCTTACAGGTTACATCTGCTACTCAGGATCACAGTCCTACGCCATATTGAATACTCCAGACTGAGGCAAGCAGTGGATGTTAAGCACACTCCCACCACAGCTATCCAGCTGTCTTACGCACTGCATCTTGGTAAGTTACTTTTAAATCAATGCCATCAAACCAAAATCAAGAATATAAACAGTGTTGTCAAGGTACTTATAATTGATCGCAAGTACATCACAAGTCCAGTCACAAGTAAATCACAAGTGTAGTGACAAGTAAATCACAAGTCCAGTCACAAGTAAATCACAAGTCCAGTCACAAGTAAATCACAAGTCCAGTCACAAGTCGAGTCACAAGTAAATCTCAAGTCCAGTCACAAGTACATTACAAGTCCAATCACAAGTAAATCTCAAGTCCAGTTACAAGTAAATCTCAAGTCCAGTCACAAGTCCAGTCACAAGTAAATCACAAGTCCAGTCACAAGTACTTACAAGTCCAGTCACAAGTATTTTTATTTTTTTATGTATGTATATTTAAAGTGTTTTTATGTACCCATATCTTACTATTTACTATTTTTAGTGTTTTCTGTAATTGTAGTTTTTAATGAATTGTTCTGTATAATTGCTGGGCACCTCTGGAAAACAGTGTACCACTGAGAGGTTTCCCCAGGGTAAATAAGAAATAAATAAAATAAAGTACATCACAAGTCCAGTCACAAGTAAATCACAAGTCCAGTCACAAGTACATCACAAGTCCAGTCACAAGTACATCACAAGTCTAGTCACAAATACATCACAAGTCTAGTCACAAGTACATCACAAGTCCAGTCTCAAGTACATCACAAGTCCAGTCTCAAGTACATCACAAGTCCAGTCTCAAGTACATCACAAGTCCACTCACAAGTACATCACAAGTCCAGTCTCAAGTAAATCGTAAGTCCAGTCACAAATACATCACAAGTCCAGTCTCAAGTAACAGGGGATGTACAATAACAAAGGAACATCTCTGTCACAGTTCATTTGAATACATGTAACTTGTCCAACATATGCGCATGGGTATGACACATGCGGTTTGAACATGCATTGTGGCATTGGAGTACAAGTTACCCATACGTGCAGTTGGTGGTGCTTAATTGATCGGCCAATGGACTACTTTATCACTGTTTTTAGGCCTGATCAGTATTGATGATTTGCCGCACCCTCTGTTGGCCCACCTCTACCCCTTCTTCCGATCGCTGGACGCATTCATGGCCGACGCCATATCGACTGGGAAATCAAACCTCTCTGAAGACACAACTTACGAGGTAAAAACAAAATTTGAATCATTTGGGATTTTCCGAATCTTGGCTTTCTCTCTAGCGTTGGCTTCGGGGGATTTTTGGCCTTCGGCCTCATGGTATGTGGGACACAGACGCACTACATTATTCCGTGTTCCACTCGCATTCACCGGATAACTAATAGTATTTCCTTGACTTTGTGTATCGACAGATCCTATTGGCCCTGCACTGGAGAGACAGATGCTGGCAGGTGTGTGACCGGCCAATCAAAGGCAGCGACTCTTTCCACCTGGGGCAGTTCGCCTTGCACTGGGCATGGATGACAAAGAAACTGATCGCAGTTGTCACTCACTTGCTACTTGGAAATGACAATGCGTAAGTACCAAAAAAAATCTGTTATTTAATTGGCTACCAAACTTTTCTTGCACATATTTTTTCTACTTTTTTGTTCCTTACTGAAAGTAACGGGAATTTGTGTTATTAAAACAAGAATATTTATTAAAACTGTTGGAAATTTGTACTTTTTCTTGTGATATATTGCAAGATGCATTTTTTTCAGTTTTTGATCCAACAAAATTTAACAGCATGCCAGTAAAGTTGTTACTAAGAAATGTAAAGTTTTGAAAATTGTGTTTCGCCCCTTCACCAAACCTTACGAGCACTGTAAGCTGGATGTATTCAAGCAGCTTGCAAGGAAAATTTGCCAGTTAGCTTTGATGGGACTGGAACCTTCTACATTCTACCTAGTAGTACAGATATCGGAACCACTCAACCGTCAAGCTTTTCTAGACCCTGTTGGCTGGTTCCAATTTATACTCAATTTGTTTTAAATCGAAATTGCAGTTTGCCACAAGACTTGCAAACAGTAACCAACCGGATCACCGATCACCTGGCTTCCATAGCGACGACCCTCTCTGCTCCCCAACACCAGAGGGCGCTGGTGCACCACATGGGCCAACCGCTGCCGTACAAGTCCAGTCTCTGCGCAGAGACCTCCGAGCATCTTTACAAACTCTGTCAGACTGTCGACATCATGGGCTCGGTTGCTAGGGTGGACGTTGGTCGCCTCGACAACCGGAAACGGAAGAAATTGCAAAGATGCGTAATGTTTGCAGTGAAGGATGGAAGTTTTGCTTGCAGGAAAATTATTGATTTACTGGTTGCGGTTTCCCAATTGAACAACCAAGCTGTTGATTTTATTGGTAAGTATTATGTTTAGTTTTGTGAACTTCTTTCTTGAAAAACATTGTTAATTTTTTTTTTTTCGTGTGCAGCTTTACCATGTTGAAAATACAGGTCAATAAGCATTTAGTTTTAGGTAATCCAGGGCATTTAAGCTAGCCTAAGCCTGTGCATTATTTGGCTTGATAATGCGGCCTAAAGAGTCTAAATTTTGCCACTTAAAATCCTGTCAGGTTTCAAACTCGAGGGATTTTAAAATGCAACATTATTTATGGAATTCTGAACATATCAGAAATTCACAACAACTTGCCTTGTTTATCAATTGGTAAAAACTGCTCTGTGATTAAATAAACACTTCGATACATAGCAGACTTTTTTTTCGCATATCAATGTCTCAAAATCACAATCTGTCAATGAAATCTGTGGTGGAAGATGTTTCAACTGTTCTTCAATTATACGATTATTTTTCAAATTGCATCACTGCCAAGGAATCTATGGCCAACAAGATTAACAAAACGGAATTTACAATCACTATCCGCTCCGTTCACAAATACCCCCTCACCGACAAAGAAAGTGCAGTTGGGGGTGACCGACCGACGCCATCTTGCCTGACTGCAATTTTGCCGAGATGCGCGGCCAGCACTAGCACTGCGTGTACATACTGGTACAACTGAATCCCTTGGTGTACGTGCGTCACACACAAGGAACGGTGCGCGTCAACCAGCGAAATGTCCCGCCCATGGGACGTCGTTGCTAGGTAAAAGGGCACCCTCTTTTGTTTGCGCACAGAGCCCATACGACAACTGGAAATTTTTGGTTTATTTGTATGACATTTGTCCTGTTACTTACCACAGAGGATGACCTTCTAGACTCCATTCAAGCCGTCGAAGCCAACCTCGCCTCCCATGGACTCTACCACCAGGACGGCAATCAACATATCCCCATGGAAACAGAAGATGATGTCAGCCAATCAGAAGAAAGTGGAGCCAAGACCGATGTGGCCTCGAAAATTGGCCTTTGGCCGCTGTGGGACCACGTGGCTCTGTGCGCAGAACAGACGGTAAACTGTAACCTCCTCGCAAGGAAAATGAAAAGGTATGTCTGGTTTGGCAAACCAGAATCACATTTTTCAAAAATGTTAAGCATCAATTTAAGGTAGATTAAATCATTTGTAATTTGTGCATTATGTTCGTTTGAAGCAACCAAAGTGCTCAAAATCTAGAGAAGGGTACTGAACAACTAAACTTGATGAAGTTTCAGCTCAGTGAATGCTGTGTATTGCGAGGAAAACAAATTTCTAGGATCTTGATTTCAAATCAAAAGTTGCCGAGTCATGTTTAAAACTGCGCCCGAACTCAGCGTCTGGGACACGTTCTCATTCAGCCGATTGCAACTACAGTGGACGCGGTGTCGCGCACTGAACCAACAACTTATAGCAACCGCACGAGCGTGTAAGTCGTGCCAACGCTTGTACACACTCCGCCGAATTAAAAACGAACTACTAACGCAAATTTCCAAAAATGACGTCTTTAGGCACATCATTGGGAATGGCCTTCTTTTATTGTTTTCTTCCAAATGACAGCTTGCCAAAAAGATTAATTTCACAGGTAGTTCCATGACTATCTTTAAACCAAGTATGATTTTCCGTAATAATTTTGTCGGTAACTTTCTGGATAGCTGCAAATGATGGACTGTAGCTTTAATAATTTGGCTGGTAAAGTAATTTTGCTAAGAGTTTTGTGGGAGTTGAACTTACAACTTTTGGTATGTTATTATCAGAGAGACACAATGATGCCTTGATTAATCTTGTGTGTACAACCATATGTTGTATAGAAGTAGTATTTCCATAAAAAATGGAGGAATTTTTTGTTGTTATTTTACACAGAGAAGAGTATACTCCGATTACATCTCTTGAACAGCTGAAGTCGATGCTGGAGTACACTCTCAACCACACACCCGCGTCGCCCCTCCGCATTCTACCCTACGCATCCCTCCTGCAGAGTGGTCTCACCCAAACCCTGTCCGTGTCAGAGGTCACAGGGGCCTTCATGAGTCACATATGGAGGAGCGCCGCCTCCTGCCAGGTGCCGCTCTGGTTGTCGTGGCGACAGTATCTAGCGGAGGAGGATGCTGGGAATTCTGAAGAAACGGCCGTTTCAGAGAGTCTTCCATATGTGAGCAGATATCTTATTGAAATTTCATTTGAACGTAGCCCATTTTTCGTCCTCTAGTACTAAAAGCAAAACTTTTCCCTCAAATTTCACAGAAAGTGAAATTGCATCAATCTCTAAACATTCCCGTTCATAAATCTTGAGTTAAATACCCGCTACAAAGTTCCAGAGAAATTCTATTTTGGCGTGATTTTCCGATTTTTATTTCGAGTGCACAGTAAATCCTTTTAAAATGTGAGTGGAGATAACAATGATTTCTCAGAATTTATCAACTTTAAAGAAATTCTTAATTGTTCGCGTGGGATTTTCGCAGGATTTGTTCAAGTTCACCACGTTAGGGATCACTCGGCCGAATTTGTGCCCAATTTCCGGACTTCACCGTTTTTGAATTTTGGACTAAATTTCATGACACTGAAATTGTTCACAAAGGTTCCACAGCAAGCATTATCAGTATTTAACTGAATGAATTTGAAGTTTTTCTACGAAGAGGTTTGGCAACACTGCATGAGGAAAGTCAAGGAAACGTCAGAGTGCGCCATGTTAGGGAACACCACTAAACAGTTTTATAATGTTCTTTTTTGAATAAAACACTTTATTTAACAAGTAAACAAAGGTTACATGTAAATTTATTCTGAATTTCTGTTTTGAGTTGTATTTTGGTCACCAAAGCTTTGAAACTGTTTTCTTCGGTCCTTTTCAAACCAGGGGCCAGCCATCCTGCACACCCCCCTCCAAACTCACTGCGTCACCCGCCTGCTGTATACACCCTCACACCAGCCCCGCACCTCCAAGGGAGACCGAGAGGTCAAGAAGGTCGCGGGGTCAAAGGTCACCACCGACGTGCCGCTGGGTCAATACCTGGAGAAGGTGGAACAACTGAGGGCGATGTCTGAGCTGCTGTGGTCGAACGCGACGAGCATGTCCTCAAGCAGACTGTCTTTCAGGTATTCATGAAAAAATAATTTATTAGTAGAGTCTGGTTGGCACAAAGGTTCTTTCCTCGCCTTCCACCTCTATGACCGAGGTTCAATTCCTGCCTGGCCCACGTGCAGATTGGCTTTTCAGTCCCTACTTGATTCCTTGGGTGTTCCCTGGAATATAGGATTATCCTCCCAACCGTGCCGACTCTAAAACTTAAACAGTTTTATTTGTAATTTCCATCTAAGTTTCTTCCAGCTTCCCATCCGAAGTGCCTGCACTGATGAATCATTGGTTTCCTTTTCCAATAATGAATGAATAGAATGTCTTCAAATTTTACTAAACCCCCCCCCCCCCAAAAAAGAATTGACATCTAGTTGTTTGGCATAAATACCATAAATTCCCACAGTGGTTGTTGAATTTGAAACTGTCAGTGACTAGGCTCATCAAATAATGGGGCAATTTTAGACCTTCAATTTATAACTAAAAGATGTCTCTGCTTTTTTTGCAATAAGAGTAAATTTTCGGGGTTGCACCATTCGAAGAGAATTCTCCTTTGTGAGTTTTGTGTGGTTCTCAACAGAACTTTTACTCTCTTTGCTTGATTTTTTTTCTCCCTCTGGAAATCTCAATTTCTAATGTTTTGCATATTTGTTATATCATTTCAGTACATATTACACTCTTGCGCTCTTCCCAATCCTAAGAATGGTTATTTGTCACCTCAGACTGTGAATATAATCCTTTTTTTTTAACCTTTTGTTCCCAGGTCAACTAGTGTCAGTTACCTGTTGCTATCGCTGAGCCAACTGTTGCGGACTCTTGAACCTCTTCTCCCGACCTCTGACCTCCAGTCATGGCAGGTTGCCTTAGACGAGGTCGTATCCATGGCAACCTCCGTAGCAACCGACAAATCATCCCTGGCATCTGCGGTGTCTGTTCTTGAAGAGATTATTGCGAGGAACACGTCCGAGTCTTCGATTGGGAGGAGTGATGTGGATGATAGGGGTCGGAGGGCGAGGGTCGTAATGACCGAGGTCGGAGCAGATGTGAAGTCTTGTTTGGCGTGTGCGTTGGAGTTGTTACGTGCTACGGAAGGCGTGTCGACGGAAGAGACCGCTGAAACGGAGACTATGGATTGGGACCGCGCGGAGGGGGTTGTCGGAGGGGGTGTAGGAGGGGGTGTAGGGGGCCATCTGGTTCAGCTGATGGCATTAGGGAGGGGATGGGTCCGCTTGGGGTTGTTGGAGGTACATCTTCTCGCTCCCCGAGGACCAGTGGATCCTGCTGAGAAGAAGGCGCTGAAACTGCAGTATGTCAAGGATGAGGTGGGTTTTACATTGTAAGACTTTCATGTTATTCTGGCAAATGAGACAGAGCTGGGCACAGGTTGAGATGAGGGTTTGTGGGTATTGGGAAAGAGAATAAAATTCTTACAATACTGTTTGTTGTTCTTCGATCAGACATTCCATTGACAAGACATGTCTGTTTAAAAGTTCTCATTTATCAACGTGCCAAAAAAGTTAAATACTGAGAAAGAGGCCTTTCATGTTTTGAGTTTTGTAGTTGTGAAAAATGAAAGATGCCATTTTTCCCCTTAAAAACACTTTATTTCAAAATGTTTATACTATTTCTTTAAAATATGCGTGGTAGACATATCAAAGATTACAAATAACAATAAATTGAATCACCCCTATTTAGTATTTTGCATTTTTCTCCACTACAACCTGTGCCCAGTTATGCCTCATTTTACTGGAATGTCTCACAAATCTTTAAACATGATATTTTTGCTTTGTATCATTTGCAAGGGAGATTTGATTCCTGCAATACCACTTTTTTTTCTTTCTTTTTTTTTACAAAAGTAAAGAACATCCTACATTTGCTTATATTTTAATGCTGTTTGCATAACAAGTCATAGAAACTCATGCTTGGTGATTGAAAAAAATTGATTATGAAAAGTCTGGTTTTTCGCTAAATTTTGCACATTTCATTATGAATAATCAGTCTATTACAAGAGTCTTGTAAAACTTAAACAAATAAATAGAGGTAAGACAACATTCAATTAGAAAAATACACGTGTTAAAAAAAAACATTTAAACACTGAATCCGATTTTTAACAAACAATTATGTTATCATTCCCCCCCCCCAAAAAAAGTTATTCGCTTTGATCATCATAATGTCTTAAATGTTTACATAGATTCCACTACCGGTAGGAGCATTGTACTCTATTAGTAATTAATTATTTCTTTGTGATTTTGTTTTTTTCAAAAACTTTCAGATCACTGATATCACAAATGAGCTCCAAGTCCGCAGTCTGTCTTCCCAACTCCTAACCGGACGGAAATTGGAGGAAGTACCTCCGAGCCTGCTACCGGAGAGGGTCCGACTCGCACAGGGAAGGCTGGCATTACTGGAGGAGAGAGCCCCGGAGCTTGCCAAACAAACGGCCTTCAGGCCCGAACCCCCTAAGGTGAATAGACCTGTAACATAATGACGTCATGCTTTGTTTACATGTGCGCTTTCTTGGAGCCAGCAAGCTCCCATAAGAAAGTGCACATGTAAACAAGGCGTGACGTCATCATGTCATAGGTCTTTTGTGGAGGGCTTTTTTCAAACCATGGTTTTTGTCTCAAGCTGTGACTTCATCTTAGGTGCCAAATTAAATTAAAGTAAGTAAAATCTGTCCTGAGCCAATATGGCTCATCTGGCCGGCGTTTATCTCTGGTTCTTTTGGCATGAAACAACTGAGAATATTTCTATTCCCCCTGGATGGGATGCTAGTCCATCACAGGTTACTCCCCGGCTAATGCCGGTACCCATTTATATTCCTGGGTTTGAGAGAGGCAAGTGGGGGTGAAGTGGCTTGCCGAAGGACACAACATATGACCAGAGGCTGGATTTGAACCCCTGACCTCTGATCATGAGTCGCAAACCCTAACCACTAGATCACAGACATTTTATTCTGTTGCTGTTGTCCACCCTTCTCCAGTTTGATGCCATGCTGCAAGACGTGACTCACTACCTGGCCAGCATTGGCTCCAGGTCAACCATAGAGGGCCTCCTTCGTAAGCTGACATCCGCTTTCGACTCCCTGAGCCCAGGCGAGGCTGAGGGAACACAGACCCGTTCGGTCCAAAAGATCCTGAGCGAAGAAAAAGCGTGGCAGAAATCGCAGTCGCAGTTCCTGCGCCGGATACAGGAGGGTTACCCGTTGTACCGCGACCAGTGGGCGGGGCTTGTCGCCACGGCGATGCAGATGCAGTATGGGATGCGGCTGGCGGCGCACGCCTTGCTCAGCCAGTCAGAGAGGAGGACGTTCTCGGAGGGGCGGGGCTCTGTGGAGGATTTGCTGTGCAGCGTTGCGGAGTTCCCAGTTTCGTCGAGCTCGGAAGATCAGTTAGCGTCAAGAAGCATGCTTCAACTGGTCAAGAGTTTGTCCACATACTCAGCAGTTGACCCTGAACAATCACAAAACAGATGTAACAAAACCAAAATGAGGTAAAAACACTCTTGATTTACTTTTTTAAATGAAAAAAATTACTGAAATTGCTCAATCCGCTCAAAGAATATCACCATTTAAACACAATGACCCTAAAACCTCTTTCGTCCAAAAAACAAATAAACCTCCAATTATTTAGTGTTCTTACAGTTTGGAACAACAGAAAAAATGATACAGAGCACTTTTAAACAACTGTTAACAACTGCAGTACACAATATCTTTATTAACAACCGTGCTTAGGCAAACAATATGATTTGTAAAATAAACTTTTTTTCTAAAAGGCAGGCCTTCAAAAGGACTTTGTTGATATTTTTAGCTTTTAAACTGAGGTTTTATCGCTTGTGATGTTTGGAGACAATTGTGATGACGATTCTTGAAATTGCATTTTTGGACAAAAGAGGTTTTGGAGTCATTGCATTTAATAAATGGTGATATACTTTGAACAGATTGTGCAATTTCAGTAATTTTTTCCATCTAAAAGTAGTTTATAAAATTGGCTTTCCAGTCGTCGTTATTTTTGCTGCTACCTATTTCTGTAAATATTTGTTTGGGTTGGGGCTGCGCAGTCTGAACTTCTTGATTTGTTCAACAGCCTTCTTCAGCTGTCGCTGTTCCGTGCTCGCACCCAGGCTCTCCTAGCCGGCTGTTTGGGCCCCGACTCCCTCCAAGCCATCCTCACCGTCCTAGACTCCATCACAGTCTCCTGGAGACAGGCAGAGGATGCGGCCAGACGCAGGCAGGAGGAGCAAGCCTCGCTATACAAGTACAAGGCCAAGACGCACGGCGATGGACTTACGGATGAGGAGAGGGACGAACGAGAGTTCCGACAGAGCTTCCCGTCCTTTGAGAAGGTACAATGTCTATGATTCTCTTAAAGGCATGTAGGATCATTTGCACTCATCCCAAAAGTAACCTACCAAATTGTTATCAAAAAATTTACTTGGTTACAGATTATTCAAATTATTCCGTCTGCGTTGCTGTAATATTTGTATAAGAAATCAAGAAATGTAGGTGATATCCAATGATCAGTCGATTGACTGGATTTTGGAAAAAGAGTGCTATTGACGAGCCTGGTGCCATCTCAGATAATGGTTGTCGCCAGATGAGTCTATTGACGAAATTGTGTTGCGTGGTCAAAAGGTTGTGCATGTTTTTTTTTCACTGTTTTCTCGAAAAAGTGTGATATTCACTGAGCTGAAACTTCAAAATAATAGGTTTGTCTGTGGATTTTGTACGGTGTTATTATTGGAAACAAACGAAATGCACGAAAAGCAAATGATCCTCTACGCATTTCAAAAAACCAATATTGTTGCGTTTTTCCCAAAGTTAAAATGAGCCTATTGATTAATCTGAGAACCATTTCAAACGTGAAAGTTAATGAATTTTTGATGTCAAGTCAAATTGTTTTATTTATTTTATTGAAATCTTTACCGTGGCTAGCCCATGTTAGTTAAAAAAAACAAATTGCTTTCCAAAAAAAGCCCTCACATTAATATTACATGGAAATAAAATTAGACAAAGTAATATGCCAATGCAAGAAAAAAAGGACAAAATTGATACAAAACATACAGTATGAAAACAAGAAATTGGGCAATAAATGAAGAAAAAAAATGTGAAACAAGATGCATTGAAAGAATACGCATAAATAAAGACAGAAAAATGTATCGTACGTAGAACTCGACAATGAGAGGAAAACTAGTATGTGAGTGGTGACTGCAATAGATAAAACAAAATGACACATACTTAGTTAAAAATGCTGCCTAGCTATAAAAAAAATTATAAGGATCAAATATGAAACATTGAGAAAAGTTTGTCTTACCACAGAACTCTCACAAGATGATTTTCTTTTGACTGCAGGATTTTGCTGACATAACAGCCGAGCCGTCCCTGGAAAGCAAGCCAGACTCAGATGAACCTGAGTCCCACGACGAGAGCGACAGCGCCGCGCCGCCGATCAGCGACAAACAAATGCGGCAGGTCTGCGCCGTCCACCGGGAGCTCTTCACCAAACTGGTCAGGGCCGGTTGGATCCGGTTCAAACAGGAAAGTCGTGGTGTGGGAGACGCGTTATACGGCCAAGCCCTGAAAGATGGGTATGCCACGATGGTGCAACTTGGCAGTAGGGTACTGCCGTTCTTGGGTAGGTTGTAACATTGAGTTGTCATCGGAAAACTAAACATTTTGTATGAAGTCTGACAATATTGAATCTTTGCCTGACTTCTTAGTTCCATGTCTGACGACTGACAACAAAATCTTCTCTGTGCTTGATCAGAACACCTCAGTATATGATGTGCTTGATTAAGCCTATCAGAAAATTCTTGGTCATGTTTTAATTTTAACAATACCCTGCGCAGTTGCCATGATGTTAGCACTCGCACTTCAAATTCCTTTGAGGTAATCTTTTGTGGAGTAAGGGTAACACTTAAAATCAGTGTGGTTTGCTCAGGGCCAAGCAGGCAGATTACGTTGCGCTTCACTGCTCTCCATAATGTTGTTTTTGTGCAGTGACTCTCTGTATGACACAGTTTATCTTTAAACTTCATATCCCTTGACCTGAAAATGACGCGCAGGGTTTAAAGCATTTTACTTATTGCTCTGAAATATTGACTGTTTAACTGCACCGAACAATTCATTGGTAAATTGTTCCTATTGAAACTGCAGACCCGTCTGTGGACAACAGACTTCTCGGAGCCCATCTGCTGATGATCCGAAACCTCCACAGCGCCCTCGCTCAGGCCGAGCAGGCCAGTGTTGAAGAGCGCCCTCAACCCTACGACATCTACCACGATGGAAATATAAAGGAGGCCGTGCAGTGCCGACCCTTACTGGAAAGATTCTCCTCGCGGATATTAGAGTTGCTGGAACAGTGGCCAGAGCACCCTACGTTGAAGCAGGTAGGCTACCCCAGGCCACCTCCCCCCCCCCCAAATATACCTAGTCCCACCCCATGTCCATTGGTATGGGTGGGCGGTGCGTAAAGCTCATGCCTATCACCATCGTGGCTTGGGTTCGATTCCTGTGTGAGTTGAGTTGTCCGCTGAATCTTTCCTTTGCCACAAGGGGTTTTTCTCCGGACCTCCGTTTTTATTCCCTCTGCAAACACTTTCGATCTGGCTGTGCTACATTGTAAGACATTGGTTGTATGGTAGCTGCCTTAGGCCAAGTTCACGCAACGTCTGTAGTTGACCAATGGTTAACCATAGTCCGACTAATGCTTGCCCGAACTCTGTCTAGTCGACGGTGGTTGACTACGCTAGTCGACTATCTGGAACCACCCTACTGGGGCTGGTTGCATCGCTGGTAACCAATAGCCGCGCGCATTCATAACACTAGCAGAGAGCTAGGATCCAGAAGTTTTGCGATGACATTTTGACCAGCGTTTGACTAGAGACGTTCGCACGTTGCTATCAGTGCGCAGGCGTAAGGTATGTCACAAATCAACCACTAGTCGACTAATGGTCCTTGCCCGAACTTGGCCCCAGGCGCCTTTGTATGCCTTCGGCTCAACCACACTTTAGTCCTTCACAATGCAGTGATTTCCAACGATCAGTCAATTAAATTTACTGATTTTTGGAAATAAAGAGTGCTATAGACAAATCACGATCAAAAGGTAGTGCAACATTTTTCACTGTTTTCTCGAACAATTATAATTTCCGTTACGCTGAATAAACGAGAAAGTGTGGATTTGTAATTTGGAATTTAAGAAGTATTGTCATTAACAGTCCAGTGAGTGGAGATGAAAAGACTTGCATATCTCGTGTCGAGTCGTGGCCATTTAGGGTAATTTACAAGGGAGTTTGTCGAGGCACGCAGTCGGGCGTGTTTAGCATGTTTATCGCCACATACGCACAACCACCCATTTTTGTGTAGGCTCCCTTCGTCAACATGGATTGTTCCGACGAAGATTTCTTTCCATCCATAATTATCACCCATCCAGACTTTAACCGGTCTTAAACATTTATTGAAAGTGTGGATTCGTATTTCCAAATCCACACTTCAATAAAGATTCGTTGTTCCGAATCCACACTTATGTGACCAGTGTAACAGATTCGTAGTTACGATCCACACTTTTAACATTAGTGTAACGTCATAGCAATGGCTTAAACTGAGATGAAATTTCAACAGGTTAGGTTTTGAACATTCGTCTTTGGATTTGAGCGGTGTTATTATTGGAAACGGAAAAAATGCATGAAAGCAAATGATCCTATATGCCTTTAAAAGAGTAGTACATGTTAAGAACTTAAGTACTTTTCTGAACAAAGTTGTAAAAATGAAAGATTTGAGCTAAATTGAGTGGATCGTTGATGGTTTCCCCTCCTCTTGTTGTAGCTGATGTTACTGATTGAGCGCATCTTGGAGTTTCCCATCACAAGTCCCCTCATGAAGTTTGTCACCGGACTGGAATTACTTCTAGAAAAAGCACAGGTAAGGAAGACAAACTCTTACCATTCAAATATGATTCTTTTTTTTTCCAAATGTTGCGATCCCCGTGCTCTTTAATAATTTTTTTTTTACAGGGCGAGTAAAAAAAGGTGGAACCCAAACCCCCAAAATATATTTCATATTTACAAAAATAAGTAGCACCAAACATAATAATGCCGGAAAGCCTATTTTATAAGCTACTTTTAGATGAAAAAAATACTGAAATTGCTTAATCTGTTCAAATAATATCACCAATTAAACACAATGACCCTAAAACCTGTTTCGTCAAAAAAAAACAGTTTGTGTGTTTTGGCTGTTTGGAACAACAAAGAAAATGACACAGAATACTTGTTTCAACAACTGTCAACAACTGTAGTACACAATATTTTTTATTAACAACCCTGGTTAGGCAAACAAAATGAATTATAAAATTGACTTTTTTTAAAAGACGGGCCTTCAAAAGGACTTTGTTGAATATTTTTAACTTTGAAACTGAGGTTTTATCGCTTGTGATGTTTGAAGACAATAATTGTGACGATGATTCTTGAAATCGCATTTTTGGACGAAAAAGGTTTTAGGATCATTGTGTGTAAATGGTACAATTCTTTGAACGGATTGAGCAATTTCGGTAATTTTGTCATCTAAAAGTAGCATATGAAATTGGCTTTCCAGTCATTATTATGTATGGTGCTACATATTTTTTTAAATATGAAATATAATTTTTGAGGTTTGGTTTCCGCATTTTTTGACTCACCGTGTATTAATAAACGTTCAACTTGTGTGTTTTATTCTAACGAAAAAAACCTTTGGTGATCAAGTCGTAAGACGTCTGCACTAGAAAGCAGGAGGTCGTAGGTTCGAGTCCCACCCGAGTGATATTTCCAACTTACACTCGGGAGGTAACACACTGAGTATACCGTGTTGATACGTCGGTGAAGGGCAAAACCTAATATTGATTTACATCACCCCAACGCAAATTCCATCTTATGAACAGTCTCTTTGGTCTGGAGAGTTCAAAGTTAAGATGTGCAAAGCATTCGAGGGTACTAGATGTTACTCTAATTTAATTCGCAGATGGCTTTATTTGGTAACCATGGTAACAGGTTGTGTACGTGCAACGGTTGTGCAAAGTAGCTAACTTTGTGCAATTACAACAGTTTAGTTTGGTGAACTACAACACCAACAATTATTTTCTCATGGGAGAAGGACAACGATTCATTGACCTGTCAAGGACAAATTTACACAATAAGTTGTTTTAAAAAGACGATGGTCTTAAAGGGAAAATACAACATTTGCAAACATCAAAAAACGAAATGATCAAATTATCACGAAATACCTTACTGAATTGTTAGGGATTGACAGTCTAAAGCATCCTTTAAAATCGTGGCTCCCTGGTGGGCTGACATTTTCAAGAAAAACTGTATTTTACCAATGCTGGTCGGCCGATCAGCATTGGAGAAAACTAGCTTTTTTTCAAAAACTGTTCTTAATTTTTCATATTTAGTTATTCTGACTTTTCTTTGCAAATGATCACACACCTGTGAAGGGGTACAAGCCTGCTATAGACTGATTCTCTGACCTTACAATTCCCCAAAATGTATTAATTGCTTCGTTTCATCTTAAGTGGGGTCAGGGAACCAGACTTCAAGAACATGATAGGTTTTCTTGGTTTTTCCAGCATCTACAAGCCTAAAACATGAAACAAGTCAGTTTAAAAATATTTTATGTAACATACTAATCCTCCAAATCCATTTATTTCTGAAAATTGCAGCAAAAGCAAATGTTGTACATTCCCTTTAAAGTCAGAAGATGATAGTTTCTGCTGAGAAGACGCGACCCATATTTCCCCCTCAGAAACTCACAACAGCCATAAATTCTGCCACCGTGTACACAATTTGCTTTTGAAGTATTACATAGAATCTAAGGTCCTTAATGAAAGATGAGCTCAGTATGAATCGCCCAATCCAGCCATTTGCACTAATGGCAAGTTCACCAAGTCAGAGATTTTACCTTGGATATTACTGATGCACAATAGCGAAGTGTTTTGTTAGCGACTGCAAACATTTGGATGAAAGTCGCACTTGCATCCGAATGCTTTTACAGGTGTCTGTCTAAAGATAGAAACACAAAATCAGCTACAAAAACCGGCATCTTGTATTGAGAACTCGCTATAGGTCTCTCTCAGAGACGGCTATTTCCTTAGGAGAACTGCAACTGTATTAAGCGCTTGTTGCTCAAAATGTGTTCGAGATATGTCGCAGCCGATGCGCGTTATGCAAGTTGACGCTCAAAATGCCGATGCACATGGATGTCTGTAGGAAATGACGTCCTTTGTGAGAGACGTATCGTTGATGGTGCGTTATTTGTTTTATATTGTGTTAAGGCTTTCAAAGGTGTTTAAGTGTCACAGTGTCCTAGTTAGATATCCACTGGCACTACCCTCTTGCAACGAAAGGTAAAGCATTCTGTGATAATCTTCTTCGCCATTTGACGGTAAGCCCGAAAGAAGAGACAGTAGATGAACACGTTGAAGCCGCTGTTGCACGCCGTCAGCCAGACCATTATGAAATGAAGCCAGGCCGGGATAGATACTTTGACGTAACCTGAGAGGGCACGGGACACCATGGCCGGGGTGTAGCATCCAGCGAATGTGAGGGTGACCAGAAGGAAAGTCTTCAATGCCTTGTTGTCTTGAATTTTGTTGGCTGCGTTGACGCCGTTTGGATTGACGCGCTGCTGGTGCTGATGGCTGATTTTGATGAGAATACAGTAGATACACGTCATCGTCAGAGTCGGAAGTATGTCCAAGAAGACAAGCATCGAGATGTTGATGGCGTTGGAATTCCGAGCGTGGAAACAGCTGACGGCCGTTGGGAAATATTGAGCCGGGGTCTGAAAGGTTGCTACGGCGATGGACAAAGCGAGCGTCGATGTCACAAGTACGACTTGGACGACGCGACGCTTGGAGCACCAGATTGGGAAACGATACGGTCGGGTGACAGCAAGGAAACGCTCGATGTTGAGCAAAAGCATGGACACCACCGACATCACTAAAGATACGAACTTCACAGCGGTGACGATGCGACAGCCCAATTCGCCGAACGGCCATCGGTCTAGAGCTGAAGCCACGACGTTTGAAAACGCGGACAAGCCGACGACTAGATCATACACGGCCAGCGTCATCATAAGTACCTTGGTGCTGTCGGCTAAAGTGGTCACACGGCGCGTCACGGCGATGGACAGAATGTTTCCAAATGTTACCACCATCGCAAGAAGGACAATAAAAGAAGTTCGGAGGCCGATGAGAAGTGGAGGCATGCCCTCCGCATCTGTTGATGAATTGTTCATTTTGTTATGTTGTGAAAAGCAGCAATCCTCAGAAATAAATGCCGTCAAGTGTCTGTATTCTCTAAGCCGAAATGGAACAAGAATTTGTCTTGCTTTCACAAAAGCACTGTAATGTCAATGTTGTTGCCCCGCACCCGATTTCATCACTGTCTCTACTTGACAAGACAAGCAAACAGAGACACTTTCAATCAGCCAATGTAATTGCAAATTCAATATTTGTCTCTGCCTTAATCCAAAACAGGCGTGACACTCTAGCATTGAATTTGAAGCAATGTTTACACATTATTAGTTCTTGTGACAACGTCAAACATCCTATTTGTACAATGCCACTAAAAACTGCCATATATTTTGACAACGTGATGGAGCAGATCTTTCCTGAATCAACAAAGTTCGCTCCTCGCTCAAAAGAAAATGAGAGATGGTCGTCTGCCTGCCACATATTTTGATGAACTGTTCATGCTTCAAAACCGTGTGCGCAGCAACTGTTAAAAGCCTGTTTCTCAATCAAGCGAAAGTTAAGACCCCAATTGCTAGTCTGCCGTGTCGTTCCATAAAGTGTTTTTACTGAAAACCGTTGAATGCAATTACAGTCTTCCCAAGGAATGAAAAGCAGTCAAGTGTCCTTGTAATGTAAGCATGGAACACGAATGGCACCAATAATTGCTTCAATTTAATAACTTAACCAGCAAATCACAGGAGAAAAATCAATGATGTCATTTCCGTCAGGTAAACTTGTTTCTACATGAAAGAGTGAACACAGAACTCCATTAGTTGCCATAGCAACATCCACCGTTCCCTTCCGGCATTGTCCAGTTTGAGCAATTCCAATATTAAGTTCAATCATGCACTTAATAGGCCATGGTGCGCATGCATGTAAACTCAATTAAACATCAACCTTGAGTTTGAACGTCCTGTTTCTGGCATGTTTATCACATCAAAGTTGACCTATTTGTATGACTTTGCTGACATGGTTAGACTGTCGTTATGGAATTACATTGCACAGAATGAGTAAAAATAAATGTCCCTTTTGATAATACCTTGTCGCTCACAAAAATGGGAAAGGTTACCAGTTTTGTTTCTTCATGAATAAAACTACAAACTTTAGAGAAAAGGGTTAAACCATCAAGCAGTAAGTGTAAAAATAAAAGAAGCAAATAGAGCATGGGGCTGTTTTAATAAGCAGAAGCTTGTGGAAAACAGCCAACATTCGATCTGGGTATTGACTTTATTCAGTACAAATTTCTCTGACGTTTATCCATGCATGCAAAGGATGCAGGCGTTTCTTTATGACTACCCAAAAACACGACCAACACAATGGCCGGAATAGGCCTCTTGCTATGAACTTAAAGGTATAGTCCATCATTTGTAATTTGTGCATTTTGTTCGTTTGAAGCAACAAGTGCTCAAAATCTAAAGAAGGGTACTGAACAACTAACCTGATGAGGTTGCAGCTCAGCTTCAGCTGTATATTTTGAGAAAAACAGCATTCTAGGATCTCGATTTCAAATTAAAAGTTGCTGAATCATGTTTTGAATTGGGCCTGAATTCAGCGTCCAAGTCACGTTCTCACTGAGCCGATTGCAGCTACGCGATGTCGCGAACCGGTCCGACGAATTATAGAGGGCGCGCACGCATGTGCGTCGTGTCAACGCTTG